TAGCTTGGCTATCAAAAATGAAAACTCACTTCTGTGTCTTACCTGCAAAATGTTTCTTTAGAACAAGTCTCGTCTTCCAGTCACTCAATCTTATGGTTCTGTGAACTAGAACAGGCAGTTCCTTAAAAAGTTGAAGAAAATACTCTTCATAATTTCCATAACAGTTGTGGACGAGGGTTATCATACCAATGCTGGCGAACGTTTCGTAAAAATCTTAGGCAACCTAACCATGTAAAGTCGGATACTTTATTGAAATGTTTAAAGACTTCATGATCGATACGGTACATCAATCTATTGAAAGATTCAACTGCTCACAAACATCTGAGGTAAGAGAATGTCGAGATGATGTCTTTATTTCTGGTTCATTCCCAACATCACATAGCAAATCAAAATTCACCTCATCGGTTTGTAGATAAGGGTGTTTTAACGCTTCGTTGTCCGATGGTCTGTCTTCCGGTGCGACACGTATGTTGTATGCAACGTAGAAAACATTTCCAAGCTCATCAACGTTAATAAATTAGCTCTTACGCTAAGAAATGAATTTTATAAGTGAGAATAGTGAACGTTCTTTTTCGTACAATTGTAAAATTATCATCATGAGGTGAAAAATCGTTGCATTCATTGAGGTTACATAAGTGCAATTATTTTGTATTTATTTAGCACAAGTAAAATGATGAACTTAGGTACACAAACTTTGTCCAAATTCGTATACCGCAAATACAGCATAACCATAATATGAGTTTCTACGTAGCTGTATACATTTTCATTTTTACTATTGTAAAAACTTTAGGTCAGCCTTGTAACTTTAATTTTGCACTTTATGATATAGGACTGATGATACAGTATGTACTGTCCTGTACAAGCATTATCAGCGCTATACATAAATTTCGTCATCGATGCCTAAAAAGCGTAATGCCTATATTATAATTGTTACGTGAAAATAAATACAAATACTGTATTTTACAACCAATCGTTTAGCTTTACACAAGACAGGTTAACTGTGCTCACAAGGGAAAATCTAACTGCAGAAAAATTAACATACATGTATTTAACCTCAGGTATCATAACTTTGCAGATATACATATATAATAATAGAAAGAAAAGTGCAAAATCTATCAATTAATTATATTTTAGTTGTACAAATGTACATTAACATCATTGCTTCCTACATAGTCATAGTGATTAACTGATTAGCAACCCATGCAAAAACAACCACGAACAGTCATCATTAATCATTATTCTGTAATATTATACCAACCTGCAAAAACGTCGTGGCTTCAGTAGTTTTGTTTCAAAACAACTCATAACCGCATTATAGTAAAATATCATCATTGGTAATAATGGATAAACTTTGGTAGTGAATTAAACCTAGGTGAGAATATCTCAAAATATATCCCATAAATCGTCAACACAAAACAATTATTTTCAGCATGCAAGTACAATAAAAATAATATCTTCTTTATTACACCGTTCCATTATTTTATTTATAAATAATTCTTATCAACATATATAAGGATATTGCATGACCATACGAAACAAAGAATATGAGAAGTCTTCAAAGAGATAAACAACTAAAAGACTTTATGCCAAGTAAAGATTGTTTCTATACCGATGAGATGTCTGAAATTGAATGGATCTAAAAGCATTCTCAAAACGTTGTGTAAGATGACCTAAGACATGTAGTAGAAAATATAAAGATAAAAAGCTCTAACGCTGCTTTACTAACAGAAAGATTTTCACAAAACAATGATCTGCTTAACAAACACTTTTGCTAAGAATACATGTATTTGCAAAAAGTTCAATTGTTTCAGATATGCTCCTCATTTCAAGCATAAACATAATTATGGAATTTTTATTCTTACACTGAAGAATATTTAATGAGGTAAAAGAATAATTATAATTATATAAATATTTCTCTGATGTTATAGGGCGAGCCATTCGTGAAACAATTACGAACTCTGCCAAGGTAAGCAGCACATTTGAATAGGTATTTTTCCATTATCACCATTATGGAAATTGTGGAAAATCAACAAGCAATACCTGATACTTTATACACAGAGTTGCCAAGTTTAATTTAATTGCCATAGACCATACGCATTTATTTCTTCCTTAATCAAATGTACTGCATACCTTGGCAGAGTTCGTAATAGTTTGAATAGTTTCACGAATGGCTCGCCCTATAACATCAGTCAATGATGTCGCGAGCCTTTCGGAGGAATCGGCGGAATTCATTGAAAACCAAAATCCTTCCTTTGTATGAAATAATCGTCAATAAGAGAGTTCACCAAATACAAAGCGCGCATAGAAATTCGGTTGGAAAAAATCGCTATCTCTCGGAAGACATAAAAATCCGAAGGGGGGAGTAGGCTTATGTTTTGACTTTTTTTGCTTCGCCAAGTGTATCAAAATTCAAAATTATTTTGGTTGTTTGATATAACCAAATTTTATCAAAGGAAGTAAAACTGGTTACTTGATGTAACCAAATTATATCAAAGAAAGTAAAACTGGTTCTTTGGTATAATAAACTTAAAGCACGTTGTCACAAAAATGGTTATTTGAAATAAGCAAACTACTAACTACTAAATGCAATTATCATATATAATTAAATAAATCATGCAAAATAATGCGATAATGTACTTAAATAATAAATGCACATTTGGCGCCCCATAGATGTGTAGGATGTTTAATTAGAGAGCAGACAACCATGAACTGTAAGATATCAACAATTCACAAGGTGTACAAAAATATTAGAACATTTTTAAATGACAAGAAAATTATCTTTACAAAATTTCTTTATCAAAATTTCCCAAAATGTGTCCACGTCTAAGTATTTTCGCATCGCCTGGTTTATCTAAAAGCAAAAAATTAATCTTGAAAAGCGGGAGAGCAGTTTGCAACCGCTTGCGCAAAGAAAATGAGAAATTAAAAATCTAATTCAACTCGAAAAGTTGAAAGTTTAAATTCTGTTGTGTATTGCACGCAACGTGTATAAAATGAGCGTTCTGGCAATTTTACCGTCTTATTATTTTTATAGATAAACCAGACAATGCCAAAAAACTTCGAAATGAACACGTTTTGGGGAGCTTTTGATAAAATACTGTGTACATCCTTATTCGCGGTAACCTTCCCCTGATTTGAACAGTTATAAACAAGCACATGATGGGGCAGCAAATACGTATATGACTCGACATCTGAATGCAGTTTCTAGACCCAATTCAAAGAGAAGAGACGAAGGCTGTATTGGTATTGGTATATTATGTAGCTCAATCTTGTCCTTTAGGTTGACTAATGGCTGAAGTGGCTCACTTTAATCTACCATAACATCTTTGAGCGAGACTAGGTTTTACTGTTAGAACTGCAGAGATCGATGCCTTTTTAAAAAAAAGTATGCAGTGTTGCACGCGGATAGCAGTATTTGATATGAACTGGAGCTCAGGTTTCACAAATAAAGTTTGATCTTAGGCAAATATTGAACTTTTGATAGGTGCATATAGGGGTTTTATGTTATGTACCCATCACCCAGACTACAGAAAGTTCAAGAACAAAGTAGAAATTGACTTAAGAAGGAAAACAATATCAATACTGTCAGATTTAGTAAAGACCGCAAACAAGCAAAATTTATGCTAAGATCAAATGCGAATTATGGATATCACTTGAATTAGCACGATAAGCGACATCATGAAAACGTACGTCCTTGTATGTGTAGTAAAGCTCATAAACTTCTTTGTACCCATTTAATGCATACAACAAAGGTCCATTTTTAATTCTTCAAAGAGTGAAAACATCTTAGTCTGACAATGAACTAGAATTCGTAGCTTGCAAATAGTACGACAGATCATTTAGGCTATTAGTTAAATTCGTTCGTTTTGTGCAATGTATTGATTTTTGAACAATACCTACACTTTGCGTATTGTAATGAAGTACAATTAAATCATAAAGGTTTCATGACTTTCTCCATTTTCAATGTTTCTACAAGACTCCCTAAAGCTTCAAAAATAAGGGTGGAGTATATACTATACTCGTCGACTTTAACCCCACCCCCAAATTTAAATCTGTTCCTACGCCTATGTATCGATCCTATGTATAACTATGAAACACGAACCATTGGCGTTGTAACTGGGGTACAGCCAGGGGGGAATATCCCACGAATGATTTAAGGCAAGACACCACTAGCAGAAGGCATATGGGGGCCGCCAGAACGCATCTTTACAAACTCCTACAAATTTATTTCAGGAAACAAAATTCAAACAAATAAAACCACTGAACATCGGAACGGAACAGAAAAAATGGCGGACGGATCTATTTCTGCTGAGATTCACCAAAATTGACCAATATTATTTCGCATTGTAATACAATTTGTAATCAGAATGATACAATATTTCTATCTATTCACATCCAACACTCTATGGCGTTTTTGCTCAAAATGGCAAGGAACATATAATAAACAGACACCGCGGAGGATCGATAATTGGGGGGAGGGGCTAATATTCATATATTCATGGTATGCAGGCTTAAGTTCTTTTGAAATCCATTGTTTTCTAAGGATTAAAACATGAATATATAAATATGAGCCCCCCCAATTATCTATCCTCCGCGATGCCTGAAACTTGTATGCCAAAGGTTCATCTGAATTGTCAAAAGCTCTTTTTTGATGACGACATTAACTTAAAACTGACTTATTTTGTGTTGTTCAACACCTAAACTTTGTGAATTATAGCTTTGGAAAATAGTCCAGTTTGCACAAATGCATCTTAAGCTATTTTTTTAGTTTTTATGGATCTTATTATTTTCTTACACAAACAATCTCATGAAGGGATTTTGAATTGAAAATGCTTAAAAATATTGGGCGCAAGGAGACATAAAATATCCTGAGATGACGAGATAACAAGGAAAAGCATAATCAAGGAGTATATGTTGAATGTTAGAAAGTATATCACTGACTACGTATGGAAGATACAATTTATAAGTGCCTTATACATAAATTTCATAGTATAACTTACTTTCATAGTCGGGGTAATATTCCGTTCCTTCACCTTTAGACTCGTAACGTTCTGTCAATTGAAAAGTCACCAAACGTATGACAGTATTTTAGTCAATAAAATTCAACTCCGAAAAAACCTTAAAGACATATCTATAGTTGGTGCATAAAGACATAAAATCTCTAGACAACGATTATCGAGGTAAAAGATCAATAAAGTGTATGTATGTTCTACGATAAAATGTTGGAAAATATATCCATATTTTTGCATGTATAGCTTACACACAATTTACGAGGGTCTTGCATAAATTTGATTGTATATAACGTACCGTCATCCATGAAGTAACTTTTCATTCGTTGAAGGCAACACTATGAATTCTGTATTATCCAAGGTAAATATATCGAACTTAGGAAATTCTGCAATCATAAATACATATTTATCAAATCTTCGTCTTTCTCACTCGTTGAAATAAAAAGATTAAAATAGAATGCTTGCACAGTTTTAATATTCAATCATTAAAGCGTTTAAATTACATATAACATCATAACCTTCAAAGCCGTACGTCAAAAAAGCAACTTTCCGTGATTATTAGCCTTAACATAGATGAAAATTTATAAAAATGAAACATACGCAGGAAGAAAATTTTCAGAAATTGTACTCATCCTTGTTAAACGCTACTTGTACCAATGTTTTAAAACATCCAACTGTATGAAGTTAACCGTCAAAAATCTACGATAATCATTTGATGCACGCCAAATAAGGGTGTTTTTTTTTACAAATTATTGTCGAAATAAAAATATTTATCATAATAGTAGCAAAGTAGCTACATCTTAGGGGAAAGCTTACTATTCACAAATTCTAAAAATTATGATTACCTAACAAAACAACAAAATCACAAAAAATTTGTCACAGCAACAAGGTAGCTATAACAAGGTATAGAAAAGACTACTATCGTCAAGTTTCATCTTTATACACTTGAATTAAAACATATTAAGTGCAATGGTTTACTTTCACCAATTATGATGAAGCTATCACAATTAGGGACACCTTAAACTCAGTAAGGCAATGGGGTCTTTGTCAATGTGAACATAATTGGAAGTTATTTTTTCCGTACAAATCTCTACCAAGATATTTAAAAGCATAAATCAAAACACAATCCGCTTATTGCAATCACAGCAAACGAACGTTTTATAGTATAACTGTTTAATGTTTGTGATTAACCATTGATTGCAGTCGACTACATTTAAAAAAAAAGAAAAGATTCTAAATTTGGACAACCGAATCAAACAAGGCGCTACAATGCAACACCTAATAAGAAGAAAAAAACCTTAAGGATGTTGGCATGTAAGATATACAGTATTAGAATTTAGAACAGTCCGTTCTTCTAAAATGCAAGAATTCATTGAAAAATTTGATATTACGCGTGTCAATGACACACTTCATTGCATAACTATTTAAGATGCATCTATTTAAAATAACAAGAAAAAGATCTTTGTTCATTCGATAGAAGCGATACCGAGAATTTGTCTATTTTTATTTTCCTATTATCATTCTAATCGAATTTTTCCTGGTAAATGTTCAAAATTATTTTTGTTAACTGTAACTAATAAAAGACTGAAAGATATGTGTTAAAAACAGAAATTGGGGATTTGTACATGGAATTAAAGACTGTTACGCTCAAAAAAACTAAATTGAATTTGTGAAGTCTTTTGTTTTGTATAAAGGTAATAAAAAAATGTTAAGAGTTTTTCATTTATGCATTGGAAATTCGATTTAATTGCCAAGAGACTGACTTTCTATCTTATAGAAAAACCCAATACAAACTATTGGCGATTGAATCAAACGCCTGACGCGTGAAATGTTCTTAAAATGGTTATTTGGGTATTGAAAGAATTCACAAATGCAATCTAGAATAGCAACGTGTAGTTTTTATCCAGTAAAAAACATGTCACAACTATGTTTGTAAAAATTCTCTCACCTTTAAAAGTTTCAACAACCTCCACTTCTTCACCGTTTTTGCTTCCGTCTGACAGCACGAATGCCTTCTTCTGCAGCTCGTGACCTTGAGAGAAATAAATATTTCTTTTACAATGTAGCATTTCAAATTCAAAAGATCACAACTGGAAAAACATGCTTTATGGAGATTTCTCTAAGCAGATTTCGTAAATGACTGCATTTCAGTATGCTCACAATCGTAAAGTTGAAATGTGTTTGAAAAAAGTATCGTCTACAAATAAACAGTTATTACAAATAAACATTAATTCCAATAAATCTTGCGTAAATCTACCAATAGCAAAACACAAATTGTTTATGAATGGACTGTTTCTTAAATTATTCAACTGGAATTTTCTTTATATCATACTGGATGATGGCTTGGGCAGCAAGAAAAAATCCTTACTTTATCGTTTCTGTCACCATTTTGTTGACCTTGCAACTGTTCATGAAAAAACTTCGGACATTCTGTGAATTTGACAAAATGCATTAACAAAAATAGGTACGCTTGCGTACACGTGGGAAGCCTGTAAAACAGGAGACGCAAAAAGATTGAAACAAGTGGAGTTGCAGTCACTTTAACACAGGATAAGAACTTTCTAATGTGCATAAACTTAACAGTTCGAAATTGTTATGAGACCATCCGGCAATTGCGATGAAATATAAGTTATGTTCGATCCCATTTATCTATGCTTCAAGACCTGATATTTAAATTCTGTTTAAACAATATTACTATTTTGAAACATTGAATTCATTGATTGACAACTTGTTTTGTCATGATACTTTGAACTCCTGATACTAACAACAGATTTGTCATTATTTGTGGGGGGTTGAAAAAAGGTTTAAACTTTTTGTAAATAAGAAATATGATAAAAAGGCAGTGCATAGAGTGTCATCACAGACATGATATCTGCCACTCTCTTGTTTTGTATAGCCTAATTTCTCGGACAAATAAAATAACTCACCTTCAATGTTGCAAACAGACCAGTGAGACCTCTCCCAGAAAATTGTACAGCTCAATATTAGTGCAAACTAGATAGACAGTAATGAGTAATTGTAAACAAACATTAAAAATACTCATTGCAGATACATTTTCATTCAGTGACTGTATCCAAATTATGAAAAATACGCATGAATTTAGCATAATAATAATGGAATCCAACATTATATACTTTTTTGGAGCCCATTTGCAGATAGTTGAGGTGTTTTTTGATTGCATAACAAAATAATGTGTTAATGAAAACTATTAGTAAGAAATAGCTTTAGGTGCGCTTATGTAAGGAATTCTCTTTTCAATAATACAAAAATCAGGTGCATCTTTACGTGAAAATATGATCTTTGGCAGACTCTGGCCAGCAAGGGTGCAAATTTTTCCAAAGTATTTTTTCACAACAGAGGAATGTTTTCAGGAAAATGGGCCTGAAATTAAATAAGCAAATACTTGATTTTAATAAAGTTAGATATAATTACAGGTAAACAAAATAATAGCACATAATAAATGATTAAAATTTCTTAACTAAATAAGTCTTCATTTTCAACATATCACAAGTGCTTGATAACTTCATATCAATCACCAACAATTTACACATAAATTCATTCACTTTTCCTTGAGCTTCAAAGAAATAATCACAAACAAATCCTAAAACACTTCTCCAATGTTTTTCCAGAAATATATCCCACAATTACCCATGACATCATTTTTGTCTAACCTTGGACATTCGTTTAGTGGACTATTTAATGTCTGGCATTTTTCATTTTATCTTAGTATAAATTGTGTTAATCATGTCAGGTGATACCACAAATAAAAATAAGCCTTCATTTTGTAGCCCTTGTTCAAGCTTTCATTTAATATCATACTGCAACTTATCTCACTATATCTCATTCAAATTTAATTATAAATTACATACTTGAATAATTACAAGCTAATATGAACAAAACCAACAAAAGAGCCTGAAGGGGAAATTTTATCTATAACCATTAACCAATACCTGCATAAAACTATTTTCATTTAAGTTCATTTTGTAAATATTTATATTTTTGCTAACATTTAATAAAGATGTTTCCATTTGAAAAAATTCAAAACATTCATCTTACTTGTCCCCAGTTACTTTCTTCAGTCGTTAATAAAACTTATTATTTTTCCATGGCCTGATGTCTTTTGAACAGCCACAAACGTCTGCCATCCACAGCAATCAAACACAAGTTCCTAAACTGCATAAATGATCAGTGTAAACTAACAAACCAACAAGGGCCTAGAGAGGAAATTTGGTCTATAAAAAACATTAACCCATATATATACATCATATATCTCATATCTACTCACATTGAAGCGTTGATGATAAACAAACTGTGAATCATTGAGATATCTACATATACTAAACCTATAATAATATATTTTTCGTTTCTTAACTAACTTTGATGGTTATAAAACTATTTTCACGTGAGTTCATTTCGTAAGTATTTATTAATTTTATTTATATTATTGCTAGACAATATTAATAACGATGTTTCCATTTGAAAAAAATACCATTCATCTTACTACTCCCCAGTCCACTAAAGAATCACCGACCTTACCTGACTAATCTTCACTTGATGATCATAAAGATTTTCGCCTTCATCGTCAAAGAAAAACAAATCAATAAAATGTAAAAGAATCTCAAACAGTTATAAATGAAATATGATGACGGATAAAATACCATGTAATACGTACATACAAGAGAGGTGCTTTGCTTTTAGCCGATTTTATTTTATTTTAAAAAACGAAATAATTATGAAATAGACAAACAAAATGAATTAAAAATAATTTAACGCTAAATGTACTTAGCATTAAAATTCTTCACGAACAAAAATGGACGACTGTTTTTAATATTCTCGTTTCTCTTAGAGCAAAAAAACAGGATGTCAGATATGTAAGGTTTTCATTTATGTTATATGGTTAGTTCTTTACTAAGTGAAAGTTTCATATATTCATAATTATTAGATTATTACATCATCAATAAGGAGTTAGTACCTCGTAAATGTTTTTAAAATAACTGTTACTACACGACAGACATTTAGGACTGCATAAGGACTGTCGTGGAAGAAGAATGCCGAAAATACTTCAAGAAGAAAAACATACCGAGGAAAAGCGATCGATTAAATCGGTGGAAAGAAAATGCCTGTCAATAACCCCTTCTTGAAAAAATTGCAAGGAAATATCTCTGTGTGCCAGCGATTTCAGTTCCCTAAAGAGACTCTTCTCTAAAGCGGGAGACCTGGTAAGTGAAAAAAGAAGTAGGATAAAGGCAAAGAACGTTGACATGATGCTTTTTTTAAACAAGAATATATAACTTTCAAAAATACATCGTTACTGTTAACATGTTCCAAAGTGCAAAAATATTTATTTATCTTTCAGAACAGCATGCAACCAATTTTTTCAATTACAATTTTTTACAGCTTCTGAAAATTTATCGTTACTCCTAATAATGTTATGACAGTTTGTAATTTAAGACAAAAAAAAAATAAAATTTTTGTCGTATTGTTGAAGTATATAAGGCCACACTTTAGCAATTCCATTATCAGATCTTTATCAAGTGACTCAGACTTTTATATTCGAAATTGGAGAAAGTAATCGCTTTAGTAATCGATACCTCAATACTTTTAAGAAAAAGTAATCGGTATCGTATCGAATCGATACTAGCGGTATCGCCAATCACTAATGTGAAACCTGGGATGTACTTTGCTCCTTGATATGTGTCACTTTTTATTTGACAGCCATCTACACGACCCATTTGTTGTATGTGATAATTTTTACTTGTCACATAAAAGCTAGCACGCCAACTTTTCAAAACAGGCGATTGTTAAATAAAATTTGACAATTTTTTTGTCGTTTACACGGTCAAATTAACATTGTCAACTAAAAATTGTCATATTAAAATTACTCGTGTAAACGGGCCTTATGTCAGTCTTAAAAATCGATGTGTCATTTCTGACAGTTTCAAAAACAACTTGATCAAATTTTAGACATGTTTCAACAACTTATGAAAACAGTATCTGAAGACGTCTATCTCTGTGAGAAGCAGTGTTTAGCACATAGATAAGGAATCAGTCGTCACATAAGAAGTGAGATCCTGTGGAGAGAAAAGTCTAGCATTTTAACAAAACGGCGCTGTCATAGCAAGTGCTATTTGTGACGCTGCCTGTTTTGAAAAACCATTATTAAAACAGCTGTTACAAAAAGGTAATTTACACGGCTATGAATTTCATTTTGTTTATGATGGTTTAGGTCGAGTATTGTCGAGACAAGCAGAAATCGAAGAACAAGGCAGTGAGAAAAGATAGATCCACTGGGGAGATCACATAAAGAAAGTCTCCAAAACAAAACGCTCACGATAAAAGTCAAAAGTTACAAGCAATTTTGGAAAAAATCACTAGAATCGTTGTCAAATCTAGAACAAATGTACATTTCTTGTAATGTTCACTATAGATATGTTACAATGCCTCATGCAACATGAAAAATGTAACATGTAACAGTATTTAAGTAAGACGAAGATTTGGAGATGACATTTATAAAGCCTGCATGAATACAAAGTTTAATCAAAGGAAACAACACAGTTTCTGGAAATGTTGAATAACATTTCCTTGCAATATATGCTGTATTCTTGCAATCAAGACTGGCATTAATCTTTTTTAATTAGAGGCAATAGGTTCAAAATAAACATTAATAAGCAATATTAATCGATCATTTCAAACAAACACAAACCTTCATTTTCCACAACAGAAAAAAATCAGAGATCATGACAGATAACCAAATCCTATTGCAATTACAGGGGGAATGTATTCGTGACCTTAAAATAATTGACGATAGTTGATTTGATCTGCGTAGATGCACTTTTGTGAGGCGAATCTATAATAGCAACTGTTCATTAGAGTAACTTTAAACTTCTCAACCAAACAAGCACCAACAAACAATTGTAAATCACCAACAATTTACACATAAACTCATTCACATTTCTTTGAGCTACAAAGAAATAATCAGAAACAGAGCGACTTAAAACACTTCTCCAATCTTTTTCCAGAAATATATCCCTAAATATACGTGGAAGACATCAGATGACCCAGAGTAACCAAGTTTAGTGTACGGTAATGTTGTGATAACCAAATAACAGTGGATAATAAGAATTTTCTTTAAAGCGCCTTAACTTTTGTAAACATACTTACGGCTACCCTATACGACTCGCTTTAATAATCTCCTCCAGCTTGAAATAGAAAGATGTACATGTTCGTAGCATATTCAACTTTTATGACGAAGTATATAACAAACATTACATTTATTTGCAAGATGCTCTACGACTATAATTAATACAACATTTCCCTAATTGCTTTTCATGCATTCACGTTCTACATTCATTAAGACCTTTACATGCATATATGATCGAATTTAAGTTTATTAATAATCCATACTTCAGTGACAATACATGCAAATAATCCTTGATATGACTTTATGAATCAATTTCTTGGTCGTTGCTCAAGTTAACAATTAGAAAGTGGCACATGATTAGTTAAAAGTTTGTGATACTTCATTTTTCATCAAGATTACGGTTGGCAATAATATCTTCAAATTTCTTTCCATTGACTTCTTTCAATTTTCACAGGATTTATGTTTCCTAAAAACGTTTGCAACGGAAAAATATAGAACTTAATTTTACTTAACGTTGAGAAGGTTGGAAACATTTATACAATTCTTAAAACATACATCTTAAAGAGTAGAAAAAAAAGTTCAATGTGACAGAGAAATATGTTATTATGCATGGAACTCTAACATGGCTAAGTCGTAAAAATGGGGTATTATTTGAATAGCTTACAGGTAAAATGGTTTCGCAATTTACGTCTTGTTTTCCAGTCAGTCGATCTAATAATTTTGTGCACCAGTAGAGGAAGTTCGGAAAAACGTTGCATGAAATACTCTTTATAGTTGCCTTCCTTGATATATGGCGATAGAAGTGAACGAGATTTATCTCGCCAGTGCTGATCAACGTTACGTATGAATCTCAAACAACTTGCCCATGAAGACTTGTAGGTTACAGTTCTTTCTTTGTTGTTTACTTCAAATGTTATGAAATCTTTCAAAACTTCATCATCGATACGTTTCATCCATTTTGAGCGACGATTCAACTGCTTACGAACATCTGAATTTCGACATATTTGTTTTTTAATCTCTGGTTGGTTCCCAACTTCACACAGCATGTCAAACGTTTCCTCATTGGATCGTAGATAAGGATGTTTTAACGCCGCTTTGGCTGATGGCCTGAGTTTAGGCTCATGCTGTAGCATCCATGAAAGAAGGTCTTCAAGTTGAACATCATTGATTTTCTTCAAGCCAACAGGGTTTCCATTTAACAAGTTTTTCAATCTATTCTCTTCAGCGCCAAAAGCATGTTCCTCTTTTGTTGCAACATAATAAGCCACCATTCCTGCACTCTAATATTCATAAAAAAAACCCTTTAACAGTCACAACATCAACTGTAGAGACTAAAATGCTAAAAAAATGTGTTTATTCATTATTTGCAGAACTGAACAGTAGCTATATATTTTTTAATGAACATATCTACCATTATATCAGACTCTTTCTTGTAACGTCCACCACCCAAGGATTCAGGAGCGGACCAACTATAACTGCCTGTACCAGGACTGCTTTGATATGTTGAGTTATCGCCACTTTTCAATATTCGACTAATGCCAAAGTCAGCTATCATAAATTCGCCTTCCACGTCTTGAAGAACATTAGAAGGCTTTAAATCTCGATGAAGAATTGAACTTGGGCCACTATGAAGATCAGATAATCCATTTAAAATTTGTCTAAGGATTTCAGGAAGGGCTTCGTGAAGTTTATCTAAACTAGTAGACTTAACAAAACTTGTCAAACTTTGTTCGCACAAGTCTAATATCAAATAGACAAAATCTTCTCCTTCCTCTTCTACAAAGTTCCAATACTTTACAACATGCTTCGACTTCTTTGCCTTTGGCTCATTCAAAACATTCTTTTCCCGTAGAGCAAGATGGGGACAGCTATTTTTAGGGATTTTTTTTACAGCTTTTCCATAACCATCCCTTCCCAAACCAAGATAAACGGTTCCACCACTTCCTTTGCCAATCAAGAACTTTTCCTTGAAAATCACACGTACATCGCCTTTAATTCTAATATCACCTGGATGTTCTAGCCAATGTTTTTGCATCATTTCAAACTTTTCGCGATGCATCACTGATTTGTCAACGCAATTCCATTTTTGCGACGACCCAACTTAAAATAATTGTATGCCATTTAGCAAAATGTAAAAAATAATCAAATAGTCAATAGACATTTCAATAATTTTGATATTAATGTCGTGTAAAAGTTTTCATCAGTCTAAAATTTCAGTACGCCTCTGGCTCTGTTAGTTTCAAGTGCAAGCACAAATCGTGGTTTCAAAGTACATTTGCTACATAATCATGAGCAAATATTTAAAATTGCTTAAATATAAACTGCGAAAATGTGACCTACCTTTTAACTCTCTTCGATATCTAACATTTTGATTGCAAACAATTAGCTTTATATTTTAAATAGTGTCTTACCAAAATTGTGATATTCATTGATCAGGGCTAGAATTTTCAGATTGAGTATTTTGTCGTGCGTTTTCTCAGCAAATTCAAGTTGGCTTGAATAAGTGTATGTCGCTGTAGTAAAAAGAACAATAAATACTATTAACATAATTAACATAACAGTAACCATTGCAACCAGATTGCAAAAAAATCGCAAAAAATTGAAATTTAACTATTCTAATCCTGTCAATGTTAATTGGCTGTGAATTATAAGAAAAGTATTACAGTTGCGATTCAAATTTATTATTATTAGTAACACAATAAGAAATTTTTCAAAAATTGTGACATTAACAACTTTATTATCCTATTTTTCATCGTAACACCCAGATGTACTTGTAACCACACTCTACTCCCTGGAGAAGTCGCAAATGACACTGAAGTTGTCAGATGCTCGTAATCTTTTTATGAACATCGCGTTTTTTAGTCTTTTATATATTTGTTAGCTTTTGACGCACAATTGTTTCGTATTTGTTCAAACTTGGTGCATAAAAATCAATGTTTTTTTTTTATATTTGGTAAAGCCCATGACGTAGTTTCTAAAGGTACGTTTACACAAAATGATTTGTCGGACCAACACTGACGCCATATTACGTGTTCTTGTCATACATGGAAAGTTACCGGACTCGAAAAATCAAATGAAAATCTGTAGCAAACTATAGATTTGTTACCGATTTTTACTATGTTGCTATAGTTTCTAAAATAAGCAAATTATGACCATCAAAAATAATTATCGAAATGTCTTCTGTCAACACAGAAAAAAAGTGTTGTGAGCATTGTTGTTTTCATGGAATAACCAAAAGCTGCAGAGTATTTTATATTGCGTCTGTTTAAACATATACAATAGTGAAAAATGTAGTTTATATTATACTAAAAATATTGTACTCAAACAATAATATAATAATTTCCACTATGCTTACCTTGTTCATGTTTTTGATTTGTTCTCTCGTCAGCTTTCTCTAAAACACCACAAAGACACAAAAACATGAAAAATTGATAGTCAAAAAGTCGATTGATATATGTATATTTTTTTATAATTCTATGACGTTATTTATATTGTATTATCAATTGTCCTTACCGTTGTCATATTAAAAACGTTTTGACCAGTAAAATATTAAAAAAAAATTGAAGGAAAATAAAATGACAAAACTTTTTACCTTTATAAGAGGCAGTGCGACCATTGTCGTCACGGTTGGTGATGTTCAATGCAGTGTCATCGTCGATGTGTTTATCACTAACGGATAGAGTGTCACCATTGTTCCTCAGTTTGAAAAACTGACCGCCCTGAAGGCCAAGTGCTTTTAAGGCAATGTTTAATCTCAAGCAGATATAATACATATCTCTGGTCTCTCCGTGATTTTTAGTTAATTCTGCAATACCATACGCAAACGGTTGCCAATTATTTTTTTCATCCAAAAAATAAACAAGAACACCAGCGTCACCATCCTGAAGAAATGACTCATCACTTTTTATCATGATAACATCACGGAAAATCACATGTTTTTTAACAAAAACTGAATACATAAGGTCACACAAGTAGCCCTCAGCCCCAGTGGCTGTGCGAACTTTCACAGATTCCTCTTGGCTTAGTCTTTTGTGAATTTTGCTAAATACGTCATCAAAGTTTGAATTAACATCTTCCAATTCATCACCAACAAGCTTCTGAAAATCCTCTTTATTGCCAACAGTGATAGACATGATATCAATTTCAGGATTATAAGAGAAGTCAGAAAAATGACCAACCACTCTGTCGTCATCATCAGAGAAAGTATATTTATTTTCATGCAATAAACGCTGAATGCTTTTTTTGTTTTTACTAATTTCATCTTGAATGGCAAGAAGGTCATCATTCAACCTCATATGAGGTGCATAACCAACGTGGCAACAAGTCAACGCGTAATATTTTTCATCTTTACAGCAAAACAGGGTCAACTTACCGCGAGACCGCTTACTATGCATATCGTAGTGTTGAACCGAAATCATGCTGGACAGTCGTTGAACTAGCAAACCAATTCTTGATAATGAATAATGTTGTCTCATTTTCTCACAATGGGTTTGTATGTAACCAATTCATTTGTTACCATATGTAACCATAAAAAGTAAAAAAAAAATTTAAATAAACCCTTTTAAAAGTGGACTTATTTAAACAGCCCCGTTTTCTTGTAGATTTTTCATAAGGTGTACATTATTCGATAAAACATTTGGGCTAACCATATGTATAAAATTTCGAACAGCAAGCCTAAAATAAACTAAACATTGATATTTTAGTTTCTACGTGTCTCACAAGTCCAAGAATATTATAATTCTAGATTCCACAATGTGAATAAAATAGCAACACCAAACAACTGTATCTATTGTAAGTATGCTGCATAAATATACCAACCTTTAGGAAGTGGACTTACTTTCTCTTGACTCTCTTCTACAATAAAAATACAAACAATGAGATATTTTAATTACGATTACGATGGACAGGTTGACTGATTCACAGTGCATTAATTAAAAAATAAAAAAAAACGTTGCAAATATATAACTCTTTTTCCAACTTTACATTTCAAAATTTCCATTTAATTCTGTAACAAGAACACAAACTTTATCGACATTTTTAGTAATAACGTCAAGGTCATTTAACGGTAAACATGATTTTTAATGTCATCACTATCACAGCAGTAAGAGCATTTGTTTTTACTTTAATAGGAAAATAATGACTTTTAAAGAAGAGTTAGGGCACACATGTCAGAGGAAACAATTAAATCAAATTAGTAAAACAAGAACCTATAGAGAGTGTAAAAACTGTAAAAAGCTAAATGTGTTGCAATCTCTGTCGTATTCATGTTGCATATAAATCCGACTGCGAGAAAATAACTCATTTTATATTCGTATCATTCTTCTTTTCCCTTTTGTGTTTGCTCAGTGTGGTGCATCGTTAATAAACCGGCATCTTTGATTACTTTTACTTTCAAGCATTAAAGTATACGAAATCGTTGATCAATTTCCTTGAATGTTTGCTGCAGTTGTGAGATTTATTATTTATTTCGAGATCACTTTGTATACGATCAGATAATCGAAGACAAGTAAGCAATTGTTTCTTAAAAAATCTATTCATGAAATTGTTTATGACTGACAACATTTAAAGTACCAATACAAAATGGTTTATATATAAATGATAAACCACTTTTCTCGAGAACTATACTTTTCATAATACAATTTGCATGCGTATCTATTTCCGCCAACGTAGTTCATAAAATTGTCACGAACAAGAGAAAATATACACGCTAACGAAGCTAAAGAATCGTTTATATAACCCTGTCAAGATTCTGTATATATGTAAGTTTACTTGTGATTGAAAAACGGAGCAAAAAATCCCTCCAATTCTATAGAATTGTTATAGTCTGTATATATAGTTATCGCCTCACTAATTTCTAGGGCAGTAATATTTTTCCGTGATGTGCAGAAAATCTTTCCTTTCGAAAACATGATCCGTAAGCTTTAGAAATACATAAATTAAACAAACTCTTGACGATTGAATTTAATGTTTGACGCAATGTAATTTTGTTTACATTGCTCTTATATATACATTAAAAAGAATTTACAAATACAAACTAATATTTTTAAACAAAACAAGTCTTCATTCGTGTAAAGAATACACCAATAACAAAGTATAAAAAACTTACATGGATAATTCACCAATCTCCGACACGTATTTCAACAACTTTATTTTCTATAACGTTTTCCGACAAATAAGAATCATTAAAATAATGCCTTGTTTTTACGTCGTCATGCACTTATATTATTTTAAATATGTAGGAATTTCAAAATAACAACAGGAAACACATTTTTTTTTAAGAAAGGTCTATGTTTTCTTGGGGGGAAGGAGAAGATTGAATAATTTTGAAGATATTTAATTTAAATGTCATACAGGCATGCAATTTTACATGCCTTGAAAAATAATAATCTATGGATAACAATATTATTGATATGAATGTTTTATGCAGTGCGGTGTTTGAAATTAAATGAGATATGATCTTCGCACTTAGCTGGACAATTTAAGCAATCGTCTCAGGACCTGAAAAAATCAGGTGACTCAACGGGATTCGAACCCATGACCTCTGCGGTGCCGGTGCAGTGCTCTGACCACTGAGCTATGAAGTCACACAGTGGTGAGCAGGTCAATATTGTTGGGCTCATGAGTTCGAATCCCGTTGAGTCACCTGATTTTTTCAGGTCCTGAGACGATTGCTTAAATTGTCCAGCTAAGTGCGAAGATCATATCTCATTTAATATTATTGATAATAACGTTTAGTCTTTAGCTTAACACATCTTCAGATTAGAATACATACATGTAGGAACTTAGAAAACATGTATTCTAATTATACAATATTTACAGATTGTTAAATTACAACGTATAGTGATGTCAGTGTTGTGTGATTTTTTGTGTGTTAAGAGGAGTTGAATGGATTTTGATGAGATTTAGTGGGATGGATAGAGTGAGTTTGAATGGAATTGTGGTTGTTTCCTTGAATGGAAATGTGGTTGTTTCCTTGAATGGAAATGTGGTTGTTTCCTTGAATGGAAATGTGGTTGTTTCCTTGGAAGAGAAGTTAATTGGCTGTAACTCTCTGTACGTAGTGGAGCATTGGACTTTAACTTCAAATATTCTCCATATTTATCATCAACATTGAAATTACCACTTTTCCTTTTTTTTATTTTCATGAAACTCTGAAAAAGACTTCCATTCTTCAACAAAACGATCCTCATGAGCAACTCGTCCCACGACACTCGTGGAAAACAAGGATTACGTCATCCAAACAACTCTCTTCAGCTTAACGAGTTTGATTTGTTGATACACCAGCATTTTGAAGGATTTCACAAGAGATTTTCAATCTGTTTCTATTGCCAACATTATTCTCTTCAACAGACCCATGATCTTCTAAGCCTAAAATATGAACTTTGTTTGTTTTTACGTTATATTCAACTTTGCCCTTGTTTGCACCACTATTAATTTCGTCCACAGTGTTTTCCCTTGTAATTTTAGTAAAACGTTTTACCGTATATGCCTTCTTTAACAAATTCATTTTCTTCCGTTTCGTCGAATTCAAGATAATTATAATTAGTTGGGAGCGATTGCGCAACATTACGGATGCAAAAACCATTTTCTTCCTGTATAATATAGATTATAGTATTCATTATTTCTTACAAAATGCAAAACAAAATTGTGTTTACAGCTTACCTCTGAAAAAAATATCTTGAAATATTTCCTCTAATAAACGACCAGCAAAAATAACCCAGTAACAGTGGCAATCGAAAACAGATCTTAAATTTTGCTTTTATTATTCCATGCAGTCATTCTCAAGACTCAGTTCAACAAGTAAATATTGACATAGAAAAAATATCATTTTTTGATGAAATCTAGATGAAATTCTAGGTTAGACTTACATTTCACAACATGGTCCTCGTTAAATACACGTAATTGGGAAAATAGAATCCCGTCACCCGCACGAGACGATAAACTTTTAACCGAGAAATAATGTAAAACATTTACATTATCAACAGAAATAAAAAATAAGGGCATGAAGGTTAAGTACTGCTGTTGTAAAGCGAAATTGAACTTCCTCTTTACAATTTGAAACATGGGTTTTATTGAATAAAGATTGCTGTAGTGATGGAGTGAACGACAATAGTAAAATCTTCTATAGTAACCGATATCTTCATTACCATTGTCTGTCTCTAGGATCATCAAAATAGGATCATCACAGAATTTAATAGAGAATACATCCTTCCCAAGATATTTCATAAGTCAATTTTTCTGAAATTGAGTCTGCATGGAACCATTTATGAACACTTGTATGATGTCAGAGTAAGTGTTAGATATAATTTCATTAATTTTATTTCAGTTTAAATTAGGATTATTGGATGTAGTATTTCATGTATTTTTCATTACTTTTATATTTCAATGTTTATAAAGTGTGGAGCTGTAAAAAAAGACTTAGAAAACGTCAATTTTTGTAGATCACACAAGTAACACAGGACATTTGTTTTTTGTACGTATCTCTGAGAAGAGCATTGAAAAAAATAAATAGCCCTAAGACTTAATAAATATGCTATACTTTGTAATGTATTAATTATTGTCAAAACATGGAGCCAGAAAAAACTACACAATTCCTGTGCAAATGCCACACAGGCGATGGGAGAATCATTCAGTATAGTTGATTCTTGTACTCTAATCATGACCAATGGAATAGCCTTTCAGACTAGTTTATCACATAAGAATGCCATGCCTTTCATTGCGTGAAGGCAGTGTAAACACGTGTGGTGTATTCCCACTCAAAACTAACAGTCAATCTCTTTTAATCTGTCAATCAGGGACAGTTGCTTTTCTATAAACATTAATACAATACGAATTCACCATTGAATAATTTGGACACAAACCTTCATATTAAACGACAGAAACAAAGAACAGAGCACGATGAAATATACTGATGAGGTAACTAAATCCTGTCGCAATTATAGGAGGAATGTCTTCAGAAAAATTGGTCTGAAATTAGAAAATATTTGCTTTCATCAAGTAAGGTGCAAATATAGGCAATTGCAAAGGCACATAACATATTCCTAAAATTTCTCGAGTAAATAGTCTTAAACATATACCTCAATGTCACTCACTAACAATGTACACGTAAATCCATTCACCGTTTCTTGACCGACAAATAAATAATGATAAACAGAGCGCCCTCCAATTTTTTTTACAGAAATATACCCTAAATATGCATGAAAGACATCATATGACCCAAAGTAATCACCTTTAATGTAGACAGAAATGTTATGATAACTAAGGCCCCGTTTATACTATACCGGATTGCTATCGTAGCAGGTTGATATTCTTTGTATTAAAAGCAGTGAAATTGTTCAACGTCAGAAACACAATGAAATGGACTAAATCTATCAACTTAATAAACCTTTACTCCGAACAGTTAACACTTTAAAGCAAATGAAGATGTCGTGATGAGCGGAATCCGGTATAGTGTAAACGCAGCCTAAATAATTGTAGACTGAAATTATTGCTATATAATGACACTTAAGCCAAATTTTCCCTAGCAACATAAGCACAAGCGATCAAACAAAGCAAAGCATATTCTCCAGAGATTGGAGGACATAAAAGAAAAAGGATTTTCTTTTCAATGTTTTTGTGTTTTGATTTATGCTTATGTTAAGTTGCTGTGCTTATTCTTATGTTTATGCTGATGCTTGTGTCAGTCATAATATTGCTTTATTGTATTTTTTTTTGTCTTTGTTTGTCCTTAAATCCTGCTTCACGCGAGTGAAATAAGGATAAGCACAAACGTAGACAAAAGAGAAAACTAAGTCATTCAACGAAGCATGTGACATAAACATCGACATAAGATAAAGCATAAGGAAAAAATTTAAGAATAAGCTAAGAGAAGAATAAAAGAAGAACAAAAAAGGATTTAAAGAAAATCCCAATGTCTTTGTCTTTGTAAACCTCTAGAGCAATAGAAAAAGTCTCGACGTTCCTGCTTATTTTCCTTGTGTGAACCAGGCTTAAGCTTATGTCGCTAGTGAAAACTAGGCTTCACACTACATCTAAAAGTCTAATTTTTTGACATTACTTATTCCAGCTAATATCTCACAATTTTCATGATTACTTCTATCTACTTTCACTTTGTTTAAGCTTTCCTTCAATATCTTACAGGAACTTATCCCATTTTATCTCATTAAAATAATTTTAAAGAATTTTATTCAATAATTGCAAGCTAATATGTGCACAAAACCAACAAAAGAGCACCAAGGAGAAATTTAATATATCACCATTAACCAACATCTACTCACCCTGAGTGGTTGATGATAAAAAACTGATTTGGCAAAGATTTTGTTTGTCTATAAAGAACGATGAAAACTTTCGAGATTTCAATCACCTATTGAAAAGCAAAAAACCAATGGAAACAAATTAATAATTGAAGGGCTTATTCAAATATGTGATTAAGAATTTTGTGGAGAAAATGCAGCATTTCAATTTTTTCAAACAATTTCAGCAAGTAATGTTATGGAATACAGAAGAGTTTCAGCACAATGAGCTGATTTTTTTATTTAGTACGTTTATGTTCAATCTACTTTCAAATTCAAAATACCTTTATTTGTAAAAGTTTAAATGAATGAGCTAATTTATTTTTCCAAACGATGTATCTGCTACTGCTGAACACAAATTATATGTTGCATCAACAAATGGCAGGCTGGAGAATTAAATGCATTCCAACATTTCTTGTCTTTTCTTGTCCTTTCTTTTTCGAAACGATATGTTCTCGCCTTTACAAGATGGTTGTAGCGTCTTGTCTGTAAATAACTACATGATTTGAGTCCTTCCAAATTCCAATAAGAACCAGCGTTATATCGCATTTGTTACATCACACTTATAACAAAAAGAAGCGTAGTCATGTTTTTCAACTATCGATGAACATAACTGAAACAAGTGCTTGCTTTATTCTACTAGAAAAGCAATACTTTAAGTTTATATCATAACTGGACTGAGTCAAATTAAGCGTCAATATAATAGAAAATATATTTGTATGACATGAATATAAGTGATGTTAGCCTGTTACAACTCTTGTAATGGGAGTTGACGTGCGAATTTTATTCTCTAACTTCTACTAAAATATGACAATGCACAAACTTAATTTGAAATGGTGAACAGTGAACAGTTAAAACTCATAGATCTCGTTTGTCTTGTCTGCCCGTGAGCCAAAAGCTTGTCGAACACAGTCCATATGACAAAGTTTTGAGCAAAAGGGTTTGTTCAATGGACAACAGTTCGCTCACTGGTAAAAATTTATGCATTTTTAAAAATGCCAGTTGTGCAATGCACAATACGCGTTTCCGTCTTATTTTAGGAAATTTTTTCCAAGAGTACACTTTTTTATTATGTATAAACAGTTTTTGTCTGGTATAAAATGTATATGTAGTTGTACAAAAATCCAACTACACAAACCTCTTTAATTTTTTGTACTCAATGCTATCTGTAAAGATTGATTTTTAGATAGCTAAGTAAAAATTCGACTTTGTCGGGTGTCTGAGCATCTTGTTGGTAGGTGCTTTTAAATTTGTATTTGAATTTCGGAATCTTATGTAGTAGAGGATCATTGCGAATCATCTTTATAACAATGATATCGACTATAGAATAGAATCTTGCTTCTACACTTTATTTTGCTTTACGCTAGATTGGCCATGCAAAAACATTAGATGAATGTACAAATACTAAGAGCCAAAATGTGAAATGTTAAATAAGTTCATGTATGCATCAATTTCATTGTTTCACACGCAGAAACAGGCATTTTGGAGAAGTCCTAATTTATCCAAAGCATCTTTTAGTCTCAGGCAAGCATAGTACTTCTTGTTCTTTCGGGACGCAACAGCAACAGCATATGCAAACGGTATCTTCTTGTTGTTCTTATCACTAAAATAAACCAGAGATCCCGAGTCACTTTGCTGAATAAATTCGTGATCACTTTCTACAGCCACCACGTCACGGAACACTATTTTTCCCTTGTAACGTACGGTACGATTGAGGTCAACAATGCTCCCGCCGACCTCGTCGCCAGCTTTATAAACAGGTGTCTGTACCTCATCGTTTTCTCTCTCTGACAGCAACTTAAACACGTTCTCTAGAGAACTTGGCATCTCTATTTTAGGCGCAGTGAATTCAATTTCTTTATTATCAAATAAGATGGCCATTATATCGGTTTCTTGATCAAATGAGTAATGCGAAAATTCGCCAAGAGCTATTTGTCTGCCATCGTTATGAATGTACGAATATTTGTTTTCGTGCATAAATTTCTCAAAATCCATTTTATTATTATTTATTTCGTCTTGAATGTACAAGAATTTATTTTCGCTTTCGGGAGAATTTTTATATCCAGTATGTAGACAAGTCAACGCGTAATGTTTTCCATCTTTGCAGCAGAACAGAGTCAACGTTCCACAGGATGGTTTGGACGCATCATCACGCCTTGATTGAACCATCTTCGAAAGCGGATAAATTATAATTTCGTTAGATGGGTTGATAAAACGTAACTCGATATATTTTGAAGCATTCCATTTAAATATTTCATCAATTTCTTGTTTCAAAAGTTTATTATCATTCTTTGATTGGTCGACTTCAAGAAACAAATGAAGATATGGCATTTGATTGGTCGGACGAGCTACACCATAATCGCCACAAAGCCATGAAAAACTATTAATGTAAAAAATTAAGGTACTTGGAAAAAAACAGCAACATGCTCACTTGTCAAGTCAAATGACTCAAAACTGAATTGTAAGAGTTAGGAAAGATTTACCTTTCCAACTTTTTATGCACACTTTCTTTAATTTTGTAATCTTTGGTTAGACATCTTCCTTTAAAAAATTTGCTCTCGTTGGCAATGAGAACTATATGATCTGCAAAAAATAACATAAAATCAAGATTACGATAATCGTTATTTGCAAAAAGGGACATTTGACTGACAAGAAAAAAAATTATACAATGCCGTTAAAAAATTGAACTTATGCATAACTAGAAAAGTACAGAACAATTTAGTTATTGTATAAGGTTACAAAGACAATTAGCTCTTTACTCACTGTTTATACGAACATCTGAGTTGAGAAACCTTAGACCTTGTGATTGCTTTATCTTTGGTTGGATCCTTGTGTCACGAAACATATCAACGTTTTCCTCATTTGGCATGATTGCAAGATTCGACAAAACAGTAGGATTGGATATTGTTTCCTTGAAATACATCTTTGCATCGCAAATTTCCAAAAACGGTTCAGATTGTGGTTTTGGCAGTGGTCGATTGTACCATTGCTTGTGTTCAGTCTTTCCATTCATCTTATCTGTTCTAAAATAATCATGGCCATCTTTTTGTATTAGAATTTTTAAATTAAAGGTTTACAATGTTGAATGACAATTGAGCAGACATCACTTGTCTTATTTAACTGTTGGTTCCTGACTTTATACAGCCTTTCACACTTCTAACTATTGGATAGTAGATTAATAAGTGTTTTAACTCCTCGTTGGTTGATGGTCTGTATTCAAGTTTTAGCTGTCACTCGGACTAGCTGTCACAGATTAGTCACTCTGTCTTATTTGTTGATGGTAAATAATTATCTTACTTATCTCGAAGGAGGTTAATTCGTCTTTTGAACCAACTACTTATGAGTGAGGCTGTGATTGGTATGGTCGAATCGTCAACCTATTAGCAACAGTCTGAAAGAATTTTTTACGAATGTAATGAACGCAACACTGATAAACGCAAAGTTGACTCAACTAACTGCACGAGTTTTGCTGGAAGTACTATCCCTCCAGTGAATGTTGGAAGTTATGTTTCATTTAAGAAATGAAAGATGTTTACTGTATTTGTATGCAAACCGAGGAGATTGATCTTTGGGAGAACTCAAGGGCAAATCATGGCAACCCTGAGACTCGAGATTTTGAGCCGATGATTTGTTCTAATTCAATTATTCATTTCAGCCAATTTATTTATTTTTATATGGTAATTTCCTTGAAATATGAAGAACCTTCTACACCAAGGCAAAACCAAGATACCACAGAACTGAATATAACCGGAATGCTACTTCCAGTCAAAATGGTACACCAGCAATTCAACTTGTCCCCATTTTTCAACTCATGGCCACGAAAAAGTTCATAACGGCGGTCATGCTATAAAATGCAAGACTTATAGACATGCGTGTCTGAAAGCAAGTACATGCGAGTTCAGGCATTTTAGTTGAAGGTGGCCATCCAATTATGTATTTGGTTCAAGGACATGTTTACATTTTTGTTATGCCAAAAATAATTGGGATAATATGGGCGACATGCAAACTTTACGGAATGACAACTAATTGTAGAACACAAAATAACTACCAAATATATGTAATTTGCGTGAGTCAACTGACTTACCTTACATATGCACCTGGTTGATAATCAGATCATCAAAGACAATAACTGTTTCTATTCATGTAAATAATTAAGAAACTTTCCATAAACTTTTTTAGGTAGCTACAATGGTGAGCGTAAAAACCTATTGAAACAACACCAAGTCTCACTTTTCCAAAAGTTATTTTTCGTCAAATAATGAGAGGAAAATTTCCTTGCGTGTTCACTTCCGGCCACACTTTAATACTATTTATTGTATGAGCAAAAATATATAAGGGAAGCAACGTTGCTTGATGAATGAAAACTTATGATATAGTCCTTTTTTAAGGTCCTGGTATATCTTAAGATTATGATATAACTTTGCTTGAGGATAAAAACGGGGCGGAAAACTACCTACGAACAAATGGAATAGTCTGTATATTTAGCTATTGCCTGAATGATTTTTTCGATTTTTTTGTGATAAGTAAAATCAATACCTTTAAACGAGTAACATTTCGGCGAGTTAAAGTAAATGTCAAAAGCAACAGAATTTTCTTAACATTTTTTAATATACTGAAAGAATTCACACATGAAACCATGTATTTTAAAGCATACCTGTCATTGTTATTGAACATACTGAAAGAGTTCACAAAAATAGCATCGTAGTTTAAAGTGTACCAGCCTTTCCCATGTGAAAAATATAACGAAATAAGATATAGATGCTTAAAACTAGAACTCTTTGATCACTAGGTACATTTCAACGCTGTCTTCTTCGCGGTTTTTTCTTGCGTGTGACGCATCAATATAACAAGGATGGGTCGTCTTGCATCACTACATACATAAATTTTCTTCAAACAATGTAAAAATTTCAAAAGATCACTGCATGACATAAATTAGCAAGGTAAAAATATTTGTTATTATCTCTTTGAAGGGCGAGGGAGAGACATGACTTGTACAATTTTTGAAGCACAAATAAAATTGAACCTAAATTGTTTGAAGAAAGATAAATGTATACCTATATGCTGCATTGCGAAGTTTTAGCAAATTTACCCGAGAAATGTGTTGCACAAAACAAAACACAAGAGTGATCGCTACTTGCAAACTGATGGATGTATTCAAAAATCTTTCATTTTTCTACTTTCTACCTTTTTCTCATCACCATTTCGTAAACGCTAATCATATTCATAAAAGAAATTACAAACGTTTTATGAAAGCTCACAAAAAGCAAAAACAACACGTAAAGCTTTTCAAGAAGTCAACAGGTTGAGTTGAACAACACAAATAAACCCAGAGTAGTGAGCATCAAAAACAAAAACTAAACCAATTTAATTCGTTTAGACAGATAATAGATAACCTGTAATGAAGCTTTTCTTGGTTTTATTGACTTCTCTTATCAACAATAGCCTCTTTATTAACGCTTATTTCAAGTGTGCAATTGCACCATAGTCATACCATAAAGATATTCATCAGATATTCAAAGGTAAAAAAGAGATAAAATAATATACTGAAGTACGTCTATATAGGTAACGATTGTATTCTCATCGATTTCGATAAGAATTTGTGAAATGTTATAAAGATTATGAGTGCATAAATGTATTAAGCAGGGCATTTTTTTAAGGAGTTATATCATTATATCAGCCCGATAATACATGGTTACTGCTGTGGCCAGTGCGGTTTGGTCTACACAATTCCAAACAATAGCAACTTATTTATGTTGAACTGAACGTTCGTCAGATGGTTCAATGTAACGCAATTCTATATATTTTGAAGCATTCCATTGAAATGTTTTATCAATTTCTTGTTTCAAAGACTTGTCTTTCATTTTTTGGTCAACTTCGAGAAACAAATGACGATATGGCATCTCATCGGTCGAACGCACTGTACCATAATCACCAACAATCCATGGAAAACTGTAATGTAGAAAATCAAGATATTTGGGAAAAAACATAGCATGCTCACTTGTCATGTCATAAGACTCAAAGCTGAAATATATCTAAAAATATTTATACCTGTTCAATGTTTCATGCACACTTGGTTTGATTTTCCAGTCTTTTGTTTGAAACTTTTTTATGAAATCCTCTTTGCTGGGGATGTTATCTGGAAGTGGAGCACATAAAGTAATTGTCACTAAACGGAGAGCTCGACAAAATAAGAAAATCAATTATTAAAAAGAATCTACTGCGCCATTTTAAACTTTGAAAAAAAAAAGGATAGTTTGTGTCATCCTGGCATTTTCTCATTTAACTAACTCATTTTTGAGTATCTTATTTTCAAAAAATTGTATAACAATATAATTGAAGAGAGGAATAACAAAAAAATGCATCTGGTAAAAGAAATTGAGAGAGAGAGAATATACAAAACAGAATGTCAACGTAGCATTTGACTGTATATTGAAAATAATTTTGGCTCCAGCTAAATGAATGTTGTCAATCTTTATGTGATGGACATCATTTACTGACTATCAACCAGAGAAAGTTAACATTACGTCGCCATTTATGACACAATATTTAGTGTCTACTAGTGTGTCGGCAACATAAATTACCGTTATAATTATACATGGGCATTAGGGTGTTTTATGTTACCTTCTATATGCTCAAAGTCACAGTCCTCCTTATCTGAAATTCCAGAGTCTTCAGTTCCAGTTTCTGAAAATCCAATAAAAACAGACACATAAACAAACAAAAACATTATCAATATAATTATATTGCATATAATTATACTATCCTCAAACTGTTCTTAGGTTATCACAAAATAAAATTGTAAAAGTTTAATTCTTAGGAAGGAATGAACTCAAATTTACAGTTTCGTCTACATATACTTAAGAAAACGAGCTGAAAACGTGCACGAAATATGTTGTATTTCAGTTGCATTCATGTAAAACGCCATACTAATCTTTGTGACGTAGCATAGCGATATTATTATATTGCATAAATATACTTTCGTCAAACTGCCCTAAGGTTAAAAAAAAATTAAAACTAAAAATTTTGATACTAATATAGGAAAAATGAGCATGTCAAACTCCGAAAGGTTTCCTCAGTCTGCACAAGCCAGCCTGTGCTAACACAGTAAGTGTCTGTTTTGACCATACTAACCTTTGCTAAGTCCCTTAATTTCTGCAAATAGAAAAAAATAAAAATTATTTTCACATTTGCATAATACATGTCAAGTTGACTGTGGTAGCTATATTGTTAAAAAACTGAGACTGTATAGACATAAAAAGCTTCCTAAAATTAATTGATATTTCTCCAATTTAATAAAAACAAAAATTAAGAAGGTTATCACAAAGTCAAAATTGTAAAATTTCAATGCTTAATAGCTGTTTACATGATCAAAGCTAACCATGATTCAGTGAATTGTCTAAGTTTCCCGTCTAAGGATGGTGATAGCTACCATGATGATAACTTAAAAAATATGCATAAATACCGTTATCTTTTTTCATCGATGGATCAGTTTTAGATTTTTTTAATGTTGGCTCTTGAAAATTACTGGAACCTAGTTTTGAAACAATTAAAGGATATTTAGCATAGTTAATCTTGTTATACATGAAACACAAGGAGAGAACGTTTTATTTTCGAATTCTTGGAAAAAGAAGACTGAAAAAAGAACTGTTTAATCTTATGAACATGAGTTCTCTTTGCTATTTTTACAATAACTCATCAAGTCAATCAAGTAAGAAAAACACTTTCTTTGTTATAAACTATGCAAAGCTATGCAATAAACTGTGAGTATTGTCTTGCAGTCTGAGAAGTTGACCATTCTCAAGGCCAAGTGCTTTTAAGGCCTTATCCAATTTCAAGCAGATGTAACTTTTTTCTGAACCGTCGCCACCATCATCAAGTATTTCGCAAACTCCATATGCAAATGGTTCCCAACTATTTTTTTCATTCAAAAACGAAACAAGAGTACCTGAGTCACCGGAATCAAGAAATGGGTGAGAACTGTTTATCTCGATAGCATCTTGATGAAAATATGGCGTTTTGAATCATTGTTGCAATACTCATAATTTAATTCACTGATAAAGCCTCTACACCAGTGGCTGTGCAGACTTTAACAGTTTCTTTCTTTACTTCAACCCTAATGTCCTCACATTAATGCAATTTTTCATTTGCATCATCTAAGCTCAAAACACCATCTTCCATTTCATCGCCACCAAGCCTCTTAAAATCTTGTTTCTTGCCAACAGAGATGCACATGATGTCCGTTTCACTATCAAGTTAAGCCCGAGTGCGCTTAGGACGTCCAATTTTAACTTTACTACCACTGTTGGACGATGTTTATGTATATTTGTTTCTATCTCGTTCATTCAAAGTTTTTACTGCACGTCTGATTGATAGAAGTCGCTTTCCGTCAAGAAAGGTTTGCTTGTGGTCAGAGGAACAAGCTACATGTGCGCATGTCATGGCACAATAAACATTATCCTTCAGACAAAACATTGTAACTGTACTGATAGAACCGTTATGATTCTCATTTTCATCGGACGCATTTTGGATATTTGAAAGAAGTCTAAACGTTGGTTCAATCGACGATGGTGAATAAAATTCGCTCCTCAATGTTTGGAGTCCAAGTACATCAAACATCTCATTTGCCACGACTTTGTTCGGCTTGTCTTTTTCAAAATAAACCGTCAACCCTAATGTTTATTCATAGGTTATCAAAATAACGAACTGTGTAATTAGACCTGTTTCAAGCGTCGAATTTTACATGCGCTGAATGGATTTAAAACAAAATAAAACGAGATCCAATTCCTCATTATCTTTTGCTTTAAATGCAATTGGCTCATGTAAAATGCGACGTTTGAAACTGGCCTAAGGGTCTTGCATTCAGTTTACGTAGCCAGCCCGCAAGTTTTTGTCCTGTTATGTAAAGTTGTGAACATTATAATAAAGGCTGCATGTGTCGTTCTAAAATTTTATCTTAGTTTCATTTTTTGTCCGAAATATACATGCTACAGCTATACCTCTTCTTGTTTGTTGGTTCTTGTATATTTTTTTGTGCGTCCATTGAACTGAATAGAAAATATTATCAGAACTAGGCTAATATGAACAAAATCAATTTACTCAATGCTTCATTCCCAATGTATGTTGTAGTTGTGTTATAGACAATAGTTTCATTATTGTTATGCACATAATCAGCATTATAAAATTCATCACCTTTGAAGAATATGCAATCTCGACTTGATATAAGCAAGTTACATATAGCTATTTCATATATTACTTTTATACAATAAATACATATCTCGTCCACAGTGCATCTAAAACTGTATCGTGCAAAAGTAATATTACTTTTTATCTTAAAAGTAATAAATTAGAATCAAAGATTTTATGTTGAATAGATATTTACTCATTTTATGAACAATTGTTAGACAAAACCTTTCAAACAAAACCGGGAAATATGCACAAAATTTATTTCATGCATCATCGAAAGCAAAAGTAATTATTCATTCTTGCAAAGATAGACACAATAAAACTCGAGTAGTATATCAGAAATTCTTACCTGGGAAAAGAAGCTAAGAGATAAGTACAATAATTATTTAACGAAGCATTGGTGTGTAGCACAAGTTTTCTGTTCGTGCGTGGAAAGGTAGAGCAAGTGAGTTGCAAAAAGGTGAAGACACACGAACGTGAAAAAAACTTTCGAAAAAGTAGCTACGCTACAGTATTGTTTATTACATGTAACATTGATTTGTTGAAAAACAATTTTTAAATAATCCCTTTACCTTTCTTATATTGTTCCATTTTTCTTTTCATCAACTCTACATTTGAAACAAAAGAGAAGAAATGAATGCACGTCTCTTTTTTCTACTATAGATAACACTGTCTCTAAAGCCATTTCTCCTGCCATGCAAAAACGAATATCCATGTTGAGTATCCTGTAAACTTTTCATTATATTTCTTTAATTCAATCGTCGTACTAATGCCATACAATACTACCTTTCTTCAAGCGTTGTTGTTTTTCCAATGGCACATCTTTTTCCTGCAAGGCTGCAGTATGAAAAAATGATATTAGTTACATGCACCAAAACATGGACAGGTTTCAGTTTACTTATACTATCGAGGAGTGAAAAATAGGAATGGATAAACTTTCTTTTATAAATCATGCCAAGAAAAAAGAATATAAAACTATGGATGTATGCACAATTTTTAGTCATTTGAACAAAATCCATTCTCGCGCACATTAACTGAATTGTATTTAACAATGGAGTAGAAAATAAAAAAAAACATGGTTTCCATGAATAGACAATGATTCACAACATAGTCACCTTTGGGAACTTTCAGAGCTCTAATTGCTAAAAACAATAACAAACGGAGTATTAATTTATGATTTTTATTGCTAAAAACTTATTGCAACATCATCAACTCAATCCCATGAACAATAGCTATGAAGCAAAGACAACTATTATTTAAATATCGGTATTTCTGAAAATCGGTAAGGTCTTGTGTAGAATGAAAAACTAAAAACAGCATTGTTTCTTTTACGCAACATATTGTTTACGATTGATATAACTTGTTTCAATTACACGAATGTGAGAAATATTTCTCTCAACAAAGTGAATGTTGTCATGCGAAATATTTCTTCAAACATTACCATCTTCAATGACAAATGTTTTGATTGTTGGAATAAAAGAAATATTTCATTTGGTGTGGAGTGTTTTTTTGAACGCAGTATTGCTCATTGGAAATACATTCCTTGCTGCAACAGTAATTTTGCTCCATGTTCGACACATGCAGGCCACATCACAAATTTTTATCAAATCAATGTCAGGGTAAGTTGACACATTATAGACAAAAACATTCGTCATTAATATGTTGTATATATGACTATACCAACCTTTACGACGACGTCCTTTCTTCTCTACACCAATATGAAAAACAAACAATGTAAATAAAATTAAGTTTACGCTCAAACAAAACAAGTTGGAGGATTCACACAGAAGAAGAGCAACTATATATTTATATCATTTTAACATGAGGGAAAAAATAACTTTTTACTAATAAAACTATTCATTACTAATACATTACTATATTGCTGTGCATGACCATACAAACCTTTCAAAATTCAAAAGAAATTTACAATTAGATAAAAATAAATGTTATTTTCGCATTTAGATAAGGCATTATTGTTGAAAAACTGACACTATATAGACACGAAAAGCTTCATAAAATAATTCAACTTTTCTCCAATTTAGTAAAAACAAAGACACATAAACAACCATAAAAATTATAGATACTATTATAGGTTATTGCATGACGAAATTTTAAATCTAATTGTTACACCATCGTATCTACTAGCCAATGTGATCATCGTCAGACCAGCAATGAATTAAAAAAATATCGGTATGATGTGCTATACAAAAAAACATTTTCACATTTACATATGACATGTTAATTTGATTATCTTATTGTTAAAAAACTGAGACTATAACAGACACAGGGGCTTTGGAAGTCATGTTAATGTTCACATAACACAGTGAACAAAAACGGTAATAAACAACCAAAAACATAAATAATGTAAGGCTATTTCATGACAATATATAAAAACATAACAATGAAAACAAGATAATTTTTCAGTTTTATAAAACAACGTCTTGGTGAGATATTGCAACTAAATACTACTTTAAAAACCAACATTAAGATAAATTAAATGATCGATGCATTTCGGTAGACCTCGTAAGGTATCGCGTCTGCTTTAAAGAAAACAAAAAATGTGCTGATATTTAGCGTAAAGACGAAATATATCCAAAATATTGGCAAAAAAATCTTTAAAGCAATATTTTCCCGTTTACAAATGAAAATTAACTGACACATTTAAAAATTGTGAAATTTTAATACTTAGAGACGAATAAGTTCAAATAACAGAATGTTTCTTGGGTAAACGAGAGGAGAGAGAAGTACAAAGTAGAACGTCATGTATCAATCCAATCCAAAAGTGCTGCGCTGATTTACTGGCGAAAATCGTCAAAAACGTGAGAGGTTATACAAAAATTGTTTAACAAATGTAAGGCACCAATGTAAACTTTGTAAATGTGAGTAAATTTTACATTGGACATCTGTGTTCTGTGTCAAAAATTCATCAAAATTTGATAGTTGTGTCGTAGAAGTAAATTATTTTCAGTGAACATTGATGATAATAGAAAACAGAAAGATGGAAGTCGTGGTATCGTTCTATACTAACCTTCACTTTGCTAAAAAGAAAAATTATCTTTCACATTACAAAACAATTTTTCATGTATGGATTATCAATAAGCATTCATCAATAGTTAATTACACGCCCATACTAACCTTCAAGTCGACGAATCTCATCTGCAACAGAAAAAAAGACAACTTACAAATCAGAGGTCAAAATGACTATCTTATTGTTAGTATACCCAAAATATTAAACAGAGAAATAACTTCTTAAAATGAAGTAACTTTAGTACATTGAACATAAAAAGGCATAAATAACCATAAGCATAAACTAGGGATTCAAGGATAGTGCAAAGTTTCGTAGAAAAAATGTTGCTATTCATGGCAAGTAAAATTAGTTACAAGAAAGCATAGCATCGAACCTTGGATATAGTGAACATAAACAGGCATAAAGAACCATAAACAAAATTAACATAAGGATACTTCATGATTATACATTAAAACATAACAATGAAAACAATACAATTGTTAATTTTTATAAAGCAAAGCCTTGGTTGTGGTAAGAAAGCTAAATACTGCTTTAAAGAGCATATTTACCATGGTAAATTACAACTATAACCTTGGTATATGTTTTTAAAAAGAACTGTTCAAAACCAACATTAAGATAAATTAAATGATCGATGCATTTCGGTAGACCTCGTAAGGTATCGCGTCTGCTTTAAAGAAAACAAAAAATCTGCTGATAATAAGCGCAAAGACGAAATATATCAGAAATACTGGCAAAAAACTCTTTAAAGCAATATTTTCCCGTTTACAAATGAAATTAACTGACAAATTTAAAAATTGTGAAATTTTAATACTTAGAGACGAATAAGTTCAAATAACAGAATGTTTCCTGGGTAAACGAGAGGAGAGAGAAGTACAAAATAGAACGTCATTTAATAATGATATTTCAGTTGCATTAACGTAAACTGATAAATAATTCCTTTCCTCCGAAAAGTGTTGCACTGATTTATTGGCAAAAATCGTTAAAAAACATGAAAGGTTATACAAAAATTGTTTCACAAATGTAAGGCAGCAATGTAAACTTTGTAAATGTGAGTAAATTTTACATTAGACATCTGTGTTCTGTGTCAAAAATTCATCAAAATTTGATAGTTGTGTCGTGCAAGTAAAATATTTTCAGTGAACATTGATGATAATAGAAGACAGAAAGATGTAAGTCATGGTATCGTTCTATACTAACCTTCACTTTGCTAAAAAGAAAAATTATCTTTCACATTACAAAACAATTTTTCATTTATGGATTATCAATAAGCATTCGTCAATAGTTAATTACACGCCCATACTAACCTTCAAGTCGACGAATCTCATCTGCAACAGAAAAAAAGACAATATTTTTCCACTTACAAATTAGAGGTCAAAATGACTATCTTATTGTTACTAAACTCAAAATATTAAACAGACAAATAACTTCTTAAAATGAAGTAATTTTAGTACATTGAACATAAAAAGGCATAAATAACCATAAACATAAACTAGGGATTCAAGGATAGTGCAAAGTTTCGTAGAAAAAATGTTGCTATTCATGGCAAGTAAAATTAGTTACAAGAAAGCTTAGTATCGAACCTTGGATATAGTGAACATAAACAGGCATAAACAACCATAAACAAAATTAACATAAGGATATTGCATGATTATACATAAAAACATAAAAACGAAAACAATACAATTTTTAAGTCTTATAAAACAAAACCTTGGTTGTGGTAAGAAAACTAAATACTGCTTTGGTGAGCATATTTACCATGGTAAATTACAACTATAACCTTGCTATATGTTTTTAAAAAGAACTGTTAAAAACCAACATTAAGATAAATTAAATGATCGATGCATTTCGGTAGACCTCGTAAGGTATCGCGTCTGCTTTAAAGAAAGCAAAAAATCTGCTGATATTTAGCGTAAAGACGAAATATATCCAAAATACCATCAAAAAAAATCTTTAAAGCAATATTTTCCCGTTTACAAATGAAAAATTGAATGACACATTTAAAAATTGTAAAGTTTTAATACTTAGAGACGAATAAGTTCAAATAACAGAATGTTTCCTGGGTAAACGAGAGGAGAGAGAGAAGTACAAAGTAGAACGTCATGTAACAATGATATTTCAGTTGCATTAACGTAAACTGATAAATAATTCCGTTTCTCCGAAAAGTGTTGCACTGATTTATAGGCAAAAATTGTCAAAAACGTGAGATGTTATACAAAAATTGTTTAAAAAATGTAAGGCAGAAATGTAAACTTTTTAAATGTGAGTAAATTTTACATTGGACATCTGTGTTGTGCCGTGCAAGTAAATTATTTTCAATGAACATTGATGATAATGGGAGACAGAAAGATGGAAGTCGTGGTATCGTTGTTTACTAACCTTCACTTTGCTAAAAAGAAAAATTATCTTTCACATTACAAAACATATTTTCATTTATGCATTATCAATAAGCATTCGTCAATAGTTAATTACACGCCCATACTAACCTTCAAGTCGACAAATCTCATCTGCAGCTAAAAAAAAGACATTATTTTTCCACTTACACATTATAGGTCAAAATTACTATCTTATTGTTACTAAATTCAGAATATAAAACAGACAAATAACTTCTTAAAATGAAGTAACTTTGAGTACATTTAACATAAAAAGGCATAAATAACCATAAACATAAACTAGGTATCCCAGGATAGTGCAAAGTTTCTTAGAAAAAATGTTCCTATTCATGGCAAGTAAAATTAGTTTCAAGAAAGCTTAGTATCGAACCTTGGCGCTTCAAAAAATGCTAAATTAAAATTTATTTCGTGTAGTGCTTATCAAAGACTAAGCAGTTTGTCTTTTGACAAATAGCTACAACTTGCTCAAAGATTACGAAACTTACGTAGCGGATACATAATAAGAACATTTGGCACGCCACAATCTTACATTCGTCATTCATGCATCACATTCTTCTATTATTACTATGCAGTATACAACATATAAATTACGAAATAACTCATGATTTACTTTCTTTGTTTCGGTTATGCTGTATTTTTTTGATTCTTCTGATACACATGTGAAGTTCATGTGTTCAGAAGAACAAAATACTTTGTTTGCGATATTTTTTAGCTCTAAATTCCACCTAATTAAACAATAAGGCACCGAGCAGTAAAATGCAACGATGTTCGATAAATATTTACGTAGTACGATTTGCATCAGCTTTCGGCAATCTTGTGTGAATGAACATTCATTTCGTATTTGCACTTTCATAGTGATTACATGAAAATCGACAAAGTCATACAATCGTACATGACTTTCTCATACTGTTCTAAAGCAATCCACAACTAATGCTTTCTTCAATGACAGTAATAGTGCACTTTTTTCTTGTAAAATGTTCCTTACCGAGGCAAATGTGTGCGCAACTTTCAATTTTACTGTCGTATGTTTAAGACCAATACACCAACACGTAATGTATGAGTGTGGTTAGACCAGAAGTTCAGAGCAGGTTGCTAAACAAACAGCACTAGCCAAATACTTGGCAAATACGGCAATACGGCAAATTAAATACCAATATTCTTCACATTCTATATAAACTCGAGCTTACAAATCTTCAATATATTTGTCAACAGTGCCAGCATTAACGAAAAGCGTTATAGTTAAAGAAAATTTTTTTGGATTTCGGAATATTCTATTCGCTTAGTTCACTCTTGTTACACAATTCATTATACAGTTCGCACAAAATTGGCGCATGCGTATTTAGATATTTCTTCAAAGAAAGAGAGCTGCTGGGGAAAAACGGGGAGAGATAGCTTGTTATAACGCATCAAATTGAATTTATAAATATATATAAATTGTTAGTTCAGAATGAAACAATTAGATGAATGTCTTAGTTAATGTGAGTTTAAGTTGGTGTTAAATGCTCTTTTAATAATCACTATTGATACTTGTGAAGATGATGATCTGACATCTATCTCACGATACTTTCGTTTATCAAACTTGAAACCCTTGTTATTCAGATATGTGTTTCCCTAAGGCACAGAATATGTAACCAGAAGGGTCACTCCTTTGAAGTTTTTGGTCACGCCGACTATTTCCGAAAAAGCGCGTCGCCATTTTCTTGGGTAGCAAAGTGAGAGACTTTTACTATAAACAATATGGCGAAAATTGGATTCCCGATTTTAAAAATGCTTTTTATGGAGTTGAAGTGGACAATCTTTGCCGTTTTTATTTTTATATACACGATTACGTTGTCGACTCTTTTGACTTAAAAATCTATATCTGACTTGTCATATATTTAAAAGGAACAATAGAAATGATTTCAACTACGCTTCATTGTTTTGGAGATTAATTTCGTGTTTGAACGCTTTAAATAAAGTACCACTAGGACATACAAAATAGCAAATATAAGTTCATGTACAGTTTATAGTTGGGCTGATTACTCATATTTACGCTTAGATATGTTGTAAGTCTAAATTCCTAGGAAATGCTTTCGTTGAATTACTTACACATGTCCACCTAACTTATTGAATATATACAAACATGACTAGTCTAAAATAGGTATCAAACTAAATTAGTGAAGTTTTTCGCTCTTGAAATAAATACACTGCATGTCTTCTATATGGACTTAACGAAGCAGTAGTTAGAAACTGTATTTATCCATTATCAGCCCATTGTTGATGACCAGAAATATTGTTTGTATTGTTCAATAACATAACACTTTGATTTAACCATGGTTAGTTGTCAATACCTCCTTTAAACCACACACCAGCAATAAAGTATTTAGCATTATTAATTATACATTGTATACATACAAGTACTACATAATATGTCCACGGAATACTTTAGACGAATTGCTAAAACAGTCGAAGCCGCCGAGTAGGCGAGTATACTTCCGAAAAATCGCAGTCAAATTGTGTCGTAAAATTAGATTTTAAGTCAAAAGAATCGACGAAGTAAACGTATATTACCTTCTCTTTAATATAATCATAAAAGTGGCAAAGATTGTCTACTTAAACTCCATAAAAAGCATTTTTAAACTCGAGAATCCAATTTTCGCCATATTGTTTATAGTAAAATTATCTCACTTCACTACACAAGTCCCAAGAACATGGCGACGCGCTTTTCGTCGTAACCAAAATCTTCAAAGGAGTGACCCTTCTGATAGGGTTATATTTTAGCGACTATATATAAAGTCTACTATCTATAAATGTAAAAGATCACGACAAGTAAAAATGTTAGCATGATGACAGTTAAAGTATTTGAAGTCTATGAAGTGTTCCCGCAACTAAAAACGCTGACGAGAAATGTAAACCAAATTCATTCTTCTGAAAGACTTGAAGCGATCAATAAACATGAAACGAAGGCTTTTCAAGTCCATAAATTCTCGTAAAAATGCATAGAAAAACCAGTAATGTTTTTCATTTTCAAAATATATTTTAAACATCTACGATTGTGGATTAATTTTTAGGATGTAAAATATTCACCCGGACATCAAAAATTTAATGATTCAAAATAATACCTTGACGACGTTTATAACTAATGCGTCGATATTTCATTGCCACTTTAGAGTCTTCAGAAATATTACATAAAAACAAAAGAATATAAAAGGCTAGCGTTACTTTATAGAAAACGAAACTTTTTTCATTGATATACAGCAAGCCTTTCTAGCGGCAAAATGTTCACACAAAGCAAAGAAGTAATAACTCAAAACATCTTACTTTTGTTAGCTGCACCTCCTTCACCATCGCCGCTTTTAGCACTGTTGGATGAACTGTGAACATTGTCTCGCAGTGTGAAAAATTGACCATTCTCTAGACCAAGTGCTTCTAAGGCCTTGTCCAATTTTAAGCAGATGTAACTATTTTCTGGACTATCGCAACCATCATCAAGTATTTCGCTAACACCATATGCAAATGGTAGCCAATTATTTTTTTCATCCAAAAACCAAACAAGAGTACCAGAGTCACCGGAATCAAGAAATGTTTGACAACTTTTTATCTTGATGGCATTCTGGAAAATGCGACGTGTGGAATTTTTACACCAATACTCATAATTCAATTCACTGATGAAGCCCTCTACACCAGTGGCTGTGCGGACTTTAACAGCCTCCTTGTTGTCTTCAACCCTTCGTTGAAGTTCTAAATTTGCATCACCCAAGTTCAATACAACAACTTCCATTTCATCACCAATAAGTTTCTTGAAATCTTCTTGCTTGCCAGTATTGATAGACATGATGTCTGTTTCACTATCAAACTGAGCAAAGGTGTGTCGATGAGAAGATCCAATTTCTGCTTTACAGTCACTCTTAGACGGTGTGTACATATACTTGTTTTCATCGTGTTTATTCAAGGTTTGTACAGCTTTGTTGATTGACACCAGTCGCTCTCCGTCAAGAAATGTTTGCTGGTGGTCAGTGGCACAAGCAACATGTGCACATGTCAAGGCGGAATAAACACCATCCTTCAGACAAATCAGTGTTATCGTACCGCAAGATGCTCTACCATTAGGATTTCCATCATGTGGTATTTCGATATTTGAAAGAAGCCGAAAGGGTGCTTCAATGGACGATGACGACCAAAATTCCCTCGAGTTCAATGTTTGAATTCCATGCACATCATGTATCCCTTTTGTCAAATTTTTGCTCGATTTTGTAAGATTGACAGTTAACCCTAAATTTGATTAATTATTAAAACATGTTACATGCCGCATGATATCAAATTTTCGGCCGGCAAAATTTATGTTTTTCAATTGGTCCGATGAACAAAACTACAAATTAATGTGTTTTTAATTTAAATGAAGCAATAAATTACCACAACTGTTGATTTTTGACTCATCTTGAGCAATAATCTCATCATCTTGGGCCAGATTTGCTGCTGCATCCTCATGGGTGATATAAACGTCATCTTGAGCAACCACATTGGTAGACTTTACAGCTTTTATAAAAGGAATTACAATCATTCATTCAAATAATTTTTCAAATAAAATAAATCCATAAACCTGAATATAAAATAATAATTCCAAAGTGAAGACGTAGCTAAAAACTATATGAGTAAAAAAAGTTATCCAAAGTGTTATTCACAACATAAGTTTCAGTGGCAAAGTCAGCCAAATCTTTTACTCTTATTTACGACTTTAGGTGTAGCTATTAACATAGCGCGTATTAAAAATCATAAATCTGTCATTAGTACAATAAATGGCTGTACCAACTTATGATGACTCAAGCGTTAAGAACATAGTCGAAGAATAGTAAAAGAATAGAATTTTTTTTATCCAGAAACGTTAACTCAGTCAACCTACGCTGATTTCAACGATGGACGTGTACAAACTACATTTACATAAAATTTCATAAAACTTACATAAAACTAGATAAAATTAAATAAAAATTATAAGAATACAACCTAAGTGTTCGATTTTATATAATAAAACCTTTTTAAAAAAGAAAGCGATAAAATGATTGGTGTTTCAGTCACAAGAAAGTAAATTAGAAATTATTGATTTGTTTTTATTTGTTTCCAAAATGTTAAAAAGATATCATTATGTTTATTTGTTTGTATGTAGTTCATTCAAAGTTTTTACTGCACGTCTGATTGATAGAAGTCGCTTTCCGTCAAGAAAGGTTTGCCTGTAGTCAGAGGAACAAGCTACATGTGCGCATGTCATGGCACAATAAACATTATCCTTCAGACAAAACATTGTAACTGTACTGATAGAACCGTTATGATTCTCATTTTCATCGGACGCATTTTGGATATTTGAAAGAAGTCTAAACGTTGGACGTGTCTAAAGAAGTCTAAACGTTAGAAGTCATCGACGATGGTGAATAAAATTCGCTCCTCAATGTTTGGAGTCCAAGTACATCAAACATCTCATTTGCCATGACTTTGTTCGGCTTGTCTTTTTCAAAATAAACCGTCAACCCTAATTTTTATCCATAGTTATCAAAACAATGAACTGTGTAATTAGGCCCGTTTCAATCGTCAAATTTTACATGCGCTGAATGGATTTAAAACAAAATAAAATGAGATCCAATTCCTCATTATCTTTTGCTTTAAATGCATTCGGCTCATGTAAAATGCGACGTTTGAAACGGGCCTAAGGGTCTTGCATTCAGATTACGTAGCCAGCCCGCACGTTTTTGTCCTGTTATGTAAAGTTGTGAACATTACAATAAAGGCTGCATGTGCCGTTCCAAAATTTTATCTTAGTTACAGTTTTTGTCCGAAATATACATGCTACAGCTATACCTCTTCTTGTTTGTTGGTTCTTGTATATCTTTTTGTACGTCCATTGAACTGAATAGAAAATATTATCAGAACTAGGCTAATATGAACAAAATCAATTTACTCAATGCTTCATTCCCAATATATGTTGTAGTTGTGTTATAGACAATAGTTTCATTATTGTTATGCACATAATCAGCATTATAAAATTCATCACCTTTGAAGAATATGCAATCTCGACTTGATATAAGCAAGATACATATAGCTATTTAATATATTACCTTTATACAATAATAGATTTCTCTTCCACAGTGCATCTACAACTGTATCGTGCAAAAGTAATATTAGTTTTTATTTTAAAAGTAATAAATTAGAATCAAAGATTTTATGTTGAGTAGATATTTACTCATTCTATGAACAATTGTTGGACAAAACCTTTCAAATAAAACCGGGAAATATGAACAAAATTTATTTCATACACCATCGAAAGCAAAAGTAATTATTTCTTCTTGCAAAGATAGACACAAAAAAAACTCGAGTAGTATATCAGAATTTCTTAGCTGGGAAAAGAAGGTAAGAGATAAGTACAATAATTATTTAACGAAGCATTGGTGTGTAGCACAGGTTTTCTCTCTGTGTGTGGAAAGGTAGAGCAAGTGAGTTGTAAAAAAGTAAAGACACACGAACGTGAAAAAAACTTTCCAAAAAGTAGCTACGCAACAGTATTGTTTGTTACATGTAACATTGATTTGTTAAAAAACAAATTTTAAATGATCCCTTTACCTTCTTTATATCGTTCCATCTTTTTTTCCATCAATTCTACATTTGAAACAAAAGAGAACAAATGAATGCGCGTCTCTTTTTTCTAATATAGATAACACTGTCTCTAAAGCCATTTCTCCTGCCATGCAAAAACGAATATCCATGTTGAGTATCCTGTAAACTTTTCATTATATTTCTTTAATTCAATCGTCGTACTAATGCCATACAATACTACCTTTCTTCAAGCGTTGATGTTTTTCCGATGGCACATCTTTTGCCTGCAAGGCTGTAGTATGAAAAAATGATATTACTTACATGCACCAAAACATGGACAGGTTTCAGTTTACTTATACTATCGAGGAGTGAAAAATAGGAACGGATAAACTTTCTTTTATAAATCAGGCCAAGAAAAAAGAATAGAAAACTATGGATGTATGCACAATTTTTAGTCATTTGAACATCTTCCATTCTCGCGCACATTAACTGAATTGCATTTAACGATGGAGTAAAAAATAAAAAAAACATGGTTTCCATGAATAGACGATGATTCACAACATAGTCACCTTTGGGAACTTTCAGAGCTCTAATTACTAAAAACAATAACAAACAGAATATTATTTTATGATTTTTATTGCTAAAAACTTATTGCAACATCATCAACTCATTCCCAGGAACAATAGTTATGAGGCAAAGACAACTATTATTTTGTATAGTCCTACTACATAACACATAAAATACACAAAAAATAACAGTATTACCATTCTTTAAATATCGGTATTCCTGAATCATGGTAAGTTCTTGTGCAGAATGAAAAACTAAAAACAACATTGTTTCTTTTACGCAGCATATTGTTTACAATTGTTACAACTTGCTTTAATTACACGAATGTGAGAAATATTTCTCTCAACATAGTGAATGTTGTCATGCGAAATATTTCTTCAAACATTACCATCTTCAATGACAAATGTTTTGACTGTTGGAATGAAAGGAATATTTCATTTGGTGTGGAGTGTTTTTTTGAGCGCAGCGTTGCTCATTGGAAATACATTCCTTGCTGCAACAGTAATTTTGCTCCATGTTCGACACATGCAGGCCACATCACATATTTTTATCAAATTAATGTCAGGGTAAGTTGACACATTATAGACAAAAACATTCGTCATTAATATGTTGTATATATGACTATACCAACCTTTACGACGACGTCCTTTCTTCTCTACACCAATATGAAAAACAAAATGGCTATGCCAACCAACATGTCGCCACTGAATCTTTTCTGTTTTATATAAAAATTAAAGACAAAAAAATTTGTTCACATTTACATATAACAAGTTAATCGATGTCAAATAAAGCATCTCAAGAAAAGAAAGCGATAAAAGATATTTATAATTAGCAATCGTATTTCAGTGACAAGAATGTAAATTACAAATAATTGATTTATTTCCAACATTGCAAATAAAATATTACTACAATACCTGAACACAAACCAAATACAAAAAACGAGACAAATTTGAAAGCTTTCAGTAATTATAAATAGGCGTCAGCCTTTGCTCACCATTCATCATGCATTTTTTACAGTAATAAATAACTTAATTTAATGTCATTGATTGAACATATTTTTTCTATACAGTAACGATCTCTTTCTGTGAGTGAGACACAGCGTAACTAACATCAGTACAACATTCTACAAGTCTCTCAAAAACTCGCAGGCAACAAATGTCTAAATGCAATACCTTGTAAATATTCTACAACATCTTGAAGACCAATAGTGGTCAGAGCATCAAGTAAAATTGTTTCTGTAGCATTTCTTCCAGTGTTTCTTTTCCAATATCTAAGCAGTTGAAATGCCCTTTTTTCCACTTTTTTATGTTTAGAATTACTTTTGTCTAATTCCCTTTTAGGTATCGATAACTTTCTACCAAGCTCGATCCACTGAGGACTAATGAAGTAGTCCTTTGCAGTCACGCTTTGTTCTATATCAAGCAGAATTCATAATTTTACTCATAATTGTTATCACTTTTCATGCAACAAAAGCACTGACGCATCGAAGCACGGAAGCACTGAGGGAAAAAATACTTTTTACTAATAAAACTATTAATTACAAATAAATTGTTATATTGCTGTGCATGACCGTATAAACCTTAAAAAATTCGAAAGAAATTTACAATTAGATAAAAATAAATATTATTTTGGCATTTACATAAGACAGGTACACAACCATTATTGTTGAAAAACTGACACTATATAGACAAAAAAAGCTTCATAAAATAATTCATAAAACTTTTCTCCAATTTAGTAAAAACAAAGACACATACACAACCATACACATTATAGATATTATTACTTTAGGCTATTGCATGACGAAATTTTAAATCTAATTGTTACACCATCATATCTACTAGCCAATATGATCATCATCAGACCAGCAATGAATTAAAAATATATCGGTATGATGTGCTATACAAAAAATATTTTCACATTTACATATGACATGTTAATTTGATTATCTTGCTGTTAAAAAACTGAGACTATAACAGACACAGGGGCTTCGGAAGTCATGTCCGTCCCTTAACATACAAATAACCTCTTAAAATGAATTAATTTTGCTTCAATACATTGAACATAAACAGACAAAAACAACCATAAACCATTAAGGTAATATATTGCATGACAACATTGTCTTACAAATGTTGCCAGGATAACACAGAAAAAATCCAATAAAAACCCTATAAAAACAAAATTTCTTCCCAAAATTTCTTCCCATGTTCACAAAACACAGTGAACAAAAACGAATATAAACAACCAAAAACATAAATAATGTAAGAACACTTCATGACTATACATAACAATATATGATTATAAATGAAATGTATAAGCTTACACACTTCGCTAATGAAAGAATTTCTAATATCTTTATTATTCTGAATATTTTTGTCATTTATGCTTTATATATGAAGATTCATCATCAATAAATTGCATGACCTCCAACAAAATATTATTTCAACATTTACGAAATAAAAGGTTAACTAAGCACGAAATATATTGTATTCCAGTTGCATTAATGTAAATTAATTTCTAATGAAAATAATATTTAATTTTGCAAAAAGAATGTTGGTTATGTTAACGCTTTATTCAACCTTACCTTATTGAGGGAAAAAATAACTTTTTACTAATAAAACTATTCTTTACTAATACATTGTTATATTGCCGTACATGCATAACCATACAAACCTTTCCAAAGCCAACGTTCTGCAAATAAAGAAAAACAAATAATATTTTCACATTAACACAAGACAGGCCAAATTTACTATCTTATTGTTAAAAAACTTATAACTGTATAGACACATAAAAACTTCATAAAATTAATTAACTTTCCCTAATTTACTAAAAACAAAGACACATAAACAACAATAAACATTATCAATTTTAATAAATAGTATGACTCTACTATCGTCAAACTGTCCTCAAGTTAACACAAATTTCAAATTTTAAAATTTTAATCACTTAGCAAAGAATAAACTCGGGTATTTGAATATTCACTGCGTAAACGAAGGGATAGAGAAATATACAAAATAGAAGTTTAACGATTCATTCATATTTTAGTTGCGTGAATGTAAAAAAATTAATTTGTCTTCAACTTAGTGATTATATTACATGTATGTACAGTGTCGAACCATATAATAACTTGTAGTTGTTTTTCCCTTGTTTAAACGTATTTAACTGTGGGACACTAATAGTGTATAAAAGACACCTAGATTGATTTTTGAACAAATGTATGTAGACCTGGGCATGCACTATGAGTATTTCATTGTTTACAGGAAAAGAAACAAAGTTGCAATAAATAAAATGTAACATCATTTACAATTATGGACATTGAATGTTTTATGCAGTACGGTGTTTGAAATTAAATAAAGATATGATCTTCGCACTTTTCTGGACAATTTAAGCAATCGTCTCAGGAGCCTGAAAAATCAGGTGACTCAACGGGAATCGAACCCATGACCTCTGCGGTGCCGGTGCAGTGCTCTGACCAACTGAGCTATGAAGTCACACAGTGGTGAGCAGGTCAATATTGTTGGGCTCATGTTTTCTCGTGAAAGGAATGTCGTATGAATGTTTTATGCAGTGCGGTGTTTGAAATTAAATGAAGATATGATCTTCGCACTTTTCTGGACAATTTAAGCAATCGTCTCAGGAGCCTGAAAAAATGGGTTCGATTCCCGTTGAGTCACCTGATTTTTTCAGGCTCATGAGACATTCCAGAAAATGCGAATCATATCATTAAATTCAAACACCGCACTGCATAAAACATTCATACGACATTCCTCACAGCATGAACCCAACAATATTGATCACTACTCACTGCACTGCATCAAGCAGAGGTCATGGGTTCGATTCCCGTTGAGTCACCTGATTTTTTCAGGCTCCTGAGACGATTGCTTAAATTGTCCAGAAAAGTGCGAAGATCATATCTTCATTTAATTTTGGACATTATTATTCATGTGATGAAATTAAAAAAAGGAAATTTGTGATTATGCATGAAATGTTTAAGCTTATACGCTTCGCTAATGAAAGAATTTCTAGTATCTTTATTATTCTGAATATTTTTGTCATTTATGCTTTATATATGAATATTCATCATCAGTAAATTGCATGACCTCCAACAAAATATTATTTCAACATTTATGAAATAAAAGGTTAATTAAGCACGAAATATATTGTATTCGAGTTGCAATAATGTAAATTAATTTGCAATGAAAATAATACTTAATTTTGCAAAAAGAATGTTAGTTATGTGAACGCTTCATTCAACCTTACCTTATTGAGGGAAAAAATAACTTTTTACTAATAAAACTATTCTTTACTAATACATTGTTATATTGCCGCACATGCATGACCATACAAACCTTTCCGCCGCAAAGGTTCTGCAAATAAAGAAAAACAAATATTATTTTGACATTAAAACAAGACAGGCCAAATTGACCATCTTATTGTTAAAAAACTTACAACTGTATAGACACATAAAAACTTTATAAAATTAATTAACTTTCTATAATTTACTAAAAACAAAGACACATAAACAACAATAAACATTATCAATTTTAATAAATTGTATGGCTCTACTATCGTCAAACTGTCCTCAGGTTAACACAAACTTAAAATTGTAAAATTTTAATCACTTAGCAAAGAATAAACTCGGGTATTTGAATATTCAATGGGTAAACGAACGGATAGAGAAATATACAAAATAGAAGTGTAACGAACCATTTTTATTTTAGTTGCATAAATGTAAAAACAATTAACTTGTCTTTAACTTAGTGATTATATTACATGTATGTACAGTGTCGAACGATATAATAACTTGTAGTTGTTTTTCCCTTGTTTAAACGTATTTAACTGTGGGACACTAATAGTGTATAAAAGACACCTAGATTGATTTTTGAACAAATGTATGTAGACCTGGGCATGCACTATGAGTATTTTATTTTTTACAGGAAAAGAAACAAAATTGCAATAAATAACATGTAACATCATTTGCACTTATGGAGATTATTGTTCATGTGATGAAAATAGAAAGGAAATTTGTGATTATGCATGAAATGTATAAGCTTATACACTTCGCTAATGAAAGAATTTCTAATATCTTTTTTATTCTGGATATTTTTGTCATTTATGCTTTATATATTAAGATTCATCATCAATAAATTGCATGCTCTCCAACAAAATATTATTTCAACATTTACGAAATAAAAGGTTAACTAAGCATGAAATATATTGTATTCCAGTTGCATTAATGTAAACTAATTTGTATTGAAAATAATATTAAATTTTGCAAAAAGAATGTTGGTTATGTGAATGTTTTATTTAGCCCTACCTTATTGAGGGAAAAAAAATAACTTTTTACTATTAAAACTATTCTTTACTAATACATTGTTATATTGCAATACATGCATAACCATACAAACCTTTCATACTTTCAAAGAAATCTGCAAATCGAGAAAAACAAATATTATTTTTACATATTACAAGTCAGCCCAAATTGACTATCTTATTGTTAAAAAACTTAGAACTATATCGACACATAAAAACTTCATAAAATTATTTAATTTTCTCCAAATTAGTAAGAACAAAGATACATAAAAACCATAAACATTAACGATATTATGAGCTATATTAATGGACTATACTATTGTCAAACTGTCCTCAGGTTATAACAAATTTTAAACTGTTAAATTTTAATCACTTAGCAAAGAATAAAATTGGACATTTGATTTTTCCTGGGTAAACAAGCGGAGAGAAAAATACAAAATAGAACTTCAACCTGCTAATCGTATTTTAGTTGCGTGAATGTAAAAATATTAATTTGTCTTCGACTTAGTGATTATATTACATGTACGTACAGTGTCGAACGATATAATAACTTGTAGTTGTTTTGCCTTGTTAAAACGTATTTAACTGTGGCACACTGCAAGTGTATAAAAAACACCTAGATTGATTTTTTAACACATGCATGCAGGCCTGGGCATGCACTATGTGTATAAATTATCATAAATAGTATATTGCTATGCACCATCATACTAACCAAAGTAAAAACAATGTTGATAAGGTTGAATAAGGTTGAAAAAAACTAGAAAAAAAAATAAAATTTTTATAATTACATAAAACAAGTCAAGTCGACATGCATACAGTACCCTGGGCATGCACTATGAGTATTTCATTGTTTACAGGAAAAGAAACAAAGTTGCAATAAATAACATGTAACATCATTTACAACTATCGAGATTATTGTTCATGTGATGAAATTAAAAAAAGGAAATTCGTGATTATACATGAAATGTATAAGCTTATACACTTCGCTAATGAAAGAATTTCTAATATCTTTATTATTCTGAATATTTTTGTCATTTATGCTTTATATATGAAGATTCATCATCAATAAATTGCATGACCTTCACCAAAATATTATTTCAACATTTACGAAATAAAAGGTTAACGAAGCACAAAATATATTGTATTCGAGTTGCAATAATGTTAATTAATTTGTAATGAAAATAATTCTTAATTTTGCAAAAAGAATGTTGGTTATGTGAATGTTTTATTGAACCTTACCTTATTAAGGGGGAAAAATAACTTTTTACTAATAAAACTATGCTTTACTAATACATTGTTATATTGCCGTACATGCATAACCGAACAAACCTTTCCGCCACAAAGGTTATGCAAATAAAGAAAAGCAAATATTATTTTCACATAAACACAAGACAGGCAAAATTGACTATCTTATTGTTAAAAAACTTATAACTGTATAGACACATAAAAACTTCATAAAATTAATTAACTTTCTATAATTTACTAAAAACAAAGACACATAAACAACAATAAACATTGTCAATACTAATAAATTGTATGACCTTACTATCTTCAAACTGTCCTCAGGTTAACACAAATTTAAAATTGTAAAATTTTAATCACTTAGCAAAGGATAAACTTGGATATTTCAATTTTCCTGGGTAAACAAGCGGATAAAGAAATATTCGTATTTCAGTTGCGTGAATGTAAGAAAAATTAACTTGTGTTCAACTTAGTGATTATATAACATGTATGTAGAGTGTCGAACGATATAATAACTTGTAGTTGTTTTTCCTTGTTTAAACGTATTTAACTGTGGGACACTACTAGTGTATAAAAAAAACCTAGATTGATTTTTGAACACATGCATGCAGACCTGGGCATGCACTATGTGTATAAATTATCATAAATAGTATATTGCTATGCACCATCATACTAACCAAAGTAAGAACAATGTTGATAAGGTTGAACAAAGTTGAAAAAAACTAGAAAAAAAAATAAAATTTTTGTAATTACATAAAACAGGTCAAGTCGTCGTGCATGCAGTACCCTGGGCATGCACTATGTGTATTTTATTGTTTACAGGAAAAGAGACAAAATTACAATAAATAACATGTAACAGTGAAAAACATTAAAAGCAGCGTTATTTAAGAAGTAACGTTTCTATTCAACATTGCCTACATAGTGTATAATAATACCAAGTATGATACCTAACAAAACAACATATAACTCTAATTTGTAAAAGTAATTCGTTAAATAAGTTAACTGACACATCTTAAAATTGTAAAATTTGAATACTCAGAGACGAACGAACTCAAATAACAGAATGTTTCCTGGGCAAACGAGAGGAGAGAGAAAGTACAAAATAGAACGTCAAGTAAAAATCATACTTCAGTTGCATCAACGTAAATTTAAAATATATCCCTTACTCATAAAAGGTTCTGCGCTGATTTATGGGCAAATACCGTAAAAAATTTGAGAGATTATACAAAGATTGTTTAACACATGCAAGACAGCAATGAAAATGTGAGTAAATTTTACTTTTACATTACCAAACATTTTTTTTATTTATGCATTATCAATAAGCATTCGTCAATAGTTAATTACACGCCCATACTAACCTTCAAGTCGACGAATCTCATCTGCAACAGAAAAAAAGACATTATTTTTCCACTAACACATTATAGGTCAAAATGACTATCTTATTGTTCATAAACTCATATAACAGACAAATAACCTCTTAAAATGAATTGACTTTGGACATAGTGAACATAAACAGGCATAAACAACCATAAACAAAATTAACATAAGGATATTTCATGACTATACATAAAAACATAACAATGAAAACAATACAATTTTTAAGTTTTATAAAACAAAGCCTTGGTTGTGGTAAGAAAACTAAATACTACTTTGAAGAGCATATTTACCATGGTAAATTACAACTATAGCCTTCGTATATGTTTTTAAAAAGAACTGTTAAAAACCAACATTAAGATAAATTAAATGATCGATGCATTTCGGTAGACCTCGTAAGGTATCGCGTCTGCTTTAAAGAAAACAAAAAATCTGCTGATATTTAGCGCAAGACGAAATATATCAGAAATACTGGCAAAAAACTCTTTAAAGCAATATTTTCCGTTTACAAAAGAAAATTGACTGACACATTTAAAAATTATGAAATTTTAATACTTAGAGACGAATAAGTTCAAATAACAGAATGTTTCCTGGGTAAACGAGAGGAGAGAGAAAGTACAAAATAGAACGTCAAGTAACAATCATACTTCAGTTGCATCAACGTAAATTTAAAATATATCCTTTACTCCTAAAAAGGGCTGCGCTGATTTATGGGCAAATATTGTAAACAAAGTGAGAGATATTATAAAGATTGTTTAATTAACACATGCAAGACAGCAATGAAAAAGTGGGTAAATTTTACTTTCACATTACAAAACTGTTTTTCATTTATGCATTATCAATAAGAATTCGTCAATAGTTAATTACACGCCCATACTAACCTTCAAGTCGACGAATCTCATCTGCAACAGAAAAAGACATTATTTTTCCACTTACACATTATAGGTCAAAATGACTATCTTATTGTTCATAAACTCATATAACAGACGAATAACCTCTTAAAATGAATTGACTTTGGACATAGTGAACATAAACAGGCATAAACAACCATAAACAAAATTAACATAAGGATATTTCATGACTATACATAAAAACATAACAATGAAAACAATACAATTTTCAAGTTTTATAAAGCAAAGCCTTGGTTGTGGTAAGAAAACTAAATATTGCTTTGAAGAGCATATTTACTATGGTAAATTACAACTATAACCTTGGTATATGTTTTTCAAAAGAATTGTTGAAACCAACATAAGATAAATTAAATGATCGATGTATTTCGGTAGACCTCGTAAGGTATCGCGTCTGCTTTAAAGAAAACAAAAATCTGCTGATATTTAGCGCAAGACGAAATATATCAGAAATACTGGCAAAAAACTCTTCAAAGCAATTTTTCCCGCTTACAAATGAAAATTAAGTGACACATTTAAAAATAATGAAATTTTAATACTTAGAGACGAATAAGTTCAAATAACAGAATGTTTCCTGGGCAAACGAGAGGAGAGAGAAGTACAAAGTAGAACGTCAAATAACAATCATACTTCAGTTGCATTAACGTAAATTTAAAATATATCCTTTACTCCAAAAAAGTGCTGCGCTGATTTATGGCTAAATATTGTAAAAATCGTGAGAGATCATATAAACATTGTTTAACACATGCAAGACAGCAATGAAAATGTGAGTAAATTTTACTTTCACATTACAAAAACAATTTTTTTATTTATGCATTATCAATAAGCATTCGTCAATAGTTAATTACACGCCCATACTAACCTTTAAGTCGACGAATCTCATCTGCAACAGAAAAAGACATTATTTTTCAACTTACACATTATAGGTAAAAATGACTATCTTATTGTTCATAAACTCATATAACAGACAAATAACCTCTTAAAATGAATTGACAAGTAAAATTAGTTACAAGAAAGCATAGCATCGAACCTTGGATATAGTGAACATAAACAGGCATAAACAACCATAAACAAAATTAACACAAGGATATTTCATGATTATACACAAAAACATAAAAACGAAAACAATACAATTTTTAAGTTTTATAAAACAAAACCTTGGTTGTGGTAAGAAATCTAAATACTGCTTTTGAAGAGCATATTTACCATGGTAAGTTACAACTATAACCTTGGTATATATTTTTAAAAAGAACTGTTAAAAACCAACATTAAGATAAATTAAATGATCGATGCATTTCAGTAGACCTCGTAAGGTATCGCGTCTGCTTTAAAGAAAACAAAAATCTGCTGATATTTAGCGCAAAGACGAAATATATCAGAAATACTGACAAAAAACTCTTTAAAGCAATATTTTCCCGTTTACAAATAAAAATCAACTGACACATTTAAAAATTGTGAAATTTTAATACTTAGAGACGAATAAGTTCAAATAGCAGACTGTTTCCTGGGTAAACGAGAGCAGAGAGAAGTACAAAATAGAACGTCATGTAAAAATGATATTTCAGTTGCATTAACGTAAACTGATAAAGAATTCCTTTCCTCCAAAAAGTGCTGCACTGATTTATGGGCAAAAATCGTCAAAAACGTGAGAGGTGATACAAAAATTGTTTAACAAATGTAAGGCAGCAATGTAAACTTTGTAAATGTGAGTAAATTTTACATTTCAGTGAGCATTGATGCTAATGGGAGACAGAAAGATGGAAGTCGTGGTATCGTTCTATACTAACCTTCACTTTGCTAAAAAGAAAAATTATCTTTCACATTACGAAACAATATTTTATTTATGCATTATCAATAAGCATTCGTCAATAGTTAATTACACACCCATACTAACCTTCAAGTCGACGAATCTTATCTGCAACAGAACAAAGACATTATTTTTCCACTTACAAATTAGAGGTCAAAATGACTATCTTATTGTTACTAAACTCAGAATATATAACAGACAAATAACTTCTTAAAATGAAGTAACTTTGAGTATAGTGAACATAAAAAGGCATAAATAACCATAAACATAAATTGGGATCCAAGGATAGTGCAAAGTTTCTTAGAAAAAATGTTCCTAATGATGGAAAATAAAATTAGTTTTCAAGAAAGCTTAGTACCGATCCTTGACGTTTCAGAAAATGCTAAAGTGAAATTCATTTCGAAACTTACGTAGCGGATACATAATAAGGACATTTGGCACGCCACAATCTTACATTCGTCATTCATGCATCACATTCTTTAATTATTACTATGCCGTATACAACATATAAATTACGAAATAACTCATGATTTACTTTCTTTGTTTCGGTTATGTTGTATTTTTTTGATTCTTCTGATACACATGTGAAGTTCATGTGTTCAGAAGAACAAAATACTTTGTTTGCGATATTTTTTAGCTCTAAATTCCACCTAATTAAACAATAAGGCACCGAGCAGTAAAATGCAACGATGTTCGATAAATATTTAAGTAGTACAATTTGCATCAGCTTTTGGCAAGCTTGTGTGAATGAACATCCATTTCGTATTTGCACTTTCATAGCGATTACATGAAAATCGACAAAGTCATACAATCGTACATGACTTTCTCATATTTTTCTAAAGCAATCCACAACTAATGCTTTCTTCAATGACAGTAATAGTGCACTTTTTTCTTGTAAAATGTTCCTTACCGAGGCAAATGTGTGCGCAACTTTCAATTTTACTGTCGTATGTTTAAGACCAATACACCAACACGTAATGTATGAGTGTGGTTAGACCAGAAGTTCAGAGCAGGTTGCTAAACAAACAGCACTAGCCAAATACTTGGCAAATACGGCAATAAGGCAAATTAAATACCAATATTCTTCACATTCTATATAAACTCGTGCTTACAAAATCTTCAATATATTTGTCAACAGTGCCAGCATTAACGAAAAGCGTTATAGTTAAAGAAAATTTTTTGGATTTCGGAATATTCACTCTTGAAACACAATTCATTATACAGTTCGCACAAAATTGGCGCATGCGTATTTAGATATTTCTTCAAAGAAATAGAGCTGCTGGGGGGAAAACGGACGGAGATACCTTGCCATAACGCATCACATGGGATTTATAAATATATATATAAATTGTTAGTTCAGAATGAAACAATTAAATGAATGTCTTAGTTAATGTAAGTTTAAGTTGGTGTTAAATGCTCTTTTAATAATCACTATTGATACTTGTGAAGATGATGATCTGACATCTATCTCACGATACTTTCGTTTTTCTAACTTTAAGCCCCTCGTCATTCACAGATGTGTTTCCTTAAGGCACAGAATATGTAACCAGAAGGGTCACTCCCTTTGAGTTCTATAATAACTGGAGCGGCTATCTCCAACACAACTTTAATTGGCGGCCGACGCCAAAAAATGGAGAATTTCTTCCATTACCGCTAAGATTTACCGAAATTGACTGCTTTTCCGAAAATATCACAAATTCTCTCTCCCCCCTTAAGAAAGAGTGAGGAAAAAGTATACGTGTGTTTCGCATATACTTTCGCATATACCTTAGCATTCGTCAATAGTTAATTACACGCCAATACTAACCTTTACATCGACGAATCTTATCTGCAACAGAAAAAAACCATTATTTTTCATTTTAGAAATTAGAGGTCAAAATGACTATCTTATTGTTACTAAACTCAGAATATATAACAGACAAATAACTTCTTAAAATGAAGTAACTTTGAGTATAGTGAACATAAAAAGGCATAAATAACCATAAACATAAATTGGGATCCAAGGATAGTGCAAAGTTTCTTAGAAAAAATGTTCCTAATGATGGCAAATAAAATTAGTTTCAAGAAAGCTTAGTATCGAACCTTGGCGTTTCAAAAAATGATAAATTGAAATTCATTTCGATAAGTGCTTATCAAAGGCTAAGCAGTTTGTCTTTTGACAAATAGCTACAACTTGCTCAAAGATTACGAAACTTACGTAGCGGATACATAATAAGAACATTTGGCACGCCACAATCTTACATTCGTCATTCATGCATCACATTCTTCTATTATTACTATGCAGTATACAACATATAAATTACGAAATAACTCATGATTTACTTTCTTTGTTTCGGTTATGCTGTATTTTTTTGATTCTTCTGATACACATGTGAAGTTCATGTGTTCAGAAGAACAAAATACTTTGTTTGCGATATTTTTTAGTGCTAAATTCCACCTAATTAAACAATAAGGCACCGAGCAGTAAAATGCAACGATGTTCGATAAATATTTACGTAGTACGATTTGCATCAGCTTTCGGCAATCTTGTGTGAATGAACATTCATTTCGTATTTGCACTTTCATAGTGATTACATGAAAATCGACAAAGTCATACAATCGTACATGACTTTCTCATACTGTTCTAAAGCAATCCACAACTAATGCTTTCTTCAATGACAGTAATAGTGCACTTTTTTCTTGTAAAATGTTCCTTACCGAGGCAAATGTGTGCGCAACTTTCAATTTTACTGTCGTATGTTTAAGACCAATACACCAACACGTAATGTATGAGTGTGGTTAGACCAGAAGTTCAGAGCAGGTTGCTAAACAAACAGCACTAGCCAAATACTTGGCAAATACGGCAATACGGCAAATTAAATACCAATATTCTTCACATTCTATATAAACTCGAGCTTACAAATCTTCAATATATTTGTCAACAGTGCCAGCATTAACGAAAAGCGTTATAGTTAAAGAAAATTTTTTGGATTTCGGAATATTCTATTCGCTTAGTTCACTCTTGTTACACAATTCATTATACAGTTCGCACAAAATTGGCGCATGCGTATTTAGATATTTCTTCAAAGAAAGAGAGCTGCTGGGGAAAAACGGGGAGAGATAGCTTGTTATAACGCATCAAATTGAATTTATAAATATATATAAATTGTTAGTTCAGAATGAAACAATTAGATGAATGTCTTAGTTAATGTGAGTTTAAGTTGGTGTTAAATGCTCTTTTAATAATCACTATTGATACTTGTGAAGATGATGATCTGACATCTATCTCACGATACTTTCGTTTATCAAACTTGAAACCCTTGTTATTCAGATATGTGTTTCCCTAAGGTACAGAATATGTAACCAGAAGGGTCACGCCGACACTTCACTCCTTTGAAGTTTTTGGTCACGCCGACTATTTCCGAAAAAGCGCGTCGCCATTTTCTTGGGTAGCAAAGTGAGAGACTTTTACTATAAACAATATGGCGAAAATTGGATTCTCGATTTTAAAAATGCTTTTTATGGAGTTGAAGTGGACAATCTTTGCCGTTTTTATTTTTATATACACGATTACGTTGTCGACTCTTTTGACTTAAAAATCTATATCTGACTTGTCATATATATAAAAGGAACAATAGAAATGATTTCAACTACGCTTCATTGTTTTGGAGATTAATTTCGTGTTTGAACGCTTTAAATAAAGTACCACTAGGACATACAAAATAGCAAATATAAGTTCATGTACAGTTTATAGTTGGGCTGATTACTTATATTTACGCTTAGATATGATGTAACTTTAAATTCCTAGGAAATGCTTTCGTTGAATTACTTACAGATGTCCACCTAACTTATTGAATATATACAAACATGACTAATCTAAAATAGGTATCAAACTAAATTAGTGAAGTTTTTCGCTCTTGAAATAAATACACTGCATGTCTTCTATATGGACTTAACGAAGCAGTAGTTAGAAACTGTATTTATCCATTATCAGCCCATTGTTGATGACCAGAAATATTGTTTGTATTGTTCAATAACATAACACTTTGATTTAACCATGGTTAGTTGTCAATACCTCCTTTAAACCACACACCAGCAATAAAGTATTTAGCATTATTAATTATACATTGTATACATACAAGTACTACATAATATGTCCACGGAATACTTTAGACGAATTGCTAAAACAGTCGAAGCCACCGAGTATGCGAGTATACTTCCGAAAAATCGCAGTCAAATTGTGTCGTAAAATTAGATTTTAAGTCAAAAGAATCGACGAAGTAAACGTATATTACCTTCTCTTTAATATAATCATAAAAGTGGCAAAGATTGTCTACTTAAACTCCATAAAAAGCATTTTTAAACTCGAGAATCCAATTTTCGCCATATTGTTTATAGTAAAATTCTCTCACTTTACTACCCTGATAGGGTTACATATTAGCGACTATAAAGTCTACTGTCTATAAATTTAAAAAGTCAAGACAAGTAAAAATGTTAGCATGATGACAGTTAAAGTATGTAAACGAGAAATGTAAACCAAATTCATTCTTCTGAACAACTTGAAGCGATCAACAAACATAAAACGAAGGCTGTTCAAGCCCATAAATTCTCGTAAAAATGTATAGAAAATCCAGTAATGTTTTTCATTTTCAAAATATATCTTATTGAACCATACCACCACCTAATTTTCAACATCCCCTAAAAGTTTCCACTCAGATTCAACGCTTTGAAAATGTGATTTCTCTATAATGAATAGGAGGGCAATCGCTCCCCTTTGTCCCTAAAGGCTAGGTCTCTGTCTATTATTTTAAAAGTCTTATTTTTGAAATGACCATAAACTTTCATACCTTTACGTTGAATTTTTTTCTTCCTCAGTTTTCTTTCCTCTACAGTAAAATAAACAATGAAAACATGTTTCGTTTTTATACATAATACAGATACATAGCTGAGTATGTAATAAATATATTAATATTACGATAAGTGGGACTTACGCGAATGCAGATGCAACATAAACAATTACGTCCCCAACAGATTAATTTCAATGAATCGTAAGCGGCAAGACATTATGAATTATCTGTAGTCTCTTACTCGTAAATTAATATTATTAAATCATTTGCATTTTTTCATTCAATTTTAAAACATGCGCCATAAAAACTAATATTTTTCTTGAAAACTATTCTTATTACAGCGTTGATTTTTCTTCCTCCATTCTACAGTATAAAATATAAGCAATTTAATGCTAACGTTTGCACATGCCAAATTAGCTTATTCATCATTATAAAACTGTAATTTTCTTAAGACAAAAGAAATACGAGAGAACATTTTCACATTAGAAGCGGGTTACATACAATACACACAGAGTAGAACCACGATGTATGACTTGTTTTACAGCAGCAGTGTAATAAGTGTTACAATTTGTTTTTTAAATCGAATGAACAATAATGAATATATGGACGATTCATATACAGAGTATACATCCGATTTTAACAGTGTCATAAATGATTAGCTGAAAGAAGTAGAAGTAAATAGTAAGAATCAAAGCAGTTTGGCCTTTGTGTACAATAGACAGTACCCGCAACTTCAACATTTTGCCTCTTGTCGCATATTCAGCAAAACTACAGTAAGCGATCAAATAGGTCATATTCTCAAAAAGGACCTTGCAAACCTTGTTTAATGATTGGCATGGTTAAAAGTAGAAAATCTGTGTATCTGTCCATAAATGTATATTTGTTCAAAGTGTAAAAGTTATTTTTCATCGCACAAAAAACGGTACGTTTCGAATTCGATTACTCGTTCATTTTGTGCAAGCTTGTTTTTCGAATTTTATCTTTGCTATAAATTAAGAAAGACTTTTAAATTCCTTATGAAACGAAAATTTTGCTATTTAAACTATATTTTCATCGAAAAGAAATTTTAAAATGACTGGTATGCTTTTTACAACTGCTTATACATAACTCTACTCATTCTCAAGATATTGAAGTTCTTGTAATGTCTGATTTACATAACTAATGACGTCATATATCATTTGAGTCACTGCAAAGTTTTAAATACCCTTTAGTTTCCAGGATGTTTTTAGTTGAAATGATTACCCAGCATTTTATAACATTAATATATCGAACAATGAAGGAGCTCTATCTGAATATATATCTGAAATTTGAGTTTCCGTTATGCCTTGTGGTGACGTCATTAGTTGTGCAAATGAATACTACAAAAATCTCATTATTTTGAGGATAAAAAGCGCTATGGATAAACTGTTTTAGGGAGTTTACTTTCAGTTTAGAAGTTCTGTTCAATGAAACTTTTATTGAAATAGCAAAATTTTCGTTTCATAGCACTTTAAACATATATAATTAATCCGAATTACTAATATGCACTAAGTTATAACGCAAACTTACAACGAGCTTGCTTTCTGTTATATGAACATTTAATGTCAAAAATGTCAGCAAACCTCGAATTTTTTTCCTTTCTTTTAAACATTCGTCATTATCATTACTGCATGACCATACTAACCTTTAAAATGTCGTTTTCTTTCCTTTCTCTTTTCTACAGTATAAAAATAGACAATTTGATTTTTAAAAATCTTTATAATAAAACTAAAGTTTTCATAAGGAAAACAAACTCAGATATTAGAATTTTGCCTTCGTCATTCAAATTACGCGATAAGAGAGAAGTAAAAAATAATTTAAGCATCAACTTTCATTATTTTTGTAATATACTGCAGGACTATACAAACCTTTAAGCTGATTTTGTGTTTTCGCCAGTTCTACATTATAAAAAAATTAACAATGAAATCAACATTATGCTTACGTTTACACTTGACAGTTCGACTGATTTACAGTTATCATTATATGAAATTGTTATTTTCTTAAGACACGCAATCTCAAATATCAGAATTTTGCTTTTACCAAACGAGCTAAGAGAGATATTATTATAATACATGACTAGACTATCGTCAAACTGTCCCCGGGTTATCACAAAATTGAAATCGTAAACTTTTAATACTTAGGGAACAATGAGCTCGGATATTTGAATTTTTCTTGGGTAAACGAACGGATAAAGACGTCCAAAAAGAACTTAACCGAAGCAATGGCATGTTAGTTGTATGAATGTAAAAAAACAACTAATTTTTCTTCAACATAGAGATTATACTACATGTATTTACAGTGCCGAACATAATAACTAGTAGTTGCTTTGTCCTTCCCTAAACGTATTTACTTGGGAACACTCTTATCAACTCTAAAGCACCAGATTATTTTTTACAGTATTCCGGACATGCACAATCAGGAAAGAGACAAAATTACAATACATACGTACATGTTAGAGTGAAAAACATGACTGATGTAACCATAAAAAGTGAAAAAGCTAAGAGAAATAAAGACTTATAGAAGTGGCTTATTTAAACAGCCCCATTTCCATGTAGATTTTTCATAATGTGGACATTATTAGATAACACATTTAAGCTAACCATATCTATAAAATATAGCACTGGAGAAGTTATGGTACTGTAGCAAAGTTTCATGGTTTTATCATTAAAGTTAATAATTGTGGTTGTTCATAGCTGCCAATTTTACGTCTAGTAGAGAAACAATAATTACTAGTTATATTGTGTTTACAATTTGATCGTATGGCGTAAACCTTTTAATCATAGACAGTTCTCAAATGATTAGTAGACTATAAAATGAGTGCAAAAGAGCTTCAAAAACGTAGCAGTTGTATTTTACTTTCCAATTTTGTTCTAAGCTGTGTATATTCTCAAACCTAAAATACCGTAAACCGTAATTAGTCTGCATGAAAATACCAACCTTCACGACGTCTTCTTTTCTCCACTTCTGTATTATCAAAACAAAAAAAGAAAAAACAGTTTTATGTTTACTTTTACACAAGATAAATCTGATTTAGATCTTAACAGGGAAGTGCAATAAGAACCTTCAAAAACGTAGCAGTTGTATTTTACTTTCCAATTTTGTTCTAAACTGTGAATATTGTCAAACCTAAAATACCCTAAACCGTAATTAGTCTGCATGAAAATACCAACCTTTACGACGTCTTATTTTCTCCTCTTCTGTATTATGAAAACAAAAAAAGAAAAACAATTTTATGTTTACTTTTACACAAGATATATCTGCTTTAGAGCTTAACAGGGAAGTGCAAAAAGAACCGTTAAAAACGTGTGGCTTAACATAGTATTTCAAAATAAAAAAATTGAATTATGCTTACTTCTAAACATGATTGTAAATGAAACAAATTTTATCATTAGTACATTGTATGTTATACATGACTATCCTATTGTTACTAAACTCACATGAAATGTATAAGCTTGTATTTTTGTTAGATTCATCATCAGTAAATTGCATGACCTCCAACAAAATATTATTTCAATATTTACGGAATGAAAGATTAACTAATTTACAACTGATTTTCTTATCGCTAAAAAATTGCAAGGATATGGTTAGGGACAACATATTTTCTTAAAAATAACGAACTTTATTCAATTATTCTAATTTTACTGTCGTAAAAACCTGATTTTTAATAATGACAGCGAAATTCAGACATCAGAATTTTGAGTTGGAACGCATTGAATCGTAATAGTAAGAATGGAAAATAAAACAATTTAGAGCTCTTTGACTACAATTATAAGTCAAGGAGTGTAAAAATATTAATGACACCCCGTACTATACTACCGTGACTATTTAAAACAAAGCGTCCTTTCCATTTGCAATGTGAAGAATACCAATGAAAATAATAGTATGCACATTTATACGTTTTATGGTGACAGTTTGCCTCATTTAGAGAAAATTGCCCAAAAACATTTGTCATAAGTATTGTTCTTAGTACTTACTTGTACGCAGCGATAAAAAGGAAGATCCTGTAAATATGAAATAAAACACATTAATTTCTCACTTACACATGACAGGTTAACTAATTCATTTTTAATTATCTCCTTTTTGAAAAAATGTATGAGAAATTAGATTAGTTGGTATGCTCATGTAAATTGTAGAGACAGATAAACTGGGATGACAGAAAACTGCATGTAGTAAAATCAATTGAAAGGAAAAACAAGGTACAAAATTATCCAAGAGCATTTGTCATAATTATTGCTCTTAGTACTTAGATAAGTATTGTTGTTTGTAAAGTATTGTTGTCATTTACTTTATAAGTATTGTTCTTAGTACTTAGACTCTTTGCAGTGACTCATATGCTATAGATAACAGGAAACTGCATCTGGTAAAATCAATTGAAAGGAAAAGCAAGGTACAAAACAAAATTACAATGTAGCACATGAATATACATTGAAAATAATTTTGTCTTCAGTTAAGTAAATGTTATCAATCTCCATGAAATGAACATCATTTACTGACTATTGACCAAAGAATGTTCATATTACGTCATTATTTATGACACACGAATAAATAGTGTCGTGAAGTGTCGGCAATATAATTTACCTAAAAAAAAAATAAGGGTAGTTTTGCGTTACCTTCTAAAAATCCCGAGTCTTTGGTGCCAATTTCCGAACTTCCCGAGTCCTTGGTGCCAATTTCTGAAATTCCCGAGTCTTTGACGATCATTTCTGAAATCCTCGAGTCTTTCGCATCCATTTCTGAATTTCTCGAGTTTGTGGGGTCACAGATTGCAATGAAAATGTCGAGTCTAATTCTGTTAACGAACAAACATACATTTATTTGCGTTCACAGGAAAACCGGAGAAATGTGAACTAGGTATTACAAAGAAAAAAAGCTAGGTTTTAAAACATCTTTAAAACTTTGTAACCCGTCTTTCTTCAAGATAGAATAGAAACATTGGCCTTAAAACATATCAATATGAACAGTACTATTTTAATGTTAAAAAATTTAAATTTTGTGTATGATAGCAAGACTTTTACACAAAAACATATGAATTAGTAAATGTCAATCTTTGTTTTTTTTTAATAAACCATGCTAGTTCAAAAAATTGCCAATTTTAGACAGCAAAATTTTCCTGTAAGTGTATAAAAACAACACACACTTAACAACATTTTCAACAAACCATGCGTGTTCAAAGACTTGCCAACTTTATGAAAACAATCGAAACTTAACAACAATTTAAAAACGTCATGATCATTTGAACGATAAATATGATTTTCAATAACGTCATTATCCCAGCAGTAAAAGAAACTTGTGTTTACTTTGATAGGAAAATGATAATTTTTGAAGAATGCAGATGTTAGAGACAAAGATTAAATAAATATAGCTCAAACAAAAGCTTTAAAACAGTGTAAAATGTGTTGAAAGCTGCGTTGCAATACATTTCTTTGCCATAAAAGAAAAGATAATTAATAAAAACATATATTATTCATATCGTATTCATATTGCATTCATATCCGACTGCGAGAGAACAAGTAATTTTAAAATTCTCATCATTCTTGTTTTGCTTAGCATGGTGCATTTAATGAACCGGTAACTTTTATTTCTTTCGTTTTTCAAACATTAACGTATATATGAAGTCGATCATCGATAATCCTTAATACTTGCAATAGTTGTAATTTACTTAACGTTCACAAAGACTATAGGAATATAGCTACTCTTTAAAACATAGAGTAGACTGAAACTATGCCCCACGAATATAAGTAATGGAATGCAAACTTGAAGGGACTAATTTAATTCAAATGCTGCAAAATCCAGATAATGTTTGATATACACAAGTATCTGACATAGGACAAGACATTTCCGACATTTTCAGTTGTACGATGAACTAATCGAAGACAAGCAATCGTTTCTTGTTAAATCATTTCATGAAAATGTTCACGAATGACAATATTTAAAGTATCAATGCAAAATGATTTATATACATATCATAAATGAAAACATGAATTTAGACAGCACCAAGAACAGTTTTCTCAAGAATTATATTTCTCATAATACAGTTAGCTGCGTGTCCACTTCCGCCAACGTAGTTCATAAAATTGTCATGAAGAAGAGAAAGTATACACGCTAACAAAGCTAAAGCTTCGTGAAAACGTTAAATATAACACTGTGGAAATTTTGTATGTGTGAAAGTTTAGTTGTGATTAAAAACGCAGCAAAAAAAAACACTCTAATGCTATAGAATTGTTTTAGTCCGTATAGTTACTGCCTACAAACTTTATGTTTTTTGCGTGATGGGTAGAAAATATTTACTTCTACACTAAATCGGAGTATTTGTAAAGAGAGTTATAAATAAGTTACATACACAAACTTTCGGCAATGAAAATTAACGTCTGACGCAATATAATTTTCTTAACGTTGTTAATATATACACCCTAAAAGAAATCACAAACTCAAGTATTTTTAAAAAATATCAGCCTTTAATCATGTAAAGAATACAATATAACAAAGTCTGGTAAACTTACAGATAAACCACTGATCTCCGATCACAGTCTCCAATAGGTATTTCAACAAGTGTATTTCTATAACGTTTGCCGTCAGGTTAGAAACAATAATAACGCCTCGTTTGCAATGTCGTCATAAAAAGATTATTTTAACAATGTAGAAATTTCAAAATAACAGTAGGAGTACATTTTTTTGAAAAAAATGCTATATGTTCTCCATGGGGGGAGGGGGGAGAATGAATAATTTGTGGTTTAAATGTTCTTCAAATGTATGAAAAATAAATAGAAAGATATTACATAGATAGTAAATTCACCATATAAAGTGAACCATTTATAAGTCTGAAATAGCTTGTTAATAAATCATTCAACTTCAATTTTCTTTCTCCTCATCGCTGCTTTCAAACTGAATAAGGACTTGAACACCATTTATTGGCACATGATGTTTCTTTCTAAAACCGCTGTCATTATGAGTCCACGATGAACTGCTCGTTTCTTTATTAAATGAACCGACGTTTTTTCTATTTTTCATACCATTCCTCTCGCGCGTCTCACCATTTCGTAAACGCTGTTTATAGAAAAAGGAAAATGTTGTATGATAGAAGACAATCTAAAGCAATGATGTGAAAGATTTTTGAAACTTATGTTAAGTAAATAGAATAGACCCATAGCAGTGCAAGGACAGACAAATAAAACATCAAATACATTTACTTTATTTAACATATAAATACCTGTAAAGTTTCTTCATTATGCTTTTCTTGATCTGATTGGCTTCTCTCTTCAACAACAACCTCCTTGTTTTCTTAAACGTTTCTTTCAAGTTTGTTTTAAATGATTTATTTACCACGGGAATATCCATCAATAGAGATATCTGATTGGCTGTCGCTTGGTCGTGGAGTAGTGGGTAATAATTCAGAAAATTCACTAGCACTGACAATGGGCATGATATCCGGGTCATGTGATTTCTCTTTCCACTTTTTGTCGAAGAAATCGCTTGAAAATTTTGATTCTTAATTGGGTCTTTAAAAACAGGACACGATCTATAATCTACTTCTGACGCATCCGAATGTGAAATTAGAGACCAGAAGTCTTCTAATAAGTCGAGGTTTTAGCATTTTTGGACGGTTTTCAACTATGTAGTTTTTACCATTAGAAAAACCATTACTTTCAGTTTCGCGAACTTTTATTTCTTCATAATTTTCATATCTAGACGGCGAATTTATAAGGTTTATTGTCCAAGCAGATGGTAAAGGTTTTTGTCTGCGAGTAGTCGAAGATGTAAAAGATCTTTTGTAGTTCAGTCTTGGGTGGTTTCTTGGCAAAGAACTCCTGTGTCTATAAAGAACAATGGAAATTTTAGAAATTTTAATTACCAAAAGAAAAGGACGACGTGTGTATTTGATGAAATAAAGCATAGTAAGCCATTCGTTGTTTAATAAATGTCAGAGTAAGATTCCATGTGCAGTTGACTTCAAGTCAGTGCCTTGTACTGCAACCAAGCAGTAAGAGTATAACTGCTCTGTTGTAGTACAACTGACCTGTAATAGTACGACTTTCCTGGATGATCAAATGTTCTCACAACAACAACAGGTTGTTGATGATCAACACTAGACAAATCATTGCCATATTGACTGTAGCCAATGTTGGTATGATTTCTTAATGAATCACTGGGCATCATGTTTCTTGAAATGTTGTTATGTGACGTCATATTACGTGACGTCATTGTGGCTGCCTCCTTAGAAGAGAAGTTGATTGGCTGTAATCTCTCTGTACGTAGTGGAGCATTGGCTTTTAGCTTCACATATTCTCAATATTTAACATCAACATTGAAATTACCACTTTCCTTTTTTTTGTTTTCATGAAACTCTGAAGAAGACTTCCATTCTTCGACAACACGATACTCATTAGCAACTCGTCCAACATTAGATACACGATTCTCGTGGGAAACAATATTCACGTCGTCCACACGACTCCATCCTTCTCCTAAAATTCAAGACGACGAAGCCTGGATTAAAACATTGAACACATGTGAAAGAAAATCAAGAGTAGTGATAACGGTAAATAATACGACAGGTTTTTTTAAAATCAACATGTTTCAACATCTCATTTGTCATGTCGTTTTTAACATCTCATGATGCCATGTCGTTTTTATCAAATGTGCTTTATCAATAGTGCTTTTACGTAGTTACGATAACGGTGATTATAGAGTTGGTAGCAATTGCCAAACATCTAGGATGTGACCACTATTTTCATTATTTTCTACAGAATCTTAAACAAAATTGTGTTAACAACTTACCTCTCGAAAAAATATCTTGAAATAATTCTCTCTAATAAACGACCATTAAAGTTTGAAAAACAGATAAACCAATACCAATGGCAAGCCGAAACAGATCTTAAATTCTCCTTTTATTATTCCATGCAGTCATTCTCAAGACTCAGTTCAACAAGTAAATATTGACTTAGAAAAGATATCCTTTTTCTAATCTTCAAAATGTGAAAGTAGCCATATTCTTTGCAATATTGTACTTTCATCCATGTTCTAGAAAAGTGGATAGAAACACGAAATTTGTCGATTCGAAACGAAGCATTTTTTTATAAATTTTTAGTAAAAGTTTTCGATATTCGAATTAAAGGTTTAGATTTGCAGACTCACAGATTAGACTTCGGACACCGGCAAGAAAAATGAAAAGTCATTTCATACATACGCAGTACGAAACTACGAAACTAGATTATTTACGAAAATAGTTATCGTTAATAGACGATGAAATCATTGCATATTTCATTCGTTAAGGAAAAAACAACATGTACGCCGAACGGGGGAAGATTTTCACATAAAAATAAGCATTCAACAAAGTCTTGTTTAATGTTTAAAGTTTGATGTACAAGTACTGACCTGTAATAGTTTGACTTTCTTAGTAGAACAAAAGTTCTCACAGTAAGAACAGTTGTTGGTTTTGAACGTTAAACACATCATAACCATGTTGACCAACATAGTACACCTTCTCACCAGTGTGTTTATTGGCTGTAAACTCTTTCTTTAAGTCATGGAACATTGGTCCTTAAATTCACACATCCTACATAATTATCATCAATGTTGCCATCATTGCTTTCCTGTTTTTGTGTTTTCATGAAACTCTAGGTTAGACTTACAATTCACAACATGGTCCTCGTTATATACACGTCATCGGGAAAATAGAATTAGCTACGTCACCTACACGAAACGATAAAGTTTAAGCTGAGAAATAATGTAAAACATTTACGTTATCAAAAGAAATATAAACTAAGTGATGGTTAAGTACTACAGTTGCAAAGTAACTTTGAGCATCTTTAAGTTTGTGTTGCAGATTTGATCTTTCATAATCGCAAATATCCATCAAATTTTATTTAAACAAAACGTAGTTTCAACACCTTACATGGCCTAAAATGAAATTTTTCCACCTTTACGATTCGCATCAGGGGTTTTATTGAGTAAAGATTGCTGCATTGATGGAGTCAACGACAATAATAAAATCTTCTATAGTGACTGATATCTTCATTATCAGTGTCTGTCTCAAGGCTCATCAAAATACCTTTAATGTCACAGAATTTAACAGCAAATACATCCTACCCGAGATATTTCAAAAGTAAGTTTTTTGATATTTATGTTCACCAGGTTAAGGCTTTTTCCTTGAAAATTGTCTGCAAAAGAAATTATTTCTATTTTGAAGTTCTAAAATTTACATTCAGATATGATTTGGCTAATATCACCAACATATAAAATGTACATGAATATTAAAAACCAAACATTTTACCACAATGTAATAATTTGTAATGCATTCATTTTTGTCTAAGCTTTAAATCGGGAATAACTATAGAATCACAGTGTAAATGTCGCACAAGTGACGGCAGAATCACCCAGTACTTAATTCTTATACTCTAATCTTGAGGATATGAATTGACATGTCGCAATTCCTAAAATCACTTTCGACCACTTGCGATGCACTAAACGCGCGGTAAATACAAAAAGCTAAATAACTTTACATTTTATCTAAATTTTTAAATCTCATCAACACGCCATAATTTTAATTTTATTATTTTCATTTTAACTTCTTATTTAGATCTACTGGATGAAAACTGTAAGAAGTCGTGGCTTTTCATGATTTTAGAACTGGAAAAATTTTCCTGTTTTGTGTCTACCTGTCGTAGTAAAATGCTTTAAAGTCAAAGCAAACAGAGTCGACAAAGTTTCAAACATTCAGACAAAGATGGTGCATAGTGCAATTGACATAACCAAACTGAGTATGTAGGAATTACATAGAACATAAAGATACTGATGACAAGTGTGAACTATAATAACTAACCAAACGTAACATGAAGTGTTTAAGAGTTTGAAAATATTTTCATGCTTTCATGAACATTTAACAACTATGATAAACGTTCCTACTTTGTCAATTTTGAAATGTTTGTTTTTAGTTACATCAATCCTGTATTATGACTATTGTCCAGCAAGATATGAAATGAAACAACATACCAGAAACAAGAAACAAGGTATGTTTCTCATTTCAGGGTGGTAGTTCAACAAACTTGTAACGAAAATTGTGATTCACTTTTCCACCTTAATTCACAATTTCACACCCTGAGATTAATGACCAGTGTAAAATGGCCTTTCAGCCTAGTTTATCACAAAAGAATATCATGCCTTTAGTAAAGTGAAGACAGTAAATACATGAGCAGTGCATTCATATTCAAAAACTGACAAAAGTCTGTTTCGATCAATGACAGTTGCCCCACAAAAAAACATTGTTGCAATATCAGTTCATCATTGATAAATTTACACACAAACCTTCATTTTTAACAACATAAACAATGATGAATTATGACAAATATACAGTTGAAATAACGAAATCATGTTGCAATGACAGGAATGTCTTCAGGAAAACTGACCTGAAATTAGCAAATACTTGATTTAAGAAAGTAAAGTGCAGTTATTGTTTGACAAATATATATTGGCACATGATACATGCTTAAAACTGATCAACTATATAAATAGTCTTCAATACATCACAAGTGTATGATGTCAATCACCAACAATTTACATATAAACCATTCACCTTTCCTTGAACTTCAAAGATATAATCACAAACAGAGCATCCTAAAACACTTCTCCAATCTTTTTCCAGAAATATATCCTGAAATATACATGAAAAACATCATATGACATACATTCACCATTTTTAGTGGACAATAATGTTGCGATAAATAAATGATTGAGGAGACTGAAACTATTGCATTCAAATGACACTTGGGAACACCTTTCTGATGTCAAAACTTTTAAAATTACCAATAAAAGCGAATATCACACAATTCTCATATTTTTCATTATATCTGTGCATTAATCATGTCACATGATAACTTCCTTACATCTTCCCTTTGTTCAAGCTTTCCTTCATACAAAACAGGAAAGGAGCCAGTCCTGGAGAGGAAATAAATATGTAAGTCATAACGTTATAACCAATGCGGCAAAAATTACTAACCCTGAGAATCATTCTAAACCTACAAATAACAAAATCTTTAAAAAATTCGCAACATAAAATGATATTTCTCGTTTATTTAAATTAAAAAATGGTTAAAACTATTTTCATTTAAGTTCATTTCGTAAATCTTTATATTTCTACTAACAACGATGTTTCCATTTAAAAAAATTAACATTCATGTTACTAGTCCCCAGTCCACTTTAGACCCACCAACATTACCTTACTTATCTTCAGTTGATGTCAGGGTTTTCTTCTCCATTTTTAATAATAAGAGACCCATGTCCTCCATCCCGTACGCATTTATTTCTTTCATAAGTAGTAGGTTCGGCAAAAAGGGAGAAACTCAAATCGAAACCACCGAAACCATATACTTCGCCAAATTCTACGTAAACCAAAGTTGTCACCCGATTCAAATAAATCGTCTTAAACGAAGAAATTGAAATCTAAGAAATCTATCAGGAAATCATGAAAGGAAAACATTTATCACTCAACAACAATGATTATTTATAATGGCCAATGACATCACCTCATGTTTCGATAAATTTACAAAATTTTCACTAAGGTTTCGTTAAATTTTATTGCTCTTGACGTCACAAGGTTACACAAACAAGTTACAATAATGTTCATAATTAAATATTTAATTGCGACTCACCCCATCACGCATCACCCCACACCACAATAAACGCGCTATTGTTCATCTACAGATCTACAGTAGAAAAGCTGTACTACAATAATGGTTAATTTAGGTGATGTCTTTCCGGATTTCGAGGCTGAAACGAACAAAGGTCCCATCAAATTTACCAATTCTTAGGAGACAGGTTAGGGTCAAATGCCTCGAGTCATTTTCTTGCAAAATCATAATCAACTTCAATTAGCACGCGCTAAGAATCATCAAGCTAACTCTACTCAATTATTTGATGTAATTCTTGTCTGAGCATAGAAGTGATTATAACATACATTGTTTATGCCAACCCTTGAGAATTACAAGGTAAATCCTTCCAGCAACTTTGAATTTTGAATCGTGAACTCTGTACTGCGAGTTTATAATAATCGTGGAAACTCCTTTTGATATGAGCACATATCAACGTTTTGTGAACATTTTTTCGAGTAAAGATATTCTCCTACCTTGACAAGATGATTGCTCTTGTCGTTAAGTCACCATATAATTTGAGTCCTTGTAATAGATAGCATTCGTGACAAAACATTGAAAAAAACAAAGTCCTATTTCGCATATTTATATTATACAAAATATAACTATTAAACCAAGCATTGAAATGAATATGAAATAATGAAAGTACTCAATTAATTTACTCAGAAACTGGTGTCTGTAAAACTTGACTATATGTTCTTCCTTACCTTTATAATAGCCACAGATGCAAATATAGTTCTATAGCTGTATTTAGTCTTAAAATACAGCTCGATCACTAATAATTATAATCTTTGAATACACGCTTTTCGTGATAAGTAGCGAAGGAATTCATGTTGAAGATAAGGACAATTCTAAAACAAGTTCTTAGCTACAGTAGGAACTTTCGCAAAAAAATTGCGCAAATCTTAAATTGATGAATAAATTCTAAACAAACTAATGCCTGTAAAAATAATATATAAATGAACATAAGTTAAATAAATACATAGGTTTTAAATGTGCACATATATGTTCTTCATCACAAAGAGTAATCATTTAGTGCCACTTGAAAAGTCTTTAAAGGAGACATTTTCGAGAAGTCCCAAATTTTCTAAACCATCTTTTAATCTCATGCAAACATAATACGTCTCGTTTTTCTTGGTCACTGCAGCAACTCCATACGCAAATGATATCTTTTTGTTGTTCTCATCATAATAATAGACTAGGCAACCAGAATCTCCAGGCCGGAGGAATACGTTATCACTCATTACTGCCACTAAATAACAAAACACTTCTTTGTTGTTGTTGTCAAAAAAGCTACGACTGAGGTCAGCAATGACGTTCAAGCCAAACTCGTCGCCAACTTTATGAACTTTTTCATTTGCCTTCAAAAGAACTTGGCATCTCTACTTCAGCTGCAGTAAATTCATTTTCTTTGTCATCAATTAAGATTGCCATGATGTCGGTTTCAAGATCAAATGAGTAATGAAATAGCCATCCAAGAGGTATTTTTATGCTGTTTTCATGCAATTTTCTGATACATGTGTACAGGGTGTTTCTCGTCTGCATAATGAAAATATAAAAAAAGCACGCGTAAATAAATAATATCCTCATTCTGATGAAGGCTTGAAGCAACGAGTCGAAAGCTCAAAAAAAAGTCATTTAAAATCTGGAGAAACTTTTATCTTTTATGTATTAAATGCCTGGATTACTAATTTTCAAACTTATATATATATATATATATACAAATCTACAATTCTGAAATCGAAGTAAAAATATTACTTTTAAAGATAACTAAAATAAGAAAATCAATTAATTAGAAATATTTCAACGTCCAAATGATTCAAAAAGGTTCTGACTGCACAATTTGTCATAACAACTGTTTCATAAATAAATCATTTAAACTCGCTATCATATATTCCAAGTATATTCTTGGTAGAATTTTTAAGCTCCTAACCCTGAATTTATATTAGTTGTTATACGCCAGTGATAGTTGAACTGCCGTAACGGTAAAACCGTAAAGTAATTGTTAAATCATAAACCACTCATTTAAGGAGACAAATCTTGGCAAGAGTGGAGGATATAGCTGATAACTAAAATTATTAGATATAATACATCATGTCTCCAGACTGGCGTAACAAAGCTTAGGCACTGGCAAATCCACATCATATATTTTGGTAACGAACGACTATGTACATATAATGTTAATTGTAGAAAAGTAAAGGTTTCTCCGGATTTTCGAAAATTTATTTTATTGAGCGTTCTTCAAGCCTTCATCAGAACCGAGTCGAAAGCTCAATAGAATAAATTTTCAAAAATCCTGAGAAACCTTTACCTTTCTACAATGAAACATGCCTGGATTACCAATCTTTAAACTTATAATGTTAATTATAATGAAGTATTTAAAAAACCCTAAATTTATTGTTAATCCGAAGCAAAAGTTGTCTCTTACCTTCGCGTGCACTCGTACCCGCATTATTTTTTTATTATCTAGTTCTTGTAATTTCAATTGTACTGACTCCCTCAATTTATCACGCCCATCCTTTCCGTATATTCGTATTAAACACACCCTAGCGTTCATTTGTTCTGGTATATCTTCAACTTCAGTGTCCAACTCCAGATATTTTTTTGCAAATACAAGTTGCCTCGTCCCATTTTTTAAGTTTTTCAAACAATTCTGCTAATACCCAGTAAACAACTAACACTCCATTCATGGTCCAGTTGAAGTAACAATTGATAGGTTCTTCATGTTGTGTTCGATGAAATCTTTACTAACGTTAATACCATCAACTTTCTTTGGTTCTTTTTTTTTGTTACTGCTGATTTTCTTGGTGTTGACAATCAATAAGAGAGAATCCTTTTCTATAATGCTCCAAAGATTTCTCATAATTTTCAAGCAGCTTGTTCAATCCTCCCAATGCAACATGGCAAAGGCAGACCATTTTATCTTTCTTCAGGTCGTCCACAAATCTTTCAGTGGTAGAACCAATATTTCCCAAGCCAAGATAATCTTTGTTCCTGTTAATTAGAACTATCAAATTATGTTGATACCTTTTTTGCAAATTGTCGTAGATACTCTTATAATAATACAAGCAATTTGAAAAGATCCCAAACGAAAGACAGAGGAGGAAGGGGGGGTTAAAATAGAAGATTTTTAGTGAAACGTTTTGGATTGCATGAGAAATATTGTTCTCATATGAAGATTTGAAGCAAAATAAATACATTTCAGATCAATCGATTAGAAAAAATACTGGAATTCTAATACAATAATTAATTATTTAAGAATGCCATGCAAGTTTTTTAAAACTTTTATACTCCAACAAAAAAATACCCACATGAAAACACAATAAGAAGTAAAGTGTTGATAAATTCTTTAGTTAGACAACTTGTAATGTTTCAAATTTTCATCTGCTTCTAGAACACAAAACAGGTCGCCTACAATACTTAAAACCTACAAGCAATGATACAATAGAACTCTTTGAATTTTTGACAACATTAAAAACTTGAGCTTTGAATTTTTGGTTTTTAAATACAATATCATCAATTATTTATAAACGTGAGCTTAAAATAATGAAACACGAAGAATAAATAAAGCTTTTCAAAAAATAGAATTTCGAGAAGAAAAAAGAAAAATAGATTTAGAAACAGTACAATTTTCTCGAAACTTTGACAGCTTAACACGTACGGTCATATTTTGACTCTACGTTCTCCAATTGATTTTCAGCTTTCTAATTTTAGCGCGCAAGCTATTTCTAAAGACTTTTGCAGATCATGCGAACTGATCACTTCAAAGACGTTTTCCTAACTGTTCAGTTTTTTATACACCCTGTGTAAGTTTTCCTAACTGTTCAGTTTTTTATACACCTTGTGTAAGTTTTCCTAACTGTTCAGTTTTTTATACACCCTGTGTAAGTTTTCCTAACTGTTCAGTTTTTTATACACCTTGTGTAAGTTTTCCTAACTGTTCAGTTTTTTATACACCCTGTGTAAGTGCCGAAGCACGACAACTCCGAGAACTTGGGAAAATTTCGTAACACATATGTCGTTATGCTGCTTTTGCAACATAATAGGAAGACGTGAGTTGATTTTAGGTAAAGAAGATACAGCAGGCGAAATAATTGATGGCATGTCGCACAGTTGTTTATCTGTCATAGGAAAAAGATAAACAAAGAATTTGAAAACATTTATAACTTGTAGCAACAATAAAAAATACATTCAGGGCCGTTCAGAGAAATAAGGGGACTGGGAAACAATTTAATTACGGTGCCTCTTCTCCGTGACATATGTGTTAAGATATGCTCTCATATTCTTCCTGTAATTAGTAAATAATTAAGTCAAGTATAACTAACTAAATGATAATTTTAAGAGATACTTATGTACAATAATCACAATATTTTTTATAGTTCCTATTAGCTTTCCGTTGATTGTCAATTAACCATATTTAGTAAAGAAACAAATAAATCCATACGTAATATCTTATATAAATAGAAGTAGTTTAACCATTGTAAGATAGATCGTAGATCATAGACATTGACGTTGAACATTAAATGTGATCGTAATAGTTATCTGTGATATCTCTGGTTGTTGGTGTAAGTCAATATATACTAAAGATAGATGGCTACATCACAAAACCTAACAATATGGACACGCATTACATTTTGGTTTGCCTTGTTTTTTTATTCGGGGAACCCTTAACACGAGGGCGGGGGTAAAATTGCTCTGTTCTCCCTCCTCTAAACTGCCCTGAATGCATTACGGTGGCGTAGTGATGGGAGTAGCTGATGGTTGTAAACACAATGCAACGTAGAAAATATTTCCAAGCTTATCAACGTTAAAAAATTAGTTCTTACGCTAAGAAATGAATTTTATAAGTGAGAATAGTGAACGTTCTTTTTCGTAAAATTGTAAAATTATCATCATGAGGTGAAAAATCGTTGCATTCATTTAGGTTACATAAGTGCAATTGTTTTATATTTATTTAGCACAAGTAAAATGATGAACTTAGGTACACAAACTTAGTCCAAATTAGTATACCGCAAATACAGAATAACCATAATATGAGTTTCTACGCAGCTGTATACATTTTCATTTTTACTATTGTAAAACTTTAGGTCAGCCTTGTAACTTTAATTTTGCACTTTATGATATAGGACTGTTGATACAGTATGTACTGTCCTGTACAAGCATCATCAGCGCTATACATAAATTTTGTCATCGATGCCTAAAAAGCGTAAGGCCTATATTATAATTGTTACGTGTAAATAAATACAAATACTGTATTTTACAACCAATCATTTAACTTTACACAAGACAGGTTAACTGGGCTCAAAAGGGAAAATCTAACTGCAGAAAAATTAATATACATGTATATAACCTCAGGTATCATAACTTTGAAGATATACATATATAATAATAGAAAGAAAAGTGCAAAATCTATCAATTAATTAAATTTCAGTCGCACAAATGTACATTTACATCATTGCTTCCTACATAGTCATAGTGATTAACTGATTAGCAACCCATGCAAAAACAGCCACTAACAGTCATCATTAATCATTATTCTGTAATATTATACCAACTTGCAAAACTTCGTGGCTTCAGTAGTTTTGTTTCAAAACAACTCATAACCGCATTAGAGTAAAATATCATTATTGGTAATGATGAATAAACTTTGGTAGTGAATTAAACCTAGGTGAGAATATCTCACAATATATCCCATAAATCGTCAACACAAAACAATTGTTTTCAGCATGCAAGTACAATAAAAATATTATCTTCTTTATTACACCGTTCCATTATTTTATTTATAAATAATTCTTATCAACATATATAAGGATATTGCATGACCATACGAAACAAAGAATATGAGAAGTCTTCAAAGAGATAAACAACTAAAAGACTTTATGCCAAGTGAAGATTGTTTCTATAACGATGAGATGTCGGAAATTGAATGGATCTAAAAGCATTCTCAAAACGTTATGTAAGATGACCCAAGACATGTAGTAGAAAATATAAAGATAAAAAGCTCCAATGCTGTTTTACTAACAGCAAAGATTTTCACAAAACAATGATCTGCTCAACAACCACTTTTGTTAAGAATACATGTATTTGCAAAAAGTTCAACTGTTTCAGATATGCTCCATATTTCAAGCATAACATAGTTATGGAATTTTCATTCTTACAATGGAGAATATTTAATTCGGTAACAGAATAATTATATAAATATTTCTCTGATGTTATAGGGCGAGGAATTCGTGAAACTATTACGAACTCTGCCAAGGTAAGCAGCACATTTGAATAGGTATTTTTCCATTATCACCATTATGGAAATTGTGGAAAATCAACAAGCAATACCTGATACTTTATACACATAGTTGCCGAGTTTAATATAATTGCCATAGACTATACACATATATTTCTTCCTTATTCAAATGTACTGCTTACCTTGGCAGAGTTCGGAATAGTTTGATTAGTTTCACGAATGGCTCGCCCTATAACATCAGTCAATGATGTCACGAGTCTTTTGGAGGAATCGGCGGAATTCATTGAAAACCAAAATTCTTCCTTTGTATGAAACAATCGTCAATAAGAGAGTTCATCAAACACAAAGCGCGCATAGAAATTCGGTTGGAAAAACCGCTATCTCTCGGAAGACATAAAAATCCAAAGGGGGAGTGGGCTTATCATATTTTGACTTTTTTGCTTCGCCAAGTGTATCAAAATTATTTTGGTTAATTTATATAACCATTTTGCGAAAAGTGGTTGTTTGATATAACCAAATTTTATCAAAGGAATTAAAACTGGTTATTTGATGTAACCAAATTTTATCAAAGGAAGTAAAACTGGTTATTTGATGTAACCAAATTTTATCAAAGAAAGTAAAACTGGTTGTTTGATATAATAAATTTGAAGCACGTTGTCACAAAAATGGTTATTTGAAATAAGCAAACTACTAAACTAAATGCAATTATCATATATAATAAATAAATCATGAAAAATAATGCGATAATGTACTTAAATAATAAAAGCAAATTTTGCGCCCCTTAGATGTGTAGGATGTTTAATTAGAGAGCAGACAACCATGAACTGTAAGATATCAACAATTCACAAGGTGTACAAAAAAATTTAGAGCATTTTTAAATGACAAGAAAATTATCTTTATATCAAAATTTCTCAAAATGTGTCCACGTCTAAGTATTTTCTCATCGCCTGGTTTATCTAAAAGCAAAAAATTAATCTTGAAAAGCGGGAGAGAAGTTTGAAACCACTTACGCAAAGAAAATGAGAAATTAAAATCTAATTCAACTCGAAAAGTTGAAAGTTTAAATTCTGTTGTGTATTGCACGCAACGTGTATAAAATGAGCGTTCTGGCAACTTTACCGTCTTATTATTTTTATAGATAAACCAGACAATGCCAAAATACTTCGAAATCAACACGTTTTGAGAACTTTTGATCAAATACTGTATACATCCTTATTCGCGTAACCTTCCCCTGACATGAACAGTCATAAACAAGCACATGATGGGGCAGCAAATACCTATATGACTCGACATCTGAATTCAGTTACTAGACCCAATTCAAAGAAAAAGAACCGAAGGCTGTATTGGTATATTGTGTGGCTCATTCTTGTTCTTTAGGTTGACAAATGGCTGAAGTGGCTCACTTTAATCTACCATAAAATCTTTGAGCGAGACTAGATTCTACTGTCAGAACTGCAGAGATCGATGCCTTTTTTAAAAAAGTATGCAGTGTTGCACGCGGATAGCAGTATTTGATATGAACTGGAGCTCAGGTTTGGCAAATAAAGTTTGATCTTAGGCAAATATTGATTAGTGATAGGTGCATATAGGGGTTTTATGTTATGTACCTATCGAACAGACTACAGAAAGTTCAAGAACAAAGTAGAAATTGACTTAAGAAGGAAAACAATATCAATACTTTCAGATTTAGTAAAGACCGCAAACGAGCAAAATTTATGATAAGATCAAATGCGAATTATGGATATCACTTGAATTAACACGATAAGCGACATCATGAAAACGTACGTCCTTGTATGTGTAGTAAAGCTCATAAACTTCTTTGTACCCATTTAATGCATACAACAAAGGTCCATTTTTAACTCTTCAGAGAGTGAAAACATCTTAGTCTGACATTGAACTAGAATTCGTAGCTTGCAAATAGTACGACCAATCGTTTAGGTTATTAGTTAAATTCGTTCGTTTTGTGCAATGTATTGACTTTTGAACAATACTTGCACTTTGTTATTGTAATGAAGTACAACTAAATTATAAAGGTTTCATGACTTTCTCCATTTTCAATGTTTGTACTAGACTCCCTAAAGCTTCAAAAAAAATAAGGGTGGAGTATATAGTATACTCGTCGACTTTAACCCCACCCTCAAATTTAAATCTGTTCCTACGCCTATGTATCGATCCTATGTATATCTATGAAACACGAACCATTAGCGTTATGGCTGGGGTACAACCAGGGGGAATACCCCACAAATGATTTGAGGGGAGACACCACTACCAGAAGGCATATGGGCGCCGCCAGAACGCATCTTTACAAACTCCTCTAAATTTATTTCAGGAAACAAAATTCAAACAACTAAAACCACTGAACGGCGGAACGGATCAGAAAAAATGGCGGACGGATCTATTTCTGCAGAGATACACCAAAATTGACCAATATTATTTCGCATTGTAATACAATTTGTAATCAGAATGATACAATATTTTGATCTATTCATATCCAACACTTTGTCGCGTTTTTACTCAATATGACAAGGAACATATAATAAACAGGCACCGCGGAGGATCGATAATTGGGGGCTAATATTCATATATTCATATATGCAGGCTTAAGATCTTTTGAAATCCATTGTTTTCTAAGGATTATAACATGAATATATGAATATGAGCCCAATTATCGATCCTCCCTGCCTGAAACTTGTATGCCGAAGGTTCATCTGAATTGTTAAAAGCTCTTTTTTGACAACGACATTAACTTAAAACTGACTTATTTTGTGTTGTTCAACACCTAAACTTTGTGAATTATAGCTTTGGAAAATCGTCCAGTGTGCACAAATGCTTCTTAAGCTATTTTTATAGTTATTATGGATATTATTATTATCTCACACAAACAATCTCATGAAGGGATTTTGAATCGAAAATGCTTAAAAATATTGGGCGCAAGGAGACGTAAAATATCCTGAGATGACGAGATAACAAGGAAAAGCATAATCAAGGAGTATATGTTGAATGTTAGAAAGTATATCACTACGTATGGTAGATACAACTTATAAGTGCCTTATACAAAAATTTGATAGTATAACTTACTTTCATAGTCGGGGTAATATTCCGTTCCTTCACCTTTAGACTCGTAACGTTCTGTCAATTAAAAAGTCACCAAACGTGTGACAGTATTTTAGTCAATAAAATTCGACTCTGAAAAAACCTTAAAGATATATCTATAGTTGGTGCATAAAGACATAAAATCTCTAAACGACAAATATCGAGGTAAAAAGATCAATAAAGTGTATGTATGTTCTACCATAAAATGTTGGAAAATTTATCCATATTTTTGCATGTATAACTTACACACAATTTACGAGGGTCTCGCATAAATTTGATTGTATATAACTTACCGTCATCCATGAAGTTACTTTTCAATCAAGGCAACTCTATAAATTCTGTATTATCCAAGGTGAATATCGAACTTAGGAAATTCTGCAATCATAAATACATATTTATCAAATCTTCGTCGTTGAAATGAAAAGATTAAAATAGAATTCTTGCACAGTTTTAATATTCAATCATTAAGGCGTTTAAATTACATAACATCAACCTTCAACGCCGTTCAACAAAGCAACTTTCCGTGATTATTAGCCTTAACATAGATGAAAATTTATAAAAATTAAACATACGCAGGAAGTTTCAGAAATTGTACTCATCCTTGTTAAACGTTACTTGTAAATGTTTTAAAACATCCAACTGTATGAAGTTAATCGTCAAAAATCTACGATAATCATTTGATGCACGCCAAATAAGGGTGTTTTTACAAATTATTGTCGAAACAAAATATTTATCATAATAGTAGCAAAGTAGCTACATCTTAGGGAAAGCTTATTATTCACAGATTCTAAAAATTATGATTACCCAACAAAACAACAAAATCACAAAAATTTGTCACAGCAACAAGGTAGCTATAACAAGGTATAGAAAAGACTACTATCGTCAAGTTTCATCTTTATACTTGATTTAAAACAAATTAAGTGCAAGGTTTACTTTCACCAATTATGATGAAGCTATCACAATCAGGGACACCTTAAACTCAGTAAGGCAATGGGGTCTTTGTCAATGTGAACGTAATTGGAAGTTACTTTTTTCCGTACAAATCTCTACCAAGAAATTTAAAAGCATAAATCAAAACACAATCCGCTTATTGTAATCACAGCAAATGGAACGTTTTATAGTATAACTGTTTAATGTTTGTGATTAATCATTGATTGCAGTCGACTAGATTAAAAAACACAGGAGATTCTAAATTTGGACAACCGAATCAAACAAGGCGCTACCATGCGACACCTAATGAGAAGAAAAAACCTTAAGGGTGTTGGCATGTAAGATATAAAGTATTAGAATTTAGAATAGTCCGTTCATCTAAAATGCAAGAATTCATTGAAAAATGTGATATTACGCGTGTCAATGACACACTTCATTGCATAACTACTTAAGATGCAAATGTTTAAAATACCAAGAAAAAGATCTTTGTTCATTCGATACTAGCAATACCGAGAATTTGTCTATTTTTATGTTCGTTTATCATTCTAATCAAATTTTTCCTGGTAAATGTTCAAATGGTAAATGATATTACGCGTGTCAATGACACACTTAATTGCATAACTATTTAAGATGCAACTATTTAAAATAACAAGAAAAAGATCTTTGTATATTCGATACAAGCGATACCGAGAATTTGTCTATTTTTATGTTCCTATTATCATTCTAATCAAATTTTTCCTGGTAAATGTTCAAATGGTAAATGATATTACGCGTGTCAATGAGATACTTAATTGCATAACTATTTCAGATGCAAATATTTAAAATAACAAGAAAAAGATCTTTGTTCATTCGATACTAGCGATATTGAGAATTTGTTTATTTTTATTTTCATATTATCATTCTAATCGAATTCTTCCTATTAATGTTCAAAATTATTTTTTGTTAACTGTACATAATAAGACACTGAAAGATAGCTATGTGTTAAAAACAGAAATCGGGGATTTGTACATGGAATTAAAGACTGTTAAGCTCAAAAAAACTAAATTGAATTTGTGAAGTCTTTTGTTTTGTATAAAGGTAATAACAAAATGTTAAGAGTTTTTCATTCAGGCATTGGAAGTTCGATTTAATCGCCAAGAGACTGACTTTCTATCTTATAGAAAAACCCAATACAAACTATTGGCGATTGAATCAAACGCCTGACGCGTGAAATGTTCTTAAAATGGTTATTTGGGTATTGAAAGAATTCACAAATGCAATCTAGAATAGCAACGTGTAGTTTTTATCCAGTAAAGAACATGTCACAACTATGTTTGTAAAAATTCTCTCACCTTTAAAAGTTTCAACAACCTCCACTTCTTCACCGTTTTTGCTTCCGTCTGACAGCACGAATGCCTTCTTCTGCAGCTCGTGACCTTGAGAGAAATAAATATTTCTTTTACAATGTAGCATTTCAAATTCAAAAGATCATAGCTGGAAAAACATGCTTTATGGAGATTTCTCTAAGCAGATTTCGTAAATGACTGCATTTCAGTATGCTCACAATCGTAAAGTTGAAATGTGTTTGAAAAAAGTATCGTCTACAAATAAACAATTATTACAAATAAACATTAATTTCAATAAATCTTGCTTAAATTTACCTATAGCAAAACACAAATTATTTATGAATGGACTGTTTCTTAAATTATTCAACTGGAATTTTCTTTATATCATACTGGATGATGGCTTGGGCAGCAAGAAAAAATCCTTACTTTATCGTTTCTGTCACCATTTTGTTGACCTTGCAACTGCTCATGAAAAAACTTCGGACATTCTGTGAATTTGACAAAATGCATTAACAAAAATAGGTACGCTTGCGTACACGTGGGAAGCCTGTAAAACAGGAGACGCAAAAAGATTGAAACAAGTGGAGTTGCAGTCACTTTAACACAGGATAAGAATTTTCTAGTATGCATAAATTTAACAGTTCGCAATTGTTATGAGACCATCCGGCAATTGTGATGAAATATGAGTTATGTTTGATCCCATTTATCTATGCTTCAAGACCTGGTATTTAAATTGTTTAAACAATATTACTATTTTAAAACACTGAATTCATTGATTAACAACTTGTTTTATCATGAAACTTTGAACTCCTGATACTAACAACAGAATTGTTATTATTTGTGGGGGATTGAAAAAAGGTTTGAACTTTTTGTAAATAAGAAATATGATAAAAAGGCAGTGCATAGAATGACATGATGTCTGCCACTCTTTTGCATAGCCTAATTTCTTGGACAAATAAAATAACTCACCTTCAATGTTGCAAACAGACCAGTGAGACCTCTCCAGAAAATTGTACAGCTCAATATTAGTGCAAACTAGATAGACAGTAATGAGTAATTGTAAACAAACATTAAAAATACTCATTGCAGATACATTTTCATTCAGTGACTGTGTCCAAAATATGCATGAATTTAGCATAATAATAATGGAATCCAACAATTATATACTTTTTTGGAGCCCATTTGCAGATAGTTGAGGTGTTTTTTGATTGCATAACAAAATAATGTGTTAATGAAAACTATTAGTAAGAAATAGCTTTAGGTGCACTTATGTAAGGAATTCTCTTTTCAATAATACAAAAATCAGGTGCACCTTAATGTGAAAATATGATCTTTGGCCGACTCTGGCCAGCAAGGGTGCAAGTTTTTCCAAAGTACTTTTTCACAACAGAGGAATGTCTTCAGGAGAATGGGCCTGAAATTAAATAAGCAAATACTTGATTTAATAAAGTTTGATATAATTACTGGTAAACAAAATAATAGCACATAATAAATGGTTAAAATTTCTCAACTAAATAAGTCTTCATTTTCAACATATCACAAGTGCTTGATACCTTCATATCAATCACCAACAATTTACACATAAATTCATTCAATTTTCCTTGAGCTTCAAAGAAATAATCAAAAACAAATCCTAAAACACTTCTCCAATGTTTTTCCAGAAATATATCCCACAATTACCCATGACATTATTTTTGTTTAACCTTGGACATTCGTTTACTGGACTATTTAATGTCATGGCATTTTTCATTTGATCTTAGTATAATTGCATTAATCATGTCAGATGATACCACAAATAAAAATAAGCCTTCACTTTGTAGCCCTTGTTGAAGCTTTCATTTAATATCATACTGCAACTTATCTCACTATATCTCATTCAAATTTAATCATAAATTACATACTTGAATAATTACAAGCTAATATACACAAAATCAACAAAAGAGCCTGAATTTTATCTATAACCATTAACCAATACCTGCATAAAAAACTATTTTCATTTAAGTTCATTTTGTAAATATATATATTTTTGCTAACATTTAATAAAGATGTTTCCATTTGAAAAAAATTCAAAACATTCATCTTACTTGTCCCCAGTTACTTTCTTCAGTCGATAATAAAACTTATTGTTTTTCCATGGCCTGATGTCTTTTGAACAGCCACAAACGTCTGCCATCCACAGCAATCAAACACAAGTTCCTAAACTGCATAAATGATTGGTGTAAACTAACAAACCAACAAGAGCCTAGAGAGGAAATTTGATCTATAAAAAACATTAACCCATATATATCCATCATATATCATATCTACTCACATTGAAGCGTTGATGATAAACAAACTGTGAATTATTGTGATATCTACATATACTAAACCTATAATAATACTCATTTTAATGTCACTACCGACTCACCCTGAATGGTTGATGATAAACAAACTGTGAATCATTGTAAAATCCACAGATAATAAAACCTATAAAAATGTATTTCTCCTTTACTTAACAAGCTTAATGGTTATAAAACTATTTTCATGTAAGTTCATTTCGTAAATATTTATTTATATTATTGCCAACATTTAACCAACATTTAAAAGCGATGTTTCCATTTAAAAAAAATTAAGATTCATGTAATCATCTTACTTGTCCCCAGACCACTGAAGACTCAACGGCCTTTACCAGCTACCTTACCTAACTTATCTTTAATTATGGTCGTGAAGATTTTCGTCTCAATCCCATGATCCTAATTGATAACAAGTCAATGAATTGTAAGAGTCCCAAACAGTTATAAAATATAACGATAGATGAAATACCATGCACTAGGTACAAGGAGAGATGTTCTGTTTTAGTCGATTTTAATTTTGTTTAGAAAAACGTATTTCGAGATAGGAATGGACCGTGACTTCCTTCAGTTTTTTATGCACATGCTACAGAGTCCCCGGAATCTACAAACTTGCTAAAACCTTAAACATAGACTGCATTCTGGAAAACAACTTTGTTCAAATCCTGAATTTAATAAATAAGTCTCATTCTACTCGCTACGAACGCCCTGCAGTGTGCTAGCTGTTCGAATTTTGAAAGCTGGTCATTTGCATCATACAATATGATTTATACCAAAATGCTGGCAACTTGATTCTATTGTTGTATGAAATCTCTTTTAACTTATCATTAACAACAAAGTGCATGTCACTTAATTTTATCAGCTGCTTTTCCACCCAACTGAAACTCGCAGTCTGGCACTGTAAAGTATTTACTTTGTTCTAATGTTATAAAATAGATTTGACTATGTTCTCGTGGAGTTTTAAGAAAACATATATCAAAGAATAATTTTCTACTTCTTTCCAGCAACCCAGTAAATACCTTTGCATTGACGCAAGAAAAGAGACGATCATAGCTGAGCCATCAAAAACACAATTGGCGACAAAAACTGGTCCACATGATCTACCATTTAATGTTAAACTAAAGCATTCACGAAAAAATATACGACCAAACAAACATATGATTAAAAAAGTGAGCATGTATTTTCATTTACACTACGATACTCTTCAGTATTAAGAATTACAGGTCGATCACGGTTTGTCTCAGAAAACGATAATCAATGATTGATTAATGGTTATTGATTACACATTTAAGTGTAGTGTACAAAGAAAAGTTAAAACAAACGACAAACCCGATTGCTAATTACAAAATAACATTTCTGTTTTGTTTTCTTTAGACGACCAGCCCCCAACAGCCATTGCAAGTTGAAAACAAGACTAGCAATAGAATATGTTCGTAGTCTTCTCCCGGATAAACCACCACAAGATCGTCAGGTATCTCGACAAAATAGTTTAAGAAAAAATGGACCGTTGAAGACTCTCTTTTCCCGTCAAGATTTCTTTCTGAGCCTAGCGTTGCCAAATGTCTAGGCATCCAAAATGTAAATTCCCAAATTGAGGATTACGCTTTTCTTGAAAAATCTTATCGAGGGCCTTTTTGGAGAGCTAAGTAATTTTTTATTAGCATCTCTATATTGAGATGAGCAGATACTTCTACAAATGAAATGTCGCAAAGTTTTATCATCATTTTGTTTAGCTTGGATTTTTTGTGCTATTCACTTCTAGATTGCTTCAAGAACTCTTTCGATGGTATTCAAGTTTATGAAAACGTCCAAAGTCCGGATGTAACAAGGTTTTCTTCGGCCAGCCAACGAATCTCTCAAAACATCTTGACCGTTGATCTTCGTAGGCAGTCGCTGGCAGAACAATGTGAGACAACTCAACTAGATCATGGTGATGGTGTAAAAGAGCATGATAGAAATGACTTTGCACAAAATCAACGAATCATTTCTATAAATGAAGAAGCAAATGACAATGTTATTGATATTCATGATTCTAATGCTTCCAAACAGGCAGCTGGTGTGGATGTTTGGACTGGTAAACTTTCTAAAGGTGAAAGGGATTTAGATAGCAAGAAATCATGTAACACAGATCCTTTAAATAGAATCTATGATGCAGATATTCATAATGTTAATAGCTCACATGATGATAAGGACAATCATCTAAAATCAACTCACTGTAATGTGGAATTATCTTACAGTGATAGCGTAAAAATAGACGATGATGTTTACAAAGATCTAATCATTAAAAAGTTATCAGTTTCTTCAAAAACGTGCTACTTTTTGACAGAAAATGTCTTCAATTTGCTGGAGAACCGTGCTTCACAAAAGAAAACTAAATGCAGAGTAACAAACATGTCACGTATTAATTCAACAGAAGAAAACAAAGATGACTCTTGTAGTTAGAACAAAACAAAGGAACTTTTAAAAACGGCGAGACCAATCAGCTTGAAATTATTGCAGTAAGGAAACCCGTGAATAAGCTATCAAAGTAAAACTTTAAATTGAAAACAAATAATCAGGAAATTTCATAGAATATTCACAAACCTTGTTTTTTATTTAGAAATGAAAAAGTCTCCGATTTCTCTCGATGGAAGTTTGAAGTTAACACGAGCCCGAAATTGGGTCTTTTTTTGTACTTTGCATATGGTTTGAATGTGACTCAAAACAGGTATAATGATTTGTAGCTACTGTCATCTGTACTTAATACAAAATATCTTTTGATTTGACGAATTTGGGGCTTGCATTTAGGTTTTCTATACAACTACGGTGCAAAATAATATCACGTCTTTGGGGATTGCTATTTGGCTACAGACTTTAATAAACGAAGTCAGAAATAACAGAAGCAGTGTCTTTAAGAGAGTTTTCAAAATCAGTTTTATTGTCATTAACTCTTAAGTGCATTTGGTAGTGACATGGGCTTTCTAAACGTAGTCCAAGATCCTGAATGTTCCGTAGAAGGTTGCGTTTATGAACTATCGTCAGAATATCTACCGCTTTTGAATATATGTATTGCTTCTCCAAAGGTAAACCAACCACTTTTAAATTTCCCCTTGACACTTAATTTGCTAGTCCTCCGTCCTCTTTCAATCAGCCTAACGAAAATTTTTTTGCAATAATAACAGCGAATCAGCATTTATATACGTGAAGGCAATATATCCAATACAAAAGTTGAAAATTCAACCATATACTGTACAATTTGAACAATAAAATAAGCAAATATAATGTATAAATCTATATCAATAATTATGCTTCTCTAGCATTACAAGAGACTGGTTCTACCTGTTTAGATGTGTGAAAATCCTGCTCGATTTGAGCATGGTATATGTCAACAATGTGTTGCTGCAGTTGTTTATGTTGCTCAAGAAAAATATATCTCGCCAGGTGAGTGAAGCTTTCGTTTCCTCTTACATACCAAAAGCTATTTTCTTTTCATGATTTCATTCCCAACTTGCAATATGATTTTGCATGCAAAACTCATTGAAAATTCAAACAATGCCACACAAACTCGGGTTTTATGAAAGCCAATAAAACCAAGCACAAATAAACTTATCATAGGAAGACATGATGGAAGGCGTTTTACCGAAATTCAATTTCTTTTCCTAGATTTTGTGCAACTAGATACTTCATTTACCTTGAAGTAGTACTTTATAAGAACTGATTTACTTACTCCGAACTAAGTTGAATATTTAAAAGTTTCAGTATAAATCACGCTTTCGCCCTTTGAGAATACTTTTTAAGTAACCAACATGAGCGCAAGTCAACACGTAATGCTGTTCATCTTACAGCAGAACAAAGTCAACGCGCCATAAATTGATCTATTGGGCTCATCATCTCGACTTACCATAACATTGTTGGATAGCTGTTGCATTTCTATTTTCTTACGTGGGTCAACATAACGTAATTCGATGTAATCTGAAGCTTTCTATTCAAATTTGTCATCGATTTCTTGCTTTAAAAGATCCTCAGTCTTTGATTCGTCAACTTCAAGATACATGTGACGATAATTCAACTCATAAGTAGGACGTGCTGTACCATACTTGCCACAAAGCCAAGGAAAACTGCAAATGTGGAAAAGTGAAGATATTCGATGCCTTTTCCTCGTGGCAAATAAGTCAAAATTGACGTAAAAGCGATAAAAAAGATTTACCTTTTCAAATTTTCATGGACGCTCTGTTTAATTTTGTGATCCTTTGTGAGAAAACGTTTTTTAAATTCGACTGTGTTGGGAGTGGAAGGTTCATCTACAAAATATTACACAAAATGAATGTCACTGGACTTAGAATCTCCTAAAACACAAATATCAAATCTACCAGTTTTGAAGATGACTTGAAACTACGAGAAGTAATTGAACTCAGAATTTTTCTGTGCTGCCACTGGAAGGTTCATGTACAGTTTCAGAATATCAGTTTCATCTATTTCAAAATTGTACCTGAGGTCTGTGAAGCTTTGTATAATGTGCTGAAGGAAGAATATTTAAAGCCACCCACAATAAAGCAACAATGGTTACACATTGCTGATGAATTTAAGTGCAAATGGCACTTTCCCCATGCAGTTGGCCATTGATGGTAAACATATCAATTTGTGCACCTCCAAACTCAGCCCTGAGTACTTTAACTATAAAAACATTTTAGCATAGTCCTCTTGGCTATTGCAGATGCAAATGCTAAATTCATCTCATTTGATCTTGGAGCCCCTGGCAACCAGTCAGATGGAGGAATTTTAAAGACAGTCACCTTAAAAACATATGCAAGACATCCTATTTCCCACAAGCTGAAGAACTAAGAGATACATTATTGCCTATACTTTACTTTCTGCTTGGAGATGAGGCATTTGCTTTGAATGAAAATCTAATGAAACCATATCCACACCGGACTGCAATAGGTGATGAGAAAGTTTTTAACTATAGACTTTCATGAGCACAAAGAATTGTCGAAAATGCAATTGTATTGATGTGTAGTCGATTCAGATGTCTTTTGAAAACATTGGAGTTGGATGCTTCACATGCAATGCAGGTGGTGAGGGCCTGTATGGCACTGCATTACCTTTTGATAAGTCAGAAGGACCAGTTTTACACACATCCAGGATGTATGGACCTTGAAGCTAAATTAGGAAATGTTGTGAATGGTTCTTGGAGAACACAATTAGGCAATGAAAATGAAGTATGTGACATCCAGCCAGATGCTGGTGCCCGCCCATCATCAATTCATGCAAGACAAATCAAAAATGCTCTTAAAGACTATTTCTTTGAAGAAGGGGCAGTTGATTTTCAATGGACAATGACAAACTAAAGAATTATAACAAAGAAATAAATTCACCTTGTTTGAATATAAAAAATATATGAAAACTTGTTTTGATGGTTGATGTTGCCCTTTATATATATATATAAATCCAGTAAAGTAGACTCAAAAACAAATGTGTAAGTTATTTTGATGTAGAAGTTTAATCATTGAAACATGTTCATTTAAAATACCCTAGTTTAATAAAACGTGGTTGAAACTGATTATTTATTGATTAATCTGCTTGATTAAATTGTTGTTATTGAGCCCGTGGGGGCTCTGTGGCCTGAAAAATAGTTGATTGTATGGCAAACTTGATAAGTCTTTGTATATCTTTATCTGCCAGACCACGCATTGCATGTGCCACATCTTTACCAAAAATATCCCACTGGTCTTCAGGAGCAGATGTTGCTCATTTTGCCAACTGGTTCAAGGCAGATGCTGCTGACTCAAGAAATGGACTATGTGATTGTTTTCTCTTCTTTGAGCTTGAAATAAAACTACATTCACTTCCTGTATCTTCATTATCAATAATTGAATCATTTAATTGGTTTTCTCTGTCTTGTGCAAAACGTTCATCAATAGCATTTGTAAATACTTGACGATTGTGTGATATAACTTCATCCGAGAAACTGCACTGGTCAATAAACTTCCATTTTGATACATAAACTTCACGAGCCCCAACTCCTGTACCTCGGCTTTTTCTTATTTTTCCAACTTCTTCACTATAAAATGTTCTTAAGCTCTATCTTTGCTAAAAGTTTAAGCCAGAAATTTTATTAGAATAAAATTATTTGAATCCAAATAACAGCATATAAAGCTAAAGATGGATATGTTTTCCTTTACCAATTTTGGCATGCCAACAAGCTGAGTTAGAAGTTTGAACACATTGCCATGTAAGCAGGATAAGACATTTTTTCTTTGCGATTTAATGTAAACCAGAGAGCATAAACAATGTTTATACATCGCTAAAATGCAATTCTTACGACTCCATTACAATCTTATCACTCACCTTTGATGCTTGGCAAATCAACGTTTGGCAGTTGAACTTTGATTGCCTGCAGTATTTCCTGGTAGTGTGCATTCTTCATATTTCTGTTTTTGTAGCGCTCACTTTTGGTATTCCAAATTTTCTCTCTTTCTCTGACAGTATCGAGCAACAAACTCACCACTTGATCGGGCCAGTTTGTCTTAGAGCCCGACATGTTTTATTTTATGTGAAGCCTGGGATCTACTTCGCTCCTTGACATGTGCCACTTTTTATTTGACAGCCATCTACACTACCCATTTTTTGTATGTGATAATTTTTGTATGTGATAAGTAGACAATAAAAAGTATGAAAAAAAGGAACATACTCCCATCAACTTGAACAAATAGTTTTGTGACTTCGACAAAAATTCGTAAAGTTATCTATCAACAAAAGTTAGTTGCCAGTTCGAAATTTGTCGTTTTAGCATTCTATTGTACGAGTCAGTACGACTACGTCACAACATTGAGTTTCAGACGCAAACTAAATGGTTTTCTACGCCTGAGAAATCACAAATTATTGATTTATGAATTATAAATACTAAAATGATAACTTAGGTACATTGTGCTATGAGTCTTGTGTAGGGACCGCAGAACAGGGGGAGCTGTGGAGCTGTAACCCATATTACCATAGAAATTTAGCCACCTAGTTAAATTTGTCCTCGGACCCACAACTTATACCAGTTAAAGTTTGGGCAGTAGCTGTTGTGCGTATGTAGTGTTTGTAGATCGTGTGAATGTAAAAGAAGAGCTGGAAAATAAATTGTAGCTTTGATACATATAACATTTTTTATAACAATGTAATTGATCATAAGTATATTTCAAAAGAATCAGTTATGTCCTGCTAATCTAATTACAAGTAAATAGTTTCAAATTTTAAAACAATCCAAAAGTGAGGTGCTGTGATTTACTGCCCAACACTGGATTCACCATTGTGGTGGAATCGTGAATTCTAAATGAATCATAGTTTACATTAATTTTGTCATAAGTGCTAATTAAAATTGATTACACTCAATAAAGTTAGCTCATTGAACTCCAATAAGAGCATGAGGGTGTTTTTTTGAAAATTCCAGGAAGATATTATTTCCTTATTTTTAGAAAACGAAGGACCGACTTGACGATACCCGTGATGAAATTAGAATTTACAGCATCGCGAATTTTTAACCAGTCTTTGCAATTGAACACGCCTTGGCAGTCAACAGAATCACTATCAACACCAACATGTGCGTCAAATGACTCTGAAGATGACTACCGCTAAGGTTGTCGAAACGTCAGTCAACAACATCAAAAACAGTCCTTCTCAGGACTTTATTAACCTGGACGATCATCATTTACAAACATATAACGATACTCCCGGGTTCAAACCATTTACTTTATAACGTGGGTTTTATTGCAAGTTTTTCCGTAAAACTAATAATTCACTTTTACATAACACATCATAAATATCTCTTGAAACAGTTATCTGTCACAAAAAAAGTCAAAGGAAACGGATCAATTAGATCCAACATCAGGGCATCTAGCTACCACATAAACGCTACATGAAACTATGTATTCGTAAACATAATTATTGGCTTTTATTGGCTATCAATAATCAAATAAAATGTTTTAAAAGGATGTTTTGAACAACATTCTTTTTAAGTTCATTTGTGTACGTGTAACGTATACATGTAACTGACACGTTGATCATGATGGTTTTCACATTTCACTTTTAGCATCATAGCCAGTTTCCACTTTCTATACATATTGATCAAATTTCTATGATAACAAAGTTTGTTGGCTACATATAACGATACCTTTTAAAATTAATTTATTAGGCTATAAATTGTTGTTTGTATTTAGCGTTGCAAAACATGGAAATGTTTGGGCAAATGTTTTTAAACAAAATTCTTTTGTTAACCTGGTTTTGATGTGGAAGGCGAAACACCAATCATGTCTTCACTGTTATTATCATCTAATAGATAAATCAAATTAATTTTTTGCAATGCAATTAAATAACATTACAGCATGATGACAAATTCTAAAACTCTCTTTTCTGACCCTTTACAAACGTATGAATGATACGCATGATATAAACGACTCTTAATTGTTTGTGTTCGACTTTTAAAGGGAATGTAAAGATGTTTGTGCAAATGTTTGCTAACAAAATACAATTTCTTACCAAGTACTGCTGTAGAAGGAGTTTTGTCAATGTTGTCATAGTCGTTGTCACTCATGGGAGATGGCAAAGACATCTTTTCGTAAGAAGCTAAAAATTAATGCATTATATTACACGGTTAATACATCATAGCAAGATAAAAGGAATACTTGCTGAGTTATTTCACTCTTCATTACATCTCACATTTTTGACCATTAACAAAAGTATGTGAATAAGGAAGATATAAACAAATCTCAATGGTTACATTGCATTCTTGTTTGTACTTAACATTTCAAAAGGCAATAAAGATTGCGTTTGTGTAAATATTTGCAAATAAAATTCCATTACTTACTAGGTCCTGATGTAGACGCAATACTCATCATGTTTGAGACACCACACATGTAGTTTTACAGCTTTATATAAAATGAATTGTTTGGATTCTTTCAAATAATTTATATCAAATAAGAAATAATTGTATTTTTCGTGTTTGTGTATAAAACGACATCATACTATACACAACGCCTGGCTATTCATGTTTGACAGTGGCTTACATGTGACTTTACGATTTTTATGTGCTATATAAACAAATTTTACATCTACAGGCCATATACATTGAGTTCTATAAGACCTGGAGGGGAAGAGCGGCCTGGACCCTGTGGTCAAAAACATGGCGGTAATGGCGGATTTTGGTTGTCAAGACTTCCACTTTGAGAAAAATTTTTAACATTCGCTCCCTCCGGAACCCCGATTTTTTTTTCTGCTTATATTAATGACAACCATCGAAAACCACCACGATACAGTAAGCATAAATATTGAAAATAATGCTTCAGGTTTTTGTGAAATAGACCCAACAATTTAAATGAGGAAAATCTATCGTAAAATAACGTATATTTTCTCAAGTATTGCTTTAGCTATATTACAAATAAATATCAAACGGCATTCTTTAAACTGTCAATGTGTTGTTAAGCTTTAATGCATATCCCATGCACATTACTTGTGTTTTGGACTGTTTGTGAACAGCTTGGTGCAACTGTCTTTCTTGAACAGATGGGTAAATCTTAGTTAAAATGTCCAAAAAGGAGTTAGAAAAAGTTAGCTTACCCCTACGACTTAAGTCGACTGGAAATATATTATAAGTAGGTATGTAATTTTTTTGAGTTTTTTTTGGTAGGATTGATTCTGGGTGTCTTATAAAGTATTATGATATTCTGACATACAGTGTGCAAATTAGTTCAAAAAAAACGATGTGCAATTTTTTTGACAAAAGTGTTTCTTTAGAGGCATAATCAAATCGATATTACGTTAATTATTATATAGCTCTAATGGCTAAATTAATATTTTTAAATGTGAGCAAATTAATATGATTTACGACAGTGTTTCTCGTTAAAACCGCTGATTTTTGCACATCGTTTGAAAAAGTGATGTGCAATTGTTTTCATTTTAGCTAAAACGATGTGCAAATTGCACATTGCACACCGTTAATTCGCACACTGCTGATAAATCTAATGAGAACTTATGAAGAAATTATCTTGAACTAAGAAAGCAAAAGAATGAAATTCAGAAATTCTATAATCATGTTCCTGGTTCTGTTTTGAGCGAAGATATTAGAAATTGGATTGTCATTGACAACCATGGATCTACTACTGAAAAGAACTACATTACTTTCCCATTGAAAATATGATTTCTTAAATTAAAGTGCATTGGTTTCTCTGACATAACACTTTTCTTATTGATAAAAGTTTTTGTGCTTTACATTGATATTTTATATAATCGCAAATGTGGTCGTCAAATCCGGATAGGCGAAAAAAATTTTAATTTATGAGCCCGCGTCTTTCCGCTGACTTTGACAACCAAAATCCGCCATGTTTTTGACCACGAGGCCGTGCACTAGTAATTTATAGTAATTTTGTTGACGCTTCCCCTCCAGGTCTTATAGAACTCAATGGCCATATATCATTGGCGATATTAAATTTAAGTGCGATTTCTAGCGTATCAGTAAAAAAGGTTTTGATTTGATCAAATTACTTCATTTTTATGGCGGTTTAAAGTTGTGAAAATGCCCTTTTTGATGGACGATGTTCGTCTTCAATTATGGGAATGCAATACATTTCCAATGACCAATTCAAAGCCATATGAATAAAATTGTTCATGTATCGTCTGTTTTGTCATATCAAATTAAAAAACGAATAAACACTTGGCGGAGGAAATAAGAAAGACTAATTCTAAACCATGAGCATTTCATACTTTTACTATGTCTCTAAAGTTAAACTACAGTATATTGTACATCCTATAATTCTTCTTAAGTCGATATTTATTGATAAAACTTACTTTTTAAATTTGTCTTTGCTGTAACACGCCTTCCTGCCAAATGATATAACTTAGCGAGTGTCAAGATTTATGTATAAACGTTTGCAGGTAAATCCATGACGACGGTCGTCTACCAATGAAATTCCCTGAAATAGAAACGTTTAATAAATTGCCATGTTTATTTAGAAATTTCAATCATTAGTATTTAAACTGAACACTGACACGCAGTTTTCTCTCTTTATAGGCCCGTTTACAGGAGCAATTTTAACATGACAATTTTTATGCGACAAATACATTTGACCGTGTAAACGACACAAAATATATGTAAATATATCTGTTCGCATAGCGATTGATGTATTGCGCCCATTGTAATAATGAACAGTTACATGTCCATACTTCATTTTACGACGTACTTTTAATGCAATGTTTGTGCAAAAATGGCGCTGACCAAGGTAGAAATACTTCAAGCAGTAGCTATTATTACATCTCTAATGGTGCACGAAGTGAAAAAAAAACGAAAGTCACGACAATGGTGGGTAAAACCGTCGAAAACTGCGCAGCGCCGATACGCACAAGGGTTAGCACAAAATTTAATTCAAGAGATCCGAGTGACTGACCATGATGAATTTAGAAATTTGTTTCGGTAAGTTAAGAAATGTGATAGTTTTTCTATTCATGCACTCTTCAAAATTAAGCTAGTCAGTGGATTGTACAATCAATTCAAATTTTACGCTCTTTTTTTAATAATGAAATTTTCTTATTTTCTTTATTTTTATTTACAAATTATAATCTTTACTACTTTTAAGGATGGATTCCATTTTGTTTGATGAGCTATGTGAAAAGTTAACACCATTCATTGCAAAGAAAAACACCACTATGAGAGATGCTAAATCTGTTCATGATCGCTTGTGTGTAACATTAAAGTTTTAGCATCAGGATGCTCATACAAAGATTTGATGTACAGTTTCAGAATATCAGTTTCATCTATTTCAAGAATTGTACCTGAGGTTTGTGAAGCTTTGTATAATGTGCTGAAGAAAGAATATTTAAAGCCACCCACAACAAAGCAACAATGGTTACACATTGCTGATGAATTTAAGTGCAAATGGCACTTTCTCCATGCAGTTTGCACCATTGATGGTAAACATATCAACTTGCATGCACCTCCAAACTTAGCGTCTGAGTACTTTAAGTATAAAAAACATTTTAGCATAGTCCTCTTGGCTATTGCAGATGTAAATGCTAAATTCATCTCATTTGATCTTGGAACCCCTGGCAACCAGTCAGATGGAGGAATTTTTATAGACAGTCACCTTAAAAACATATGCAAGACATGCTATTTCCCACAAGCTGAAGAACTAAGAGATACATTATTGCCTATACCTTACTTTCTGCTTGGAGATGAGGCATTTGCTTTGAATGAAAATCTAATGAAGCCATATCCACACCAGACTGCAATAGGTGATGAGAAAGTTTTTAACTATAGACTTTCACGAGCACAAAGAATTGTCGAAAATGCATTTGGATTGATGTGTAGTCGATTCAGATGTCTTTTGAGAACATTGGAGTTGGATGTTTCACATGCAATGCAGGTGGTGAGGGCCTGTATGGCACTGCATATCCAAATCTAAATTGAGAGTCATCTGATTATTTACAGCAAGCTCCTGAAAATCTTCCTCCTTACCAATGACGATATACATAATATCGACTTCTTTATTAGACACCACTCTCGTTTGATCCGGAACATGGACAGTCGGTTGTCCGTTGTAAAAGTATTTCATGCTTTCTTCATTAACTGTGGCATTTAGAGATTCTTGGATTTCCATAAATTGGACTCTGCCACAAAAGTCTTGTTGACGGTCATCCAAATTATTGACAACACCCGCATGAGCACAGGTCAAGGCATAGTACATATCATTCTTAAGGCAGAACATTGTCAATGTTCCAAAACTACCCTCGGTTCTTTGCGCTATAATTTTAGACAGCATTCGAAACTTTGCTTCTTTCAATGGTTTATATCGTAATTCGATGTATTTCGATGCTTTCCATTTTAACTTTTCATCGATCTCATTTTTGATAGCAGCCTCCGTATTTTCTTTCTCAAAATCAACTGTGACCACAGATCTAATAATATACTAGATAGTGCAACGACTTACATTTCATAAGTAGTGGTTGAAGCCGGGCAAATTTACTTCCGGAGCCCCAAAGTAGTGAGAATCAATATGGCGTTGTATTAGAAAATATCTGGTCAAAGTTAATATCTTGCAATTACTTGCAAGTCACGACGGTTACATAAACTGGTTTACTCTATTAATGAAAAAAATCAATGTGACCATAGTTTTTCAAGAAAAAGATAGCAGAATACGCCAATACATCGCCGTAAAATTGATTTCAAGTGTAGCTCGATTTGAAAGCATCAGCAGCGACGAAGGCTTAAGTACTGGAATTTCCACATCTAAATATCGTATCACAGCACAATCTGCCACAAAATATTCAATCGAACGTCGTGGAATTATCTTCCGATATTTATTGTTAAGTAAAACGAGTTGGAGATAACAGTTTGAATGATTTTTCACGATTTATATAAAGTATGTTCACTGTACATAATTGAATATTGTACTGGATTATTGTACCAGAAATGCATTTTTCTGGTGTTTCTGTTTGGCAAACGAATATAGCTATGTCAAGATGTGAGTAATTAATACGTTCAGAAATTATTTACGGAAAAAATGTGAAGAGTCTATCTCTGTTACACCAAATTTTTTGTGAAGTATAATATAGCAGGTCACTTGTGAAACTATTGATACCACAGGTTGATACATAACACTCTGTCCAACACGGGCAAAATATTTACTTATTAAAGCAAGAAGAGTCACCAGACTTGTAGTCTTGACTGTGTTTTACACATATATAAGCAATGTATTGTCATAGTCTAAACCAGTGGGTTATATGGCCACTGCCCACAGTGCTTAATGTACTGTTATGGTGATGTTATGCTACTATTTTCAACATTTGTATTGTCTTTTTTTACCATTCAGTCATGTATATGCATATAAAACTTTCTACACAGTGTTGTTATTGAAAATATCAAACCTAAATTATTTATTCTGAGCAAAATATTTAATTTGTGCTTGTAGCCTGTGTCACTTTCTGACTGATTTTTGTAATATGCCTGTTCTATTAAAATGTGTGAACAGTCTAAATTTTGTATTTAGAATAGAAAAATATGTTTCTTGCAAAAAAAAATTCCCAGGTTTTATAAATTACATTTGTAATTTCAGATGATCAGGTCAGTAATGACATAGCTGAAATCTGTTGGATAGTCTTGAAACTACCAATAAATTCTCTTGAATTAAAAATTGTTGATTTAAAGGTGTTTACATGAAGACGATAATTATTTTCACTATTGCTGCCTCTGGAGCTTGTGTATATACATAATTAGATGTATTTAACTGGTTTAAAGAAATAATACATACATCTAATAGCCACATAAAATCAGTCTTAAAGCAGCGAAGACTGCTGGAATTTTTTACTTCTACAAAACTAATTTTTGGAAGTTATTATTCTCTTTAGAAAATTAATTCCATTCAATAATGTTTCAGTCAATGAACACAAAATATTTGCATTGCAGACGTGCGAAACGACCTTGCTTCTTAACAGCAGTTAAGCCCAGCGCACACGAAAGCTATGTGCTTAGCAAATGTTATTCGTGCCAAGCATTGAGTTCTATAAGACCTGGAGGGGAAACGTCAACCAAATTACTATAAATTATCAGCGCGTGGTCAAAAACATGGCGGATTTTGGTTGTCAAAGTCAGCGGAAAGACGCGGGCTCAAAAAATGAAATTTTTTTCGCCCACCCGGATTTGACAACCACAATTGCGATTATATAAAATATCAATGCCAAGCACAAAAACTTTAGAAATTTTATCTTTAAAACATGCTGCAAACTTGTTTGGTATACGGATGCTGAAGTAATGCCAGAAAAGGAAACATTTCATGACACCGGTAAGCAACGTAAGATTGTTTACTATTTAAAGTGTTCAGTGTTTTGTTTTAAGTCAGTACTTGAAGTGTGATGTCATATATTTTGTGAATGTTTTTACTCCTAAGTTATAATTTAAGTTATGTTTATTCAGTCTTATTTGTTCTTTACTTAATCGATTGCTAGACGAGGCAAAGCAACCAGTAATAATTGAGATATGCATATCTTAAAACTCCTTGTTTCAACTGAGTTGAAATGGAGGATTTTTTCATGATATTTTTCTGAAAATATGAAGCAAATATTAAGGACAGAGCTGTATTGAAATCAAATGCAGTGCAGGATTAATTAATGAGCTCTTTGGTACATGTCGTACAATAAAAATTACCTGTATTAAACAGCTAGCCTGGACAATTTGACAGATTTGGACAAGCATGATGATGGTGTGTAAAGGTTTGCTTTATGCTAAAAGTTTTATAAATGCCATCTGGTGTTTCTGTAAATGAATTGTTTGTTACACAGTGTAGTAAACAGGTTAGTACATCAAAATCAAGATAAAACTACTTTGTTCAATAATGTGCCAAATTTTGCTCCTACCTTGAAATATTTGCTCAAGAAAAGCTTATCATGACATGCATGAAACATTAAATACAGTACTGCATCATCTGACAAAATCCATACGTTTTCAATTCCAGGTGATTAAAATTCACATAAGATGCATTGGTTGCAATGAAGTTGAATGTGGAAGAAGCAAAAATTGATGGCAAAGAACTTTTATGTCTTTGAAGAATTACGATATCATTTAAAAGAATAAGAGTAGCAATCTAGTAAAAGAAGCCACATCTGCCTTCAACATGAGACTTTTCCAATTATGTATAGTTACTTTGTACAAAATACTATTTTAGATAAACTTGATTTTTACGTCATTCACTGATATTTTTACCAGAAGATAAAAAGAAAAATTCAAAGGCATAATGTAAAATTCAAAAATTTGTCAAGTTGTTTGAACCTAGAAAAAATTAGTATAGGTAACTGTAATTTGTAAGGACACAAAAGAAAAGTAGTGCAAGAAGGTTAGCATTTTGAGAATTAATAAGTTCTTGACATACATTACACAAGGCCATAATATTATAAATAATGTCTGTATAATAACAATTATACAACATGCTAAATATCTTCACCTACATTATAATTATTTAAACAGGTTTGCCTTCATGCAGCAATAAGAAAAGTGTTATGTCAGAGAAACCAATGCACTTTGATTTAAGAAATAGTATTTTCAATGGGAAATTAAGTAGTTCTGTTCAGTAGTAGATCCATGGTTGTCAATAACAATCCAGTTTCTAATATCTTGGCTCAAAACAAAACCAGCAACATGATTAGAGAATTTCTGAATTTTGTTCTTTTGCTCTCCTAGTTCAAGATATTTTCCTCATAAGTTCTCAGTAGATTTATCAGAATATCATAATACTTTATAAGACATCCAGAATCAATCCTACCAAAAAAAACTCAAAAAATTACATACCTACTAATAATATATTTCCAGTCGACTTAAGTCGTAGAGGTAAGCTAACTTTTCTAACTCCTTTTTGGACATTTTAACTAAGATTTACCCATCTATTCAAGAAAGACAGTTTCACCAAGCTGTTCACAAACAGTCAAAAACACAAATAATGCGCATGGGATTATGCATTAAAGCTTAACAACACATTGACAGTGTAAAGATTGCCGTTTGATATTTATTTCTAATATAGCTAAAGCATTACTTGAAAAAATATACGTTATTTTACAGTAGATTTACCTCATTTAAATGTGTGTGTCTATTTCACAAAAACCTGAAGCATTATTTTCAATATTTTATGCTTACGAATGAATGAGTTAAATGCTGCGTCAATTTATGGTTCTGAAGAAGAAGACGAAGTAGCACTTGTATGCCTGCTGCTAATTCTTCGTAGAAACAGACATTTACGAGTTTCTTGTTGTAAAACATGGACGATTTCTTATTTCCTCAAAAGCAGACTATCTTTTGTCTCCGTTTAAATCTGCTAATCGAAGGCCAGAGATCAACTAGTTTATCATCTAAAGTTTATCATCTGAAATTGCTTCTTCGACTGAATAATTTTGTTCAGTCGGGGCCGCTATTTTGGTTTGATACGTAATTTATTGAGCAAGCGCTGTATTGGAAACACAAAAGCAATTTGCTTCAAGACGCCGCACACTTTATGTATACGTTGTGTAACTTGTACAGTTAAGCTAACACCTTTATTTGAAACAGTGTAAATATTTAACGCAAAGTATAATGTAATTTTGACGGTACAATCAAACAGAATAATATATTGAAAAAGATTTCATTCCGCTCATCGTTATGCTTGTTGTACATCAATCAGCACAATACATCCATAGATCGAGTATGATATCGCTGTATTTTCCACACGAACTAAGCCACACTATCTCAGATTGCTCTGTGATACGATATTTAGATGTGTAAATTCCAGTACTTAAGCCTTAGTCGCTGCTGATGCTTTCAAATCGAGCTACACTTGAAATCAATTTAACGGCGATGTATTGGCGTATTCTGCAATTTTTTTCTTACAAACTATAGTCACAATGATTTATTTCATAAATAGTGCAAAAAAGTTGAAGCAAAGTCCGCAATTTGCTAATAATTGCGAGATATTAACTTGGACCACATATTTTCTAATACAATGCTATATTGATTCTCACTACTTTGGGGCTCCGGATTAAATTTGCCCGGCTTCAACTTGTATGTCAATTGCACTATCTAGTGTATTATTAGATCAGTGACTGTGACATACAAATGAGGAAACGGCATCTTCTCGTTTGGGCGAGCTATTCCATACTTCCCACTAAGCCACGAGCAACTTAAACAAGAAACGATAGCTAAAAACTATTTTTCTTAATGTTATGACATGCACAGGTCAACATACATAATCAATATCCCATGAAAGAAAAATTACCTTTGGAGAGCCTCGTGAAGGTCAGCTTTAATATTCTTATTTTGTCTAGAAGTTTATGGAAATTGTCGTCATGATTTGCTTCTAAATATCATAAAAATGTAATTGATAACTTTAGTCACCAACATTAACTACGATGAAACTTCCATACGATAAG